TCTGGACCTCACGTGAAGGAGAAACGAGGAAGGGCCTCAAAGGATGTACGTGGAATCCTAGAAAATTTATATGGGGAGAGGTGGTTCTTGAGGTATTGTAGTCTTGAGCCATTTAGGGCTTTGTAAGCCAAAAGCAGCCCTTTGAACTGGGCCTGGAAACTGATTGGCAGCCAGTGCAGTTGGACTAAGATCAGTGTAATATGCTCAGACCGTCTTGCCTTGATGAACAACTTGGCCACTGAATTCTACACCAGCTGAAGTTTGTGGGGTGCCTGGACTCCCCTTCTAATTCCTGGGTGCCAGACATTTAATTTAGCATAATTAGGAGCCAGCCTGGTGATGGCCTACTAAATAGGAGCCATTAGCTGGGACAAAGCTCTGTGCCACAGGGCAAACGGGTGGTGCCCCCCCCCATGGTCAGTTAGTTAGAAAGACAAAGGGAGAGTTTTAGGATAGAGCTTTTGCAATGATGTTGCAGTCCATAACAATCAGCAAGCTGGAGGGAGGGCCAGAGCCACGTTTCAAAGCATGTTTCGGCTGTGGCTATGGGAAAAGCAAGGCCCTTTTGGGATGGCAGTGCTCTGACTCGCTCCATTGCAGGCGAAAGATTCCATCAAAGGTGTCTCCGAAAAATTTTACACATCACTTGGCAAGACAGGTGAACTAGTATCAGTGTACTGGAAGAAGCAAAGATCTCCAGTGTTGAAGCAATGATTCTTCAACATCAACTTCGTTGGAGTGGTCATGTTGTGCCATAGCTGTCAACCTTCCCTTTTTTTGCGGGAAATTCCCTTTTCCCAGCGCCGTTTCCCGCTGCTATCCCGGATTGTTAGATATCCCATAGACTGTCCCTGGGACAGGTGAGGCTGCTGATCCCTTATTTTCGAGGCTGCTGATCCCTTATTTTCAAATCTGAAAGTTGACAGCTATGTGTTGCGCGGATGCCTGATGATCGTCTTCCAAAGCGACTACTCTATTCCGAACTTAAAAATGGAAAGTGTAATGCTGGTGGTCAACAAGAGGTTTTAAGACTGTCTCAAGGCAAATCTCAAAAAAGTAGTATAAACACTGACAACTGGGAAACACTGGCCTGTGAGCGCTCCAGTTGGAGAACAGCCTTCACCAAAGGTGTCATAGGCTTTGAAGATGCTCAAACTCAGGATGTAAGAGAGAAACGTACTAAGACGAAGGCACGCTTGGCAAATCCAGACCATGATCAACTCCCGCCCAGAAACCAATGTCCCCACTGTGGAAGGACGTGTGGATCCAGAATTGGCCTCCACAATCACTTACGGACTCATTGTTAAAACAGTGTTTATGGAAGACAATCTTACTTGGCTACAAGTGATCGCCAAAGAAGAAGACGAAAGAAGTGTGTGTGTGTGTAAATAAGCCGTATATCAGGGGTCAGCAAGGTTTACCTCACCGGTAAGGTTCACTCCAGCTGATTTCCGGCGTCTGTGTCTGCGCAGACGCTATTTCCGAAGCCGTGGAAGCAAGTCCCCACGCTGCACTGTGCCAGTATAGCACAGCGTGCAGGGACTTGCTGAGCAGGCAGCTCAGTTTGGGGCCGCTTGTGGCCCATGGGCTTTAGGTTGCTGACCCCTGCCATATATCATAAATAAACCACTGTGCCTCATTTCCAAAGGAAACAGTGGTGTAAGGGACAGGAACCCTCAGAATCTCAGCACCGCTGTGGAGATTGGGTTGGCAGACTATATAATATCCACTGAAGTTTCATCTTTAAGTACCGTATTTTTCACCCTTTAGGACGCACTTTTCCCCCTCCAAAAATGAAGGGGAAATGTGTGTGCGTCCTATGGGGCGAATGCAGGCTGCTGAGCCTGGAGAGTGAGAGGGTCAGTGCACGACCTCTCGCTCCAGGCTCAGAGCTCTGCGCAACCCTCAGGAGACTGGCTCCGAGGGTTGCGCAGAGCTGCCTGCAGTCCCGGGCTCAGCGCAGCTCTGCACGGCCATCGGGAGCGGGGCACGAAGTCCCGCCCGGCTCCTGATGGCCGCGCAGAGGTGCCTGCAGTCCCGGGCTCAGCGCACTTCTCCCCATCGCCAGCCCCACAAGCTGCGGGGAGGTGGAGCGCGCCTTCCCGCTGTTCCCTGACCTGGTTCTTCCAGCCCCGCACCTGGGGGGAAATAAATTTTTTTCCCTTTATTCCCCCCCCCCCCAAAACTAGGTGCGTCCTATGGGCCAGTGCGTCCTATGGGGCGCAAAATACGGTAGATGAAATTAAAGTTTCCTTTTTAACCATACTACAGTGGTACCTTGGGTTACAGACGCTTCAGGTTACAGACTCCGCTAACCCAGAAATAGTACCTCAGGTTAAGAACTTTGCTTTAGGATGAGAACAGAAATCGTGCGTCAGCAGGAGGCCCCATTAGCTAAAGTGGTACCTCAGGTTAAGAACAGTTTCAGGTTAAGAACGGACCTCCGGAACGAATTCAGTTCTTAACCAGAGGTACCACTGTATTTACAGTTTTCAGAAGGGGTGGAACTTTCACAGATTGTGTTTTGGGCAACAAACCCTCCTTATGCATTCTTGATGGCTCAGTGTTGCCACCTTGTGTCCATGCTGCAACATGCCGGTTTGGTTGCCCCTGACTTGGCGATATCAAGGGACACATTCCTAGCTCGCATTCAGACAAAGTCTGTTCTGAAATGCTCATTCCCACGGACAACTAAGAGCTCCCCTTTCTCCCACACTTCCGCCACTCCCATGTTAAATTAGGCCACGGCCTACGATTAATGACAGAGTGCAAGTCAATGCCATTTTATTTGTTCTCTCCTATTCTGCTCTTGTACCTCATCTGTTTTGCTTTCTGCTAAACCTCTTGCATGAGGGATGGAGAACATGTGGTCCCAGCTAATGGTCAGAAATGATGGGAGTTGGGAGTCCAGTGATGTCTGGATGACCACAAGTCATTGTTGTCCCCCCAATCTTAAAGATTGTCATGAGGGCTGGATACTAACCCTCAAGTTAAGCAAGCTGCAAAATGGGAACCTGGCTCAACAGTGGCTCAGAATGTGTGGACAAATAATTGAAAAGGGATCATGCTGCTTCAACTATTTTATTTGTGGCATGAAACTTGGGAGACAACAGGTAAGTTTGCTAGATGGTCAAGGATGATGGCAGCTGAAGTCCAACATCTAGACCACAGGTAGGGTACCTATGGCCCTCCACTAGCCATGCTGGCTGGGGCTGATGGCAGTTGGAGTCCCAACAGTATCTGCCGAGCCACAGGTTTGTCCCTCACAATGATCTTCTTAAAGCATCACCGTTATTATTGTTATTGTAATTATTATTATTTGATAAGAAATACTTCCCACTGCACCACAGAGTCCCCTCATGAGCTTTTTGCAGACATCACCATCGTATTATAATCATTTGTTTAATAAAAGGCCCCTGCTTGTAACAGGCTTAGAGTCTAAATTAGACAATTCTAGACACAAGTATGGAGGAGCAGGGAGGGCAAAGACCAATAAATACATTTGTCATCTTACAGTACTGAGAATTTCCTAAAAAACACACACACCTTTCTCTGAAACAGGCAGAACATTTACCAGTGAAGAAAAGTTGACTTAACGCCAGCCTGGGTTCCAGCCCCAATGTATACATTTCAAATATCTCCTCCCACAAGATGGGCGCCTTGTCTCCTGGTCGGAGTGTCCCTTTTGCCATCCAAAAATCTCCTTGCCTTCCAAACCTCCCCCTTTCCCAAGAGCCCCAGCAGGAAGTTGGAGGTGGAACATAGAACCGAGGCTTGAAGGTCTGGCCAGTCCACCTGCTGACCAGAAAATAAATGTCGGGCTGAATGAAAAAAGGCTTGAGGACACCTTAACGAGTTTTGGTTTTTGGGATGCCTAAATGGGGGGAAAACAACAACCACAGAGGACACGACTAAGATGGCAACCAAACCACCCATCTCCTCACACCTGTGCTACCTCCCATCTCCTAGCAACCAATCTGCCAATCTCCTCCCTTTCAAGCCACAAGCCCTAGCAACTGAGTGGCTGGTCCCTGACTCCTTAGCAACCAAAGTTCTGAAAACACCCAAGCTGCCTGTTTCCTCACTTCTTAGCAACCAACTGCGATCAATGGGACTCCCCAAAACTCATCTGCACCTCTTTCAAATTGGACTTCCCTTCCCTTGAGAAGTTCCTTATCTCACACAGCTTACCCGATAAAGAAACACTGATGTTTTCGCTAACCCAACCCTGAAGCTGTTGGGCCTTCTCCCTCCGCCAGCTGCCATGTTTGTGGGCTGCCCTTCCTCAGTCAAATCTCTCGGCCTCCGATTCCACTCATCATCGACCCAACCACCATTCTTCGGCTACCATGGAAACTGGCCGCTTATAACGAGGGCACAGCCAATCTTTACCATTCCCTTCTGACAACCAGTGATTTACTAAGATATCTGCTGTCTTAAATTATCTGGATAACAACCCAGGATTCCTCATCTCAGCCTTTCTTTATCAGAATAAGTGAACAAAATAATCAACTTCATTGAGAACTAATTTTGCTTTCCTTCTGCTTCTTTGAGAACCTGAATTGTAACTTCCTGAATCACCATCCAATTCACCTTTCCGTAGCAACTGATCGCCCATGGTAACCAAACTACCCAGCTCCGTTGCCCTGGTAACAGATGCATCGCCCTAGAATACCCTTCCAGGAATGGGATCGGCTCTGGTAAGCAAAGTATTAGTGTTGGGAACCCCACTCCCCTAACCCATTTCTCCCCCAACAACAAATTGCCCTCAGCAAAGAACCCACGGACAACCTTTTTGCCTGGTGGTCAATAAACGCTTTGGTCACCATTGGTCACCATTGCAACCGAGCAACCAATCCCCCATCACCCGTTCTTTCCTCCCAAGGACCGATGTCCTCTTGGCGATCAAATCCTGTGGCCACATGCATTAATCATCTCGCTTTCCAGAAACCGGTTGCCACCAGTATCGTTGTGTCTCATACGGACCAGACGCCCACCCTTTATTCAACGCCCCACTGCCACCCCATAATCCTCATGGAGCGCGGGTCAATCCGAGGGGAAGACGGCAGGGGCAGCATGGAGGGCGTGAGGGAAGGCCCGGCTAATGTTGGCGACCTCTGCGGAGACAGGGTTTGTTCCGAGTCCCCATCGCTCGGGCTGGGGCTGGGCAGGCGAGCGAAGGCCGTCCAGATTCCACGAGGTCGCGGTTTGTCTCCTGGGGCAGGCGCCGGGTCGCCGTGCACGCGCTGGTGGCGGATGAGCGTGGAGGAGCGGCCAAAGCTCTTGCCACAGCGGGCGCAGCGGTAGGGCCGGGCCCCCGTGTGCGCCCTCTGGTGGACGGTGAGGTAGGAGCTGTCGCCATAGCGCTTGCCGCAGACGTTGCACTTGAAGGGTTTCTCGCCTGAGTGGATGATCTGGTGGCGGATGAGGTGGGAGCTCTCAGAGAAGGACTTGTCGCACTGCGTGCAGCGGTAGAGCTTGACGCCCGTGTGCGTGCGCTCGTGGCGCACCAAGTCCGAACGCTGAGAGAAGCTCTTGGCGCACGACCGGCACCCGAAGGGCCTCTCCCCCGTGTGCACCCGCTGGTGGCGGATCAGGTGAGAGCTCAGGGTGAAGCTCTTCCCGCAGTCCGTGCAGTCAAAGAAGCGGGTGGGAGGGGCCGCCACGCGGCAGTAGCTGCGGCGACAGGGGCGGCTACCCCAGGGGCGCCTCCCTCGGCCGGATTTGGCCCCTCTAGCCTTGGTGCTGCCGCCCCCCTCCCCGCCGCTGCTGCTGCCGCCCCCCTGCAGGACTTCACAGGCCTCCTCCCAGCCCAGGACCGGGGTGGAAACCACGGGGGGGTCCTCGGAGTTGGGGTCCTCCGGCGCAACCGGGGTTTCTTCCTCTTCCCAGTCCTCATTCTCACTGGTTGTTCCCTCATCTGGCGAGAGAGAGAGAGAGAGAGTTGAGAAAAGAGAACAAAAGAGTTGTGATTTTAAAACTTTTTATTTGTGGTTTCTGCATTTATTTACTTATCTTTAAAATCCATTTTATATTGCCACAGGCAATAGAAACAGAAACAGAGAGATGATGCTAGGCAAAGACCAGGGGGGCGTGAGGAGCGCCTTCCACAACAACTGCAGCACCATAATTGAAAATGGCCCCCCACCTTGCTAGCCCCCCACCCATCAACTGCCCTGGAAAAAAACAGGGCTTTCCTGCTTTTTCTCGCAAGAGGACAGCGGCCAAAATGGCCGCCGCGTTTTGTTTTCTTTTTAAAAAATATTTATATTGGCAACTTCAACATAACAACTTATCAAAACATAACATATTCATTATTTCCCCCCTTTTTCCCCACCCCCAACCCTCCCTCCCCTCCCCCAGAGACTTCCCTCAGCTCCTCTCTGATTTCTCAACACATATTATTCTCTGCATGTTATAAAATTATACAAATCCTTACATTATCTATCTACCATGTTATCAATCAATAAATTGGTGTATGTTTATTCAAAACCTGCCAAGGAGTCCAATTCATTTTGTTGTGTTTTTAAGTAATTTGTATAAAGTTCCCATTCCTCCTTGAAATCACAGTTGTCCCTGTCTCGCAATTTGTGTGTCAATTTAGCCAGTTCTGCATAATTCATCAGTTTCTCTTGCCACTGTTCTTTTGTCGGGATTTCCTCATTCTGCCATCCAATGGCCACCGCGTTTTCATGCAATTTCGGGCTGTGCTTTTTTCGAGCACGATGCCCCGAAAGCACGCGTTTTGGGTGGTGTGTCTGAAAAAAAGCGCTTTTGTGGGGACACGATCTCACATGGGTCATGTGACACATGGGGGAGTGAAGACCCAGAAAACAATGTCCTGGATTTGGGCTACAGGTAGGTAGCTGTGTTGGTCTGCCGTAGTCGAAACAAAATAAAATAATTTAAAATAATTTAAAAATTCCTTCCAGTAGCACCTTAGAGACCAACTAAGTTAGTTATTGGTATGAGCTTTCGTGTGCATGCACACTTCTTCAGATACACTAAAACAGTAGTCACCAGACCCTTATATATAGTGAGAGGGTGGGGAGGGTTATTATTCAGAAGGATGGTGGGAATGGGTGATTGGCTGATAGGTGTGGATTTGGGCATCACTGTGTTGGAAGATATGTGCCAGTCCAGGAACATAGGGAGCTGCCTTGCCCTGTGTCTGACCATTGGGTCTTCCTAGCTCAGTAATGTCCACAATGATTGGCAGCAGCTCTCCAGGAATTCAAGCAGGGGTCTGTCTCTGCCGTACCTAGCAAATGAACCTGGGACTTTGTGCACGCAGAGTAGGCGCGTCAACCACTGAGCTGCCACCCTGCTTCCTCACCTGCCTGGGCCTCTGAACTCACAAGGCTTCAGGATGCTAAGTTAAGGCAAAAGCCGAGCACTCTGCTGCTCTTCCCAAATTTTGAACCACTGACTGTATTTTTTGCTCCATAAGACGCACTTTTTTCCTCCTAAAAAGTAAGGGGAGATGTCTGTACATCTTATGGAGCAAATGTGTGATCGATCGCTGGCTGCCTTTCCGGCCCCAGCCCCTTGACCAGGTCTCCATAGTTGAATGTTCTGAAGACGGAGGCTGTTTGTTTCCCCAGCGGCATGTGACTGGCTGATTTGATTATCTGTCTGGAACCTTTCCTTTCCTTTCCTTTCCTTTCCTTTCCTAAAGAAGCTGCAGAAATGTGAGTTGAACCCCATAAAAACAGGATTTTTCCCCTTTGCAAAGTAGGCTCAACAACTTTGAGCTGATCCTCAAAAAAGGGGCTTTTCCCCTTTGCAAAAGAAGCTGCACAACTTTGAGTTGATCTTCAAAAAAAGGGGCTTTTCCCCTTTGCAAAAGAAGCTGCACAACTTTGAGCTGATCCCCCCAAAAATGGGGCTTTCCCCCTTTTCTCCTCTAAAAACTAGGTGCATCTTATAGTCAGGTGCGTCTTATGGAGCGAAAAATATGGTACATCCAAGTGACGCCACAACACCATGATCCCCGCAGAACCTTCCCAGAGGCTTCTGGCCCCTTCTAGTCTTGCTCCCTCGTTCTGTGACAGTTTTGCCACTCTCTCACCTGTGTGGGCATCCCTTGCGCTTTCCCTTTCCTCTGGCCTTTGCTCCAGGTCCTGGTTCAGGACTCGCGGCTCATCCCTTTGCTCCATCCAGGAGATCATGTTGGGTTTAACAATGGGGAATCCTGCCCACGACAGGGTGGGAGAAAACAACAGCAGCAGACGGTGAAATCTGAACACTGCAGTCCCGTCGGGTCTCTTCCAAGTATCTCAAATTGAAACAGGAGGCAGAGAATGGATAGATCAGTGGTCCCCCAAAAAAACATTTTCCCCACGGGCCACTTGAAAATTGCGGAGGGTCTTAATGATTTTCCTGCCCATCACAGCAATTGTAATGCATTGCACTGGAGGCTGCGGAAGTTTTAATTGTGTTTTTATTGCCTCTTTCATTTCTCATATATTGCATCTGACTGTATTTCAATTTGGATTGCGCAGATTGCAAGGCGAACAGCAAGAATATATAATAAGATGCAATATAGAGAAATGAAAGAAGCAATAAAAATACAATTAAAAAGCAGTATGAATATTTCATGGGCCGGCCCCCCCCCCCCATTTTATAGCCGCTGCTCCCGAGGGTTCTCCACAGACACGGCGGACCAACTGGACGATGCCTGTGGGCCACTGTAGGTCTGGAAATCCTCGGGGCAGATAGTTATCCCAACCTAAGAGGCTAGGTCTCTTCTTCTTTTTAGTAAGCAAAAGTGATTTTTAGAAAGGAATTCAGTGAAGCACTATGGCAAGCATTTCAGCTTGTCAGACAGAACCATTTCCCCTCTCCTCCCCACGCCTGGTGTTCGGGGGAGAGCATTCTCCCCTCACCAAAAAACACCAAGCCAATTTGTGGGGATGCAAGGGGCATATAGAAGGCAAGCACAGTTTGCTTTCCCTGGTTTGCTTTCTTCTTTCTACTTTGGGCAAAAAGTAGGGTCCCTTCCAACTCTACAATTCTATGATTCCTATGGTCTTGGAGTCTGTAAAAAGAAGAAGAAGAGGAGGAGGAAGAAGAAGAAAGTTATTCCACTCTTCATTTTAACATACAGTGGTACCTCGTGTTACGTACCGTCCCCCTTACGAATGCTTCGGGTTACGTGCTCAACTAAACCGGAAGTAGATGCCCCTTGTTGCAAACTTTGTCCTGGGATGCAAGTGGAAGCCATGCGCGAGCGGCGCAGCGGGAGGCGCCGTTAGCTAAAGCGCACCTCATGTTACGAGCAGTTTCCAGTTACGAACGGATGTCCGGAACGGATTAAGTACATAACACAAGGTACCACTGTATATTTTGATATGAAACAGAATGTTACAAAGTACTCATTCCCGGGGAAATCCAGGTTGAAATCTTCACTCAGCCATAAAGCACATTAGGTAACTTTTGGGGCACTCCTCATCCCCCTCTCTCTAACCTACATCACAGGGTTGTTGCGAGGAAAAATGCACGTCACAAAATGCAGTTCCCCCGCTTGCACCAGGAACTGGTCCATTGAATTCATCCTGCCATCTCATTCTCGTAGAATCATAGAATTTTAAGAGCTGGAAGAGCCCACAACGGTCATGTAGCTCAACCCCGTGCAATGCAGGAACCATTTTGCCCAACATGGGGCTCGAACCCACAACTGTGAGATTAAGCTCCTCTCTAACCCCCACACTCTTTATTCTGCTTTCTCTGAACGGTCAAAAAGAAAAGTTGCACATTCAGAACTGAGGTATACAGATCCAGATTCCTGGTCTATACAACACAAATAATGCTATTTATTAAAAGACAAAGAAAGGGGGGGGAGTGAGGGAGTTGTACTGTATGTAGAGATCCCAGGTTCAGTTCTGGGCATCTTCAGCTGGAAAAGAATCACCTAGTACAGGTGTCTTAGCTGGTGATGGGGAAGACTTCTCTCTGCCTGAAACCCTGGAGTACAACCTCCAATCAGCAGAGACAATAGTTCGCTAGATCAACCAATGGTCTGCCTCGACAGAAGACAGCTCCGTATATTCACATACTTTCTTGCTGCCCGTTGATGCTCAGTGAATCCAACACTTCCCTCCCTCACCCATGTAGTTCAAGATGATAACACATTTTATTAAAAACGTGCATACAAAATAAAACTTGCAGTCATTTATAACAAGTGTTTCTTCTGAATGACAAGTCCCTGTTTCAATTAAGGGCAAAATCCCCACTGTTCTAAATTGTATGCAAACACGATCCAAATGTAATAAATACAGTATGAAATAGAAATGTTCACTTCATTGAACCATAGAATTGAAGAGTTGGGAGGGACCCTGAGAGTCATCTAGACTAACCCTCCTGCAGTGCAGGAATCACTGCGAAAGCATCCATGACAGAAGGATCAAAGACAGAAAAAGCAGAATGGGAAGAGAAAGAGGGGAACTGACAGAAAAGTGGGGAAGGAGAAAGAGAAAAAAGATAAGAGGAGATTTGGGATCCAATTCCTGCTTGGCTAGAAAGCTCACTGCGTGGCCTGGGGCCAGCCACAACCTTTCAGCCTAATCTACCTCACAGGGTTGTTGTTTGATTATAATGTGTGTGTGCATGCATGTGCTTGTTCATGCAGGGGAACGGGCTCCTCCTGCCACCCTGTGCATCTTGAGGGAAAGGCAAGACAAAACTGCAAGGGAATAGTGAAATAACCCCTCTAAGAACAGGGTGTTGGGGCAGGGCTGTAGCTACGGGAAGGGAGGGGAGCCTAGCCAGTTTGGGTTTTTTTGCCGAGGCGGGGGGAAGCCTCCAGAGGAGCACCATCGAGGCTCCCAGGGGTGTGCCAAACTGAGTCTTGCTAAAGAAAGCCTAGTTTGTGTGCGTGGAGGGGGGCGCAACCGACGTTTTACCCACCCCAACATCCGCGTGCCAATTTCATGGAAACATTCGCCATGGATAACTGGCAGAGACTTTCAGAAATCAGGAGGTGGACAGGATTGGGTGAGAATGAAGGGATACCTGGATATATATGGAAAGGCGGTGAGGGGGAACCAGCCAGAGAAGGAGAAGGAGCTCCCTTCCTTCCCCACTGGCACCAACCTCCGATGGCCATTGTCTCCGCGACAGCAGGTTGCGCCAGCCCTGATGCCCCTCTTGGGGACGGTGCGGGGTGGTCGTGCCAGGCTGCGCTCTGCCGGACTACGCGGGCATAAGCGGCTGAGGATCTTCTCCACACCCCTCACCTCCCCCCAAACCCGGGTGGGGTTTATTCCCCAGCCGCCTCTTCCCTCCCGTGGCCAGGATCCTGCTCCTGTCCGCTGGCCACCCGCACCTCTCCGCGCCCAGGGAAGCGCACTCACCCAGCGCGCTCCACCTCCGGGGCGCACGGCGGGCGCCGATCCCCTGCGCGCTTTCTCCCGGGAGGATGGGGCTGTGCGCTGGGGGGCGGGGAGTGGAAGGGGGGCGCGACCTCGGGGGCCCAGCCCCTTTCTCCACCCCCTAAGCCGGGGGGCAGGAGAAGCGCACAGCCGGGCGCGCGTGTGCGTCTGGGTTGCCTGCAGGAAGTTGCCGCCGCCATGTACCGTCCCTCCAGCTCTCCAGGGTCGCTGCGCTCCCGCTTCTCTCTAGGATGCGGAGGAAATCGCAGCTCGGTGCCTTTAACTCCTCGCGCAGGCGGCTTCCCCGCCCCGAACTCTTCTGTCTCTGATGCTGAGCATTGCGAGTCTTCAGCTTTCTTTCAAAAGTCTCGCATGCACGCGCTATTCTGGGATGGGTGTTCCCCACGGCTCCGCTTTGCATGAGAACCCTGCCGATTTATTCTTCGTATTAACTTTACTAAGGTTTATTCTTCTCCCTTCTACGACTGGATTGAAGACTTCTATAAACGCGCAACATAGGAACAACGGGCATACAAACGCAGACTTGCCATGGACAGATTCCGTGATACGTGGAATCCGTTCTTACAAATAATGTAATATGTTAAGATCTGGTGAAGTACAATAAAAAACTTGTAAAGTAAAAAAAGAAAAATAAGATTTATTCTTCATATTAATGAGCTGTTCGAGAGTGGAACGGCCTGCCCCTGGAGGTTAATAATAATAATAATAATATTTATACTGTATCCCGCCCATCTGGCGGGGTTTCCCCAGCCACTCTGGATGGCTTACAGCATACAGTATATAAAACATTGTAACATATCCAGCATTTAAAACTTCCTGATACAGGGCTGCCTTCAGATGTCTTCTAAAAGTTACAGTTACAGGTAGGCAGCCGTGTTGGTCTGCCGTAGTCGAAACAAAATAAAATAAATAAAATAAAATTTTAAAATCTGAAGAAGTGTTCATGCACATGAAAGCTCATACCAATAACAAACTTAGTTGGTCTCTAAGGTGCTACTGGAATGAATTTTTTATTTATTTTATTTTTCATTTTGTTTCTAAAAGTTATGTACCATAGTTCTTGACATCTGAAGAGAGGGTGTTCCGCAGGGAGGGCGCAACTACCAAGAAGGTTGTGGACTCTCCTTCCTGGGCGGTTTTTAAACAGAGGTTGGATGGCTATCTGTCATGGATGCTTCAGTTGAGATTCCTGCATTGCAGAGGGTTGGACTAGATGACCCTGAGGGTCCCTTCCAACCCTATAATTCTATGATTCTACGATTCTAACATAGCACCACCAGAGTGCTGTGGGGCTTTGTGGGGCAACTAACTGCATTGCAAGCTGAGTTGATGGTACCTCGTTCCCATTGGAAGCATTGGCGTTTAAGTCCTCATGACTAACACGTCCCCTGGATTTTAACTGAAGCTAAGGTTTCTGCATTCGAAAGTTTCTGCATTCGAAGCCCATGGATATAGATATATGGGTGTATGAGCTCCAGCATCGCAATGGTTCTCCAACATCTAAGTCTCATCTTAGAAGAGGCAGAGCTGGAGAAATGGACATCACGGCTGATTATTGCAATGCATGCTATGCTGGGCTGCCTTTGAAAGATATTTAGAACTTCAGCTGGTCCAAAATGTTGCAGCTAGGCTGTTGACCAGAGTCAATCAGGGGAAGGACCTAAATTCCTTATTGCAAATGTTCACTGGTTCTAGCTAATTACTAGGCCTAGTTCAAAGCCCTAAATGGCTTGGGATTGGCGTACTTGCAGGAACATCTTCTTCCGCGTTATTAAGGACTTCTGGAGACTGTTTCCTTCACATCCCACCAGCATCTAAATTACATTTGTTTGGGATTTGGAAGAGGGCCTCCTCGGTGGCTGCACCTAAGCTGTAGAACTGCCATCCTAAGGGCAGCTGCCTTATCCTTCTTGAACGTTCTTCCATTGCCACAGGACCACCTTCTTTTCTAAGCAAGTGTCTAACCTGATAATCTGCTTTATTATTATTATTATTATTATTATTATTATTATTATTATTATTTTACATTTCTGGACATTTTAGTCTCGGCATATCTACTTTTCTATGCCCTGCATTGAATTTTATTGTTTTCTGGACGGCTGTTTCACACTGTGAGCATTTAAAAAACAACAACAACAACAACTGAAAGGGATATTGCTAGATATATTATTTAATACATTATTTCGCAACAAGTTTAATGAGAGTGCATGCATGCGCATATAAAGACCTGCTCCTCTACACACTATTTCAAGGGTGAAGAAGGCATCATTGAGCCCAGAGATCCATAGTGTGGTACCTCGGGTTACATATGCTTCAGGTAACATACGCTTCAGGTTACAGACTCCGCTAACCCAGAAATAGTACCTTGGGTTAAGAACTTTGCTTCAAGATGAGAACAGAAATCGTGCTCCGGCGGCGGGGTGGCAGCAGGAGGCCCCATTAGCTAAAGTGGTGCTTCAGGTTAAGAACGGTTTCAGATTAAGAACAGAACTCCAGAACGAATTAAGTACTTAACCCGAGGTACCACTGTACTTTATATCAAAGGTGGAGAACCAGTATCTCTCTGGATGCCATTGGACTTCAAGTCCCATCAGCCCCTGCTAGCATGACTAGTGGTCTGGGATGATGGGAGTTGTGGTTCAGCAGATTTCCCCAGGAGATCAGCAAAGATAAGCAATGAGACCCATTGTGGTGCAGCGCTTAGCAGGGGTAGTCAGCCTTTTTCAGCAGGGGGCTGGTCCACCATCCCTCAGACCTTGTAGGGGGCAGGACTATATTTTGAAGGGGGGAAAAAGAATGAATTCCTATGCCCCACAAATAACCATGAGATGCATTTTAAATAAAAGCACACATTCTACTCATGTAAAAACATGCTGATTCCTGGACCACTCGCCCCTGGCCTTAGTTTGCCTACCCATGGCTTAGAGTCAGACCAGGACCTGGTTATTAGTCTTGTTTTTAAGTACATATTTTGTGTTTTTTATCTTCCCCTCCCCTTCCCACAAAAGGTTCCTGCTCCCCACCTCAAATTAGGCTGTTAGGACCACCTTCTTTGTCGTAACTCGAATGCAAATTCATATATATATTTATATATATACAGGTAATTCCAGCATATAGGTTCCCAGGCTCTGGTAGAGAATGGACTCCGCCTCATGAACTGTCACCAATTTGCGGCTAATTCTGCCAAAACAAAACACACTCAGGCACTGTCTGGCACCTCACTGGCTGATGAGACCTTGGTACTCCAACAAAAAAGATATCCTTCAACCCTGAAGTTTTACCACATCTGACCTTGACAGAATCTAAAATGCGCTTGGCTTTATGTCTGCAAAAGCTGTACAGTCTCAGTCCAAAGATGGTCATTTGACTGTTATTGACATGGCGCCCTCGCTGTGCTTGGCGCCTTATAGAGTGTGCAAGAGGGCAGGTCTCTGCCCCGAGAGGCTTGCAATTCAGCTTGGGGGCAACGCCAGAGGAAGAGGAGGCAGCAAGAAGAAATGAACAGGCAATGAAGAACAGCAACAGTTGCAAAAATCCATCCCAGCTTAATTTTTTAATAACATTCTGCCTTTGGTCATTTGGCTCAGTGGTGCCACCTGCTGGATATTTACAGCCCCTCCGTGTTTGAGAACAAAGTGGGGATGGTTGAGAGCGTGGATATGTGATTGCAAGTTTCACCGGACTTCTATAAAATAAAAAATTATAACAGTCCAGATTTCTTATAAATCTATAAAGTGGCGTATCCCTCCTATCTTTAAACAAACAAACAAAAATGTATAAAGGTAAAACTTTAAATGGATAAGCATCTCTTCTAAATGTTTTAAGTTATTAACTTGTTTTTCATCGCCAAATGTTTCTCAGAAATATGCTTCCTCCCTACCTGCTCCCACCACAAGGTTGTTGGAAGTGTGTTGCTGCTGCTCAAGGCCATTTAATAGGAATCCACCAATGGGGTGAAAGGCTGCAAGGATTATTACTGAGCAGTTTAATCTCCCTGCCTCCGCACCCCAGATTTTTTTCCATGGAGATCAGATCAGCAAGGCCTTTTAGCCTCAGGAGAGCTCTGTGAGGAAGGTCAGGCTGAGAGAGAGTGATGAGGCAAAGCTCATCGCACCAAGGGAGCTGCTGAATGGCCTACTGGTGGTGATTTGAACCCGGGTCCCTCTGGTTTTTAAATTTAATTAATCAGCCTAGCCATGGTTGCTATGCACTGCCTCCACAGTTGGAGACAAGGAGGCTTCTGAATACCAGTTCCTGGAAGTCACAGGAGGGAGAAAGCTCCTGTGCAGCTTGGGTCCTGCCTTCTTGGTTTGCCACAAGCATCTGGGTGGCCACTGTAGGAACAGGATGGTGGACTAGGTGGCCTGTTGACCTAATCCAGCAGGGCTCGTCTTATGTCCCTAAATTCTAATGTTCTTTATTTACAGGATTATTACGCTGCTAGCATTTTAAAGGTTTTGCCCATCCATTATGATATCCTCATTCAGGTCGGGGCTGCATAAATCCAGAGAGGTATCTGTGTGGGATATTGCCTCTGATCTTATGGCACTTATCCCATACCCTCCAACACTTCTCTGATGAAAATAGGGACGTCCTAGTCCATAATAATGATAGTGATAACTTTATTATTATTATTCATATCCCGCCCATCTGACTGGGTTGTCGCAGCCACTCTGAGCGGCTTCCAACCAGTATAAAAAAATTAATAAAACATTAAACTTTTTTTAAAAAAACCTTCCCTATACAGGGCTGCCTTCAAATGTCTTCTAAATGTCGTATAGTTATCTCATTGGCTCGGGGGTTACATAACTCCATGGCCCGCGGACAGTCTGGGTATCAGTGTGTTTTTGCATGAGGAGAATGTGTGCTTTTATTTAAAATGCATCTCTGGGTTATTTGCGGGGCATAGGAATTCATTCATTCCCCCCCCCTCAAAATATAGTCTGGCCCCCCACAAGGTCTGAGGGACAGTAGACCGGCCCCCTGCTGAAAAAGTTTGCTGACCCCTGAGTCAACTCCATATCTCCCAACACTTCCCCAATGAAAATAGGAACGTCCTAAGGTAAAGAGGGACATTCTGGGATCAAATCAGAAACCTGGACAGCTTCTGTAAATCCGGGCCTGTCCCTGGAAGATAGGGACACTTGGAGGGTCTGTCATCCCAAGGGCTTGCAGATGGAGAAGGGAGCCCACAAGAAGGCTGAGGGCCCTCTGGCAGTCTCCATCTGTGGCCTTTTGAGACAGAAAGTCTTGGTAGCAGCAATGATGTTCTAATGAGTGCCGGGGGCAAGCCACCATTTAAATTTCCCACAATGCTTCAGACCACTCTGGTACTGGCCCTCGGCGGTCTGGCAGGGTTTCCAAGCGCCCAGCTTATTTAAAAGACTATGTTCACCGGACAAACTGAACATGTAAAGCTGTATGGTGAATAGGGTCAATTAATATGCTTATGTGCCTTACTGAAACCAATAAGGGTATTGCTGTATGTAATGGAACCACTATGGTTGTAACTAACGCCTTATCTCGACGGGGAGGGGTGTTATGTATTGAAGTTCTCACCTGGCCACCAGGGGTATTGTGTATATAGTTTTCACTCAGGTCCATGTAAGTTAATTTAGGCGGGGAACCCTGGTTGTTGTTGTTACAATGTCGACAGCCAGCTGTCTATAAAAGCAGGCTGGCTGAGCTGTTTGCTGTTCAGTTCAGTTGCAGCTTACTTATAAAGAACTACTTGGAGAAATCTCCGTGTCGTCTGCTATGTCCACCCACAACTTAATAGCTACGTCAGAGACATTGTGGGAAGTCAGCGAGACCAGTCCTCTGGGGATGATCTGAGTTCTCTGGGCAGGCGTCAGCAGTGGGGCCACAGCCTGAGGAACATGGGACCCCAACTCCTGCCAGCCTGGCCAGTGGTCAGGAGGAATGATGAGCACTGCGGTCAAACCTGGAGGACTACAGGGTGCCTAGCCCTCATGGCCGGTAGGAGGAAGATCTTCAGCCGCCGCCATTTCAGAAATGCACTGCTGGGTGTGATAGGTCTTTCTGCACACAGCCCCAAATTGCAGAGGACCACAGGAAGCGACCAGACCATGGGTCCATCTTGTTCACTGTTCCCTACACTGACTGGCAGAAGCTCTCTGGGGTGTCTGGCAGAGTTCTCTCCCAGCCCTACCTAGGGATCCCAGGGATTGAACCACGGACTTCAGCTGCTCTACCACAGAATGATGACTCTGCATTCTGACCCTGGGCTTGATGGTCACCGTGGGGCAGGGAGTGGAGTACTGATGACAGTAGCTGAGAAGCAGGGCCTCTCTTGAGGCGAGCTCTGCTCAGGGTCTCAGCATGGCAGCATGTGGGGCCATCCTTGTCATTTAATGGTATGCGTCACCCGGGAACACTCGACTGTAGTGCGCCTTTCTGTCATTAGTATCTGATACTTCAAAAATCACCGAGAAATGTCAAAATGAGGAGGCTCTCCAAAATTAAGAGGAGGCACCTGCCTACCAAATCATGAATGTGCAAGTGTGGTGGTGAAGACACAAGAGGGGCATATTTTAATCTCGCTCTCTAGCTGTGGCTTTCAAAAATAAATAAAGGAACATTTTTAGGTCCCTGCCTCGGGTGTTTATTTGTCTTGTTTTAAAAACCCATCTTGAGTTCTTTCTTTCGGCCCGACTCTCTTCTTACATTTTCTTTTCACCTTTCCTCCAAGATGCGCAAGGCGGAAAACATGGTTAGTTGCTGTTTTCATTGTTTTCAAAGCAATTTTTAGCTGTTTGTATTGCATGTGTGAAAAACGCCTGGAGATTTACGATAAAGCCAGTTCGTCATTTAATGCGACAACAATTTTAGCTGTATTATTCTGACTCCCAACACTCTGTTTTTAAATGTATTGAGATATTGTGGTTGTCATCCGCCTTGGGGCCCTTGTTCAGAGCAGAAAGCCAGAATAAAAATGTTTTTATAAATCAATACAAATATTGGGCAATACTTCAACTTCCCTACATATAAATTTTGTTGCCCGCAGCGAGGGACTTCAGGGGTTCCTGCACTTACACAGGGTTTGCTTTCCTTTGAGTGAAGGTCCATGGAGACTGTGGTGTCTTTAGGATATATGGTTTTATTTACACATATATACATCCTGAGCAAAGGATGAAAGCGCTCACAGCATTAATACTCAAACAGATCTTGCTTCTCCATTAGGTTTTCATGGAAGCTCCAGAGCCCAGCTTTGGGTTCAGCACAGAGCAAGACATGTCCTTGGGTTTCCAGTATCAGCAAAGAAATCTCTCTCGATGGAGAACATCATCTAGCAAGGGGAGGTGGGAATAAGCTCACCTCTTTGTCTCCATGGTAGCCTCTTGGGACATGTAAATGACAGTGCTGTACTTAACTGGACAGCCAAGGCCATTACCTTATCAAAGGAACAGATCTGGCTGCTTTTACCTCACAGATTCTAACTTCACATACACAGGATCAGAGGTTTGGAAGGGACCCAGAGGTATCATGCAGATATGCCGTATCTAAGAAGCTACACTTTTTGGAGAGATGCTTCTTGCTGTGTGAGATAAATTTATCGAAGGTTCTTTCTCTACTTCACTGATTATCAGTCTCATATGAACTGATCTGAAATTACTCAAGTCCCAAACAGATTAAAATCACTAAATTTGCTTTTGACCTCCCCTATATGTTGGCTTCCTGCTGCAAACTAGAATAATTCTATAGTGGGGAAAATCATGTTATTTCTACATTTGAAATTTTAAACCTGAATCACCTTGTGGGTCATAGAATATCAATTTTATGCGGCAAGATGGGTGGGCTTAGGCAGATTCCATACTTGTCCCAAATTCATAACAAATTGCTGATTATAAAGTCTTGTTTTGAGTACTTTGAAACCAAATGTCAAATGTGGTATGGACTGGTGCTTTTATTAAAATTTCTTTAAGTCGCAATATTTATGAATTTGTTTCTTTTAACCAGTTAGTTACTTGATTGATATAACTAGCTATACCACTGACATTCTTCCTCTTTTCTTTCATAACTGAACTGCAACAGTTTCTATTTTTGGTCTTTTATTATTCCAAAGAAACATAAGTGAAATCATCTGTCATCTCACGATCTGTTGTGCTTGAAGTTCTATAGCTGAAAACTGAAATAAAATATTTACCTTTGGTAACAAGGCCATTTTAATTGCAGGAGTTTTCTACATTTGCTTTATTTGTTTATTTCATTTTAAGTAGGGTAAAAAACAAACCACACGTTAATACCCTTGAGAGAAGAGGAACTCTGTACATGCTCAGAGGTAAAGTGCTCAAACGGTGGCAATCCTATGCAGATGAAAAAAACTGCATTTTGGTTCGCCTTCCAGACCACTAACGTGCAATGTTGGCAAATGGGAATTACTCACTTAATAAGAACAGAACTCAATTAGCTGTGAGCTATATAACACCACCTCCCGCAATTCCGTTCGGCAGTATGCCTCTCCCCCCTCCCCTCCTACTCCGCCATATTAGTTGTAGTCCAGGCATTCTCCTTGAGGCAAACGATAAAGGCACTGAGAAATACCCAGACAAGGGCCTGGAGGATAGAACTACATTCCCATGATGCCTTTCGCCTCAGCGGCCATCTTAAATGGAGTCCAAACACCTCTCGGAGAACTTGGTTTACACAGGCCTGATCCGATGAATGAGCAAAACTACCCTTCCCATGAGGCATTGGGGACGCAGCCGCCGCGAGCTGCCATCTTAGCTGTAGTCCAAACACCTCTTCGGGGGCTATAGCGACCAATGGACCCAAGGCGTAGAGGCGGGGAATAAAACTACACTCCCCACCCGGCATTGCGCGGAGGCATTGGCCGCCATCCCCATTGTAGTCCAAACTTCCCCCAGGTGCCCATAGAGGCGGATGCGTCTGAGCTGGCGGAGAAAACTACTTCTCCCATGAGCCCCCGCGCGGCGAGTGTTCCCTTTTGGCCTTCCCGAGACCGCCATGACGGTTTTGTGTGTGTGTGTTATGCGTTGAGTGAGGTGTGTGTATCAGTATGTGTGAGTGAGTGAATGTGAAAGGGAAGGAGGAAGAGGAGAGGATGAGAGAGGCTGGGGGAGGAGGAGGAGGAGGAGGCTCCACCAGCACCGTGGGGCCTAGCTCTGTCCCTTCCGAGGAGCTGTGGGGGCGAGTGAACCCCACTCCCCGACCTGCCCCTTTGGAGGGGGGTGGGTGGGTTTAAAGGCCCTCCCTTATGTGGGGGGAGGGACAGCTGGGCAGCGCAGAGCCCCCTTGAGGAAAAGGGTGGGGTGGGGGCACCAGGTTCCCACTCCCCCCTTGGATTGCAGGGCGGGGGGCTGGCAGTGGGGAGCGCCTAGAGGGCCCCACCCCGTTGCAGGAGCAAGGGTTTTGCAAGGTTAACAACCCCCCACCCTTTCATTGCTTAGGAGGGGGGGCAGAAGGCTGAGAGATCGCCAAGGAAGGCACTGGGCCTTTTCCATCTGGGCTCTGTGTGTGAGAGTGAGGCCAGAGCTATGTCCCTGATTTAAAGGGAAAGGCTGATCATCATCATCATCAATAACATTTGGGGACAGCTTTCACCTAGCCCCCACCCCCTTTTGATTCCCTCCCCACTGCTCTCCAAAGTGCATGGAGATGTTGTTGGAGTAACAAGCCAAGGGGCAAGTCCCCCTTCTTCTCCTCCTCCTCCTCCTCTTCTCCCACCTCCAGTAAGCCCAAGGAGTGGGGAGTGGGCTTAGAGAGGGGAGTGGTCTGCCTACATTTGAAAAGGGGAGGGTGGGTGTTCTGGCAACTAAGGAAAATCTCAGTGGTGGGCAGAAGAGGAGGAGGAGGAGTCAGGAGGAAGCAAGGAGGGTTGGGGGGGGGTTACTGGAGGTTGCACCGCGCATAGGCAATGCCCAAGGCTCTATCCAAAATTAGGGGTGCAGGGGGTCCCTGAGTAGATGTGTGCTACAGGGGGAGCTTTCCTTGTTATTTTTTAGATGTTCGGGGGAAGGGAAGCCTCCTCACACATCATCCCCTTGTTTTCTCCCAAGGGCAAGGAAGGAAACCGTGGAGGGTAGAATAGGAGAGAGGGGGTGAGAGGACTGGGGGAAACTGCTGCTATGAATCTGTAATCGCCTCTTTGGGGAGATCGACCCGCCCCTCCGACTCTTCTCCACCCCCCTATTTTTGTGGGGGGGACTGAGGGAGAGACGCACGCACACACAAATCCTTCAACAACTGGTTGGATCTCTTCTCTCTCCCCCCCTCCACTGCCCACCATGACAACAAACCCAGCATTAGAATCGCCATCCGCCCCATGGCCACACAGCAGGTGAGTAGCCCATCTCTCCTTCGCTCCCCGCTCCCAAACCCTTCATGGATTTTAAAGGGGGGGCTGCTCCCCATCTCCAATCTCCTCCCATCCTAAGGCACATTTGGCTGGTGCCTGTCTGTGATATGTGAGTGTTTGTGTAGATATATGTGTGTGTGGTGTGTGTAGCGATTGTAAGACGTACAGCATCTTTTCTCTTTCGGAGGCTGCTGATGGATGAGGAAGAATCTTTGGTGCCTGGATGCGCTTCCCAAAGGTAAGTCCCTCCGCCGCCCCCCATCTCTCTTGGCTTTGCGAAAGAATGCTTTTCAAGGAATAGAGACCCTTGTCCCTTTTCCCCCGAAGCCAACACTTTCTCCCTCCCCCCCCCATTCAGAATTTATTCGCTCTCCCTCTCCGATCTCCAACGTGATGCTTTTGAGGAGGACCCCCAGTCGCTTTGCAAAATAACCCCTTTCCCCCCAAATTAGCTATATATGCAGGGCAGGTCGTGTGAACGCACACAGCATGTGAAAACATCACAACAACTCATATGCAGGGAAGGAGGATTGGGGGGGGGGAGTGCTGTTAAGCTACCAGGCGGGTTGCATGAATGTATCTGTTGGAGGTGGGATCTGGAGCTTCTAAGCCTCCCCCTCCCCCGGCCCCCCCCTCAAATGCAAGGTACACTATTGTGCTTTCCTCAGTTTCCCCATTCCTTTCGGGATCTCCTTTGTTGTTTTTGTTTTCTTGGGCATTCTCCCTCTTTCCCACCCTTACGTGCTGTCACCTTGGGCTGGATTGTTTTGAGTGGGGGCGGGGGGCGTCGGTATTTATTTATTTTTTTGTACCCAAAAGGAAAGCAGGCGTGCGAGCGAGCGGATACCGGGGTGCATCTTTTTTTCTGGCCGGCTTGCTTTTTTTTAACTGGGAAGAGGGGGTCCTCTCCTGGGTGGGCAGCAGCATCTGACGGGCACCAGGGGGAAGCGGAGGAGAGGAGCGGAGTGGCTCCGGGGCGCGCGCGCGTGTCCTGCGCCTGTGTGTGTGGATGTGTGTGCGCGGGGGCAAGCGTGGAACCAAAGTTTCTCCTCTCCGATTTCCAGGGGAAGGAATTGCCGGCCGTAAAGCGCTCCTGCCTCCCTCTCTCTCTCTGTGTTTCTCATGTTTTAAGCCCTGGGGGAGGGAGGGGAGGGGAAGGGAAGCGGAGGAGAGGAGGGGATGGGCCGTGTCTGCCGATTTCAGGGGGCCCTGGATCCGGGATGGCTCCGCTCTCCCGCCTCGAGGAGCTGCGGGATCCGGAGGGATCTGCCGGAGGAGGCTCGCCCCCGAGAGCTGCCTGGACTTAGAGGCTTTTAAAGGGGCGGCGAGAGCGGAGATGTGTCAAGCAGGTTGCAGATGGCGGAGAGGAGCCGAGGGGAGCCAGCAGCCGGCACCGTGCAGGGCCGGGCTGAGGTGTTCGGGATCCCTTGCCAGGACCGGGCCTGTCAGCTCTGAGGCCATGCTGGGGCGTGATGAGGTATCGCAGCCAAGTTCCCATAGACACCACGGCCCTCTCGACTGCCTGCCTGCCTGCCTCCCACCTGAACCCACATGCGAGGGGGCGGCTGGCGGGCGGGCGGCCTTAGGAAGTCGGGGGTGCTGCTTGTGGGATGTGTTTGGTGACCATTTGCAAGCGGGGGCACTGTGGTATGTGTGTGTGGGGGGGGAGAGCACAGCAAGATCAAGTGGCTTATTCAGGTTCACCGAGGCGTTCTGCCACCTAACCTGTTCCTCCCCCTTTACCAGCTCATCCCTAATAGCACCCCCTGCCCTAATTTACAAAATATATATCTATCAAAAGATGAAGTGATGGTGTTTTGCAGCAAAGAACATCAAAAGGTTATGGGCATGCCCAGGTCTGTCCCTCCCCCTCCAGTTTGGGGAACTGAAGTGTTCTGCTGTCTATACCGTAAGTTCATTGCAGGCAGAGGCCATTCAGTGTGGTGCCACCACTTTCTCTTCTCTAATTCCTCCTTGGATCTTTTGGTTTGATGCTTTAGGCCTTGCTCCCCAACCGGGACAGATCCTTTCTCTGAAATATGTGTTAACTCCCCTTGATTGTATTTGTCCCCTGTTTCCTTTGCTTCTCCCCGCCGTGAGAATTTAGGGCAAAATTGGATGTTACTCGCAAAACAGCACTTGCTCAGAAAACACCAGTTCTGCTTCTGCTTCCCTTCCCCCTCCTCTATGTCATACCTGGAAGAACTTTCCTCTCTAACAACCCAGTGGCTCTGTCACATCATTCACTGCCAATGGAGGGATGTGGTGACGTCATGGCGCAAGGGAAGTTCAACTGGACATCATGTAGAAAGAGCAGAGAAGTATATCTGAACCAGCTGTGGTTTTGTGGTTTTTAAAACTTTTCTCAGAGGCCTTGGGATCTAAGTAGTGATGGTGGAGGAGACAATGGGGCCTCTGAGTTTGGTCCTTCAGTTGCAAGCACCTCAGGTCAGGGACCTGCTGTTTTTTGGTTGCATTACTGTGCCATGTACCTGTTGATGGTGTTATATTAACGATTGTCATCAGCGACAGTTGCTAATGATGCAAATGTAGCCCTTTCCTTTTTGGCTTTCCCTTTCTGCTTCTGATATGAAATCTGTTTTCTGAGTTTCCAGCCTCCTCTAGCCAACATCCTCCTCCTTTGCCATCTTTCCCCTGTTCCATCTCTCCCTGCTTCGAGAAAGGCCCTGTGAAAATGGTTGCTCTTAGATTAAGCATGTAGTTTTATTTCAGTGGGACTAATAATGTTTTGGGAAGTGCTACCCATAGAAAAGCTTTCTACAGCCTTGCTTTCATCCTCTGTTTATTACTGTGTGGTTTCTCTCCTCTGTATCCTACCCCCCAAAAAGCTCCACTTCCAATCCATATTGACAGGAAGCTCCTTGTACATTACAGTAGTTCTTCCCTTTGTTTTATGAAGGTAGAACTCAAACATCCCATGCCCATACTACTGATAATTGTCGTTTATCATTTTTGTATCAATTCCACATCTGAGCTGCCAGCTTGGCAAGCAGGCCTCCAGACAGAACTGGGATATTTCTTTTGAGATACCATGTTGGTTCCCAAGAATTTGACTTGTTCCCCCACCCTCAATCAGTGTCTTGGCGTTTCCTTCTTTTCTCTTTTTTTCTAAACCAGATACTGGTTTCTAGAAGCATGAAATATTTTTCATGCCCTGCCTGCAGTATTTCCTCGTGAAGGTTCACCTTTCAGGATAGCGACATGAAACCTGCAAATGCCTCATTCTAAACCAGAGGTGGGCAACCTGTGGCCTTCCAGATGTTGTTGGATTCCAACATGGCCAGTGGCCAGGGATGATGGGAGTTGTAGTTCAGCAGCATCTGGAGAGCCACAGGTCCCCCTTCCTTGTCGTAAACCACATTAAAGCAGTGCAATCTTGGCAGCCACATGTTAACAAGTAACAGAGAATCACTCTTTCTTTTTTTAAAAGGTGCCTCCCATAGCTAGGGTGCTTCTGCTGTCCTTCTCATTTGCTGATCTCCCTGTCTCTTTAGGAGGGGGAACTCACCTGTTTCCTTTCAGCCCCTTCTATAAAACAGTAGATGGGGGGGAGAACCGGCATCCCAGCACCACGGGCACCTGTAATTAAAGCAGCTGTAAATCGCAGTGTCTTTTGTGACTTTGGTGTAAGCAGGCAGAAGAGTGAGAGCAGTGAAGTCCATCCCTTGATTTAACCTAAAAGGTCCCCATTGAGCTGCCGCATTATTAGAATCCAGCTTCTTTTTATTCCGCTACAGCTTTGTCATTAATATCAGGCTTGTAACCTGCACAGAGTTTTTGTGAGGTGGTTCAGTGTTGCTCTTATTTTAGAGAGAGCCAGGCCCGTGGTTGAGCCGAAGTGATGCGTCAAAGGATATATGATGAATCTCTGACAGAGGTAGGATCTGAGTCCATCTTTCTTACCATTGCAGTAGCTCGATCAGCAAGGCATTTCCTTGGATGCCCCTTACTCCTCTGCCGACAGAATAAGACTAAGTAGATTTTATCAGCTGGGGACAACTACATTTTTTTCAAGTATTTCAGAAGAGTTACCCTTTTTTAAAAACGCACCCTCCAACCGCTGTAAAAAAATAATTAATTGGGCGCTTTTCCTTCAATAACACAAAAAAACCCACTGCAAAGGTTCTTAGATTTGTTCTTCTTTATTGGCTATTGCTGTATAATTGCATCCACACCCATGCGTATTCTGTGATTGTATTGGGCATGTGCAAAAGTTGATGTTTAGACAGTGCAGTCAGCATCAGGACCGTGTTTCTAGGTTTGAAAGGTTGCGGCTCAGTGGGGATGAGGGAGCTGTGCTGGATTTTCAGTGATGGGGTGGAGGGGTAGAGAGAAAATCTTAGGGAAATATTTGCTCTCTGTCATGAGCATAAACAGAATAAATAATGTGGAAAGGGGGGAACTTCTCAATTTTGCGTCATTTACTCAGGTTGCCATGCACCTCAGTTTTTATTGGGGATGAAAATGGAAGCTTTGGTGCTGAACCTTTTTGTTTTGGAGCACAAATATGCTCAAGGTTTCTTCTTGCAATTTTTGCCCTCCCTGCTTGATATTTCCCCCTTCCAAACATTGTTGTGGGTTTCTGATATTTTGACTCCTGACCCATTTTTGTGTGATAACTGTTACAGGGGAGGGAAGTTTGTTTTCCTTGAGAACTCTCCGGAGGCTGAGGCAAACCAGAAGACTCTCTGTTGGATGGGGACCCCTTTTATCACTTAAATTTACTCCCCATATATCCTGCATTTCTCCCATGATGGACCTTAAAACAGCTTATAAAAAGGTGTTGCTGCACAGTCTGCTTAGTGTTAGCAAGGTTGCTGCTTCATGTACCTGAAGATCATGTCTTGGAACAAGTAACCCAGGGAAGGAAATAAATAAACTAGAGCCCTAGCTTTCTTTCTGTATTTTTTCATATAGATCAGGGTGCAAACAGACAGAAACAGCAAACCTCATCCCATAAAACCAGCTGCTTTTGAAAGAAAGATAAATAGGATTCAAAAGTGGCTCCTCTGTGGGATTGGGAGCTTTGTCCGGAAATGCAGGTGTCCCAAAGCCCTTTTAAGCATGTAGAATTAATTGTGTGAGAAGGATCGGGCTTGTTGGCTTTGTTTGTTTTTGGATCCTAGTCGTAGTTTTGCAACTATCAATATTGGGTTTTATTAAGTTTGGACAGGATCGTAGAAGATTTAAGACTTTTCAGATGCTGGGAAGCAGAGGTTCTAAAATTGTCAATGAGTTTATTTTCTCTTTTTAAAACTTCTGTTTCTGAACTTTGCCGTGCGGTTATATTCAGCAAAGGTTGATTTGCTCTGCATTCTTGGTGCTGATATTGTAATCTCTCTTGGTTCCTTACTCTGCTGTGCGATGTTTCTGAGAGAGCTGTAGGGTGTTATGTCTGTGTATATGTGTAGTTTGTTCAACAGGAGAGCATTTTTAAAAAATTAGTTTTTGTGGCAGTTGGGGCCTGCAAACACATATACCTTTTTCTCCCTGCTCCAGTGAAGTGGTTTGCTCCTAAGGGGTGTGAAGTGTTCCTCCCCTCCCAGTTCTGTTTCGGACAAAATCTAAAGCCATCGCCATATACACAGGCTTCCTGTTTATAACAAGAAGCATGTCAAGAGCTCTCTGTCGCGTGTACGGAGCATTTCCCTGATCTTGGAGAAGAATGAAAATCCTGTGTGTGTGTGTGTGTGTGTGTGCGCGCGCACACACACACACACACACACACACAGAGCGATAGCACGGAACGAGCTGCTGTAGGTGAAGTTGAGCAATGCAGTCTGTGGCAAAATGAGAGCTGCAAAATGAGGCTCTTGATTGCTTGCACCAAAGAACCAGGCCTGACTGAAAAGTTCTGCAAGACGTCCGGGTTTGTCGCGTGACCTGTCCTAGCCTAGACGGCGATGGGATGCACTGCTTTGCTGTTCCACCCTCTGTGGGGCACTAAGGTTCTTCACAGGCTTGGAGTTGTGGGCCTACTGCAGACCCCAAGTTCCCTGAATCTGCCAAACTGCAGGTGCATATTGACGCTGGACCCCTTGTCCCTTCACCCTTCCCAAAGCTGGGAGGGACACCAAGGCGTCCTGATGTAGTGGGTTGCCCCAATTTCACTTTGAATGGGTGCAATATTTCTTGACCTGAACTGTTCATTCCATGACGCCTTGATGATGGGGACGTATGCTCTCTGCATCTGGCGTGTTGCGCAGGGCTGATCAGCCTTGTCTGCACCCTCCTTTTCATCTGAGCCACATCTTTGCTTGGCCCTTACATGACATCAGATGTAGGGCAGGTGGCCTTGGTGCGTCCATCATGACCTTGCAGGCCGCATTGGAAATCTTGGCAGTCTTAGCCAGGCCTGTGAGCAAAGGGTTTCCACCGCTCCAGTTTCTTCTTCCAGCACATTGCATGTTTAACAGTTTCCTCCCCTTGACGATTATGCCAGGATCTCGGTTCACTTGTTTTTGCGTTTCAGTTTGCCTCTCTCCTCTTCACCTCGGCGGCTGCCACTTTCCTTGCCCACCTGCCTGCCCGCCTTGGAAAGCGGTGGCTCGCTCATCGCTTGCGCACCTCTCTCTCTCTTCCTCTCCCCTTGCAGCCCAGAGAGTAGCTGAAGCGGGACGTAGCCAATGTCGTCCAGCAAAGGGGCGGGGGCTGGAGCTCGCCGGCGGCGGACGCGGTGCCGGAAGTGCAAAGCTTGCCTGCGGTCGGAGTGTGGGGAGTGCCACTTCTGCAAGGACATGAAGAAGTTTGGGGGGCCAGGGCGCATGAAGCAGTCCTGCCTCCAGCGGCAGTGCACGGCGGTGAGTGGGGAAGCGGCAGGGAGGGTGGTTTGCAGGGTGGGTTTCTGTCCAGGGTTTGGGGCTGCTGGTCCCCTGACTCCAGCGCGGTAAATAGAGGGGCAGGTTGGCGCAGATTGGTAAGGGAGGCGTAAAAAAAACCCCCATTGATTTTATTAAAGTTTTCACGGAAAAACTAATATGCCCAACGGCAAAGTGGTAAGGCACTGGCTATCCAATAGCGGCATTCAAAGTGTGTGTCACTATTCGCTCCAAAATGAACTGGACTGCCATGCCGTATGAGAGTCCAGAGTCACCTCTGTTAACTTATAGGAGAGGACACTAAAGTTCAGTAAAGGTATCTTCTTAGATCAGTGATGGCCACACTTGGCCCTCCAGGTGTTTTTGGGCCTACAACTCCCATCATCCCTAGCTAACAGGACCAGTGGTCAGGGATGATGGGAATTGTAGTCCCAAAACACCTGGAGGGCCAAGTTTGGCCATCACTGCTCTTAGATGATTCCTCAACGTCTCTTTTGTTGTGCCAATTTCTCTAAAAGAGCCAAAGACCATACCTTTCATCGCCAACCATCCAATGTGGAATATGAACTGTGTTTCCAGTTATGTCCATTTTCTAACTTGCCTGCCCATCTTAGAAACATGACAAGTGATTTCTGGGTTAATTGCTTGAGATGTGCTGTGATTTTAAATTAGCTAAGAAAATTTGAACGTGATTTTAAATGCGGCATAAGTTTCTGGTCCTTAGGATTGTGAAGGTAAATGCCGTCAAGCCTGCATTGAGGGAGTCTTCATAAACTCTCATGCACTCCTGGTTCTCTCAAGGGTTGAGGCAGGTCATTAAAAATGCCGGCCGCATCTCTTTTCAAAGTCCTCATTCTTGCCGCATGTTCCTGTCTCTTCTGGCTTTGCGTGTGACTCTCAGATATGTCAGACGTGTAGAAAAAAAGTGTGGGGTACAGTTCTAACGGGGGTTTAATAATTCAGGATGCAGGTGGGGGGCTTGGCATGGAGGAATTCTCCATGTTTACAACTATATCTGCATCTGTGCAAGACCACACTGCTCCGTACATATAGAAAGCTAGTATGTTAGGGAGGGAGACTTGAAAAGTGAAAGTGTCTTGCCTGACATGCTGACTTACTACCTTCTGCATGCAGGATTTGTATTATTATTATTATTATTATTATTATTATTATTATTTCTACATAGGAGGGCTTTCACATACTCAGTTTGCCTCACGTGCTCTCTGATGTGTCAGCACTGTCCCTCGAGCTATTTTACTGCATGTTGGAACCTGTCTTATGTCAGTGATTGCCCCTCTTATGAAAGCTCAGGAACCCAGTGCTCTGTGTATGTGTGTGGGGTGTGTGTTCCTTGTGAAAGAATTACAGAATCATAGAATTGTCGAGTTGGAAGGGACCACGAGGGAGCCTTCGAGGCAAAGCAGGAAACCTACCCAACGTGGGGCTTGAATCTGCAACCCTGAGAATAAGAGCCTCATGCTCTACAAACTGAGCTACCCCAGTTCGCATAGAACGCGTTTTAACCAATACTTCCGATGCAAAGTTTAGAACCGGGCATTGCATTCAGTGGCGAAAAAATGCAGTGCGTTCCCACGAGCACAATGGATTGGGAAATTGCCAAAGATAGGCTTCTTCAGGCATCTCAGCTGCATGGGAGAGCCGCTGCACGCATCTAATGTACTGTCAATTCGTTGACTTTTCCCGCAGTTCCTCGTTATAACCTGTTTCTGCGGGGTGGGAAGGAGCCTCACATGAGTGAACCCCCATCCCTGCCCCCGACCCTCCACCCCTGCCCCTCACTTCCCACCCCTCTCTCGTTGCAGCCAGTTCTACCTCACACGGCCGTGTGCCTGGTGTGTGGGGAGGCCGGGAAAGAGGACACAGTGGAGGGCGAAGAGGAGAAGTTCAACCTGTCGCTCATGGAGTGCACCATTTGCAACGAGATTGTGCATCCGGGCTGCTTGAAGGTGAGGGAGTGAACGAAAGAGAGAGAGAGAGAAACTGGCCCTTTCAAACGGCAACAACAACCCCACTCTTTGGGCCTAACAGATGCTGTCACCCCTTTTCTCTTTTGCAGATGGGGAAAGCCGAAGGGGTCATCAACAACGAGATTCCAAACTGTTGGGAATGCCCCAAGTGCAAGAGAGAAGGCAAATCGATGAAAGTACGTCTGGGTCTGCTTTGCAGTGCGGTGGGGGCGATGGAAGACCTTTGCACGGCCAGCCCAGTGTGGGCTGGGGGGCCATCCGTGCCCTTCCAGGCCAGTCTTGCTTTGGGAGGCTCTGTGTGTATGTTCTGGGGAGGGTGGGCGTAATGGAGCCAGGTTTGTGTGTGTATCCTTTCAGTTTGATTTTGCCCTTTGGGCTCCTTGCCCTAAGTGGCTGCTTCCACATCCAGGTTAGGCTCCCAGGTTCTGTGCTTTTCCCTCGCCCCCTCCCAGCCAGCACTGGGGGGGAGTGATGGATGGTTGTGGGGCCCTGGGCGCAGGGAATATGCGGCCTGAAATTCCTCACTCAGTTACTCCTGCTCAGTATTTCCTGTTGTCATGTGGAAATAAACTCTTCTTGAGGCCTCCTGGCCCACCATCCTCAAAGAGAGCGGAGCTGCTTGTTGCCTTGGTAGAGTCATGCTTCCAGACCTCATGAGGCAAAGGGGGTGCTGAATCACTGGGCCCTCAGATTTCTCCCCAGTGAATCATCGCCTGTATGCAACCGGGTCTCTCCTCCCCAACCAGGGTCTTGTGTATCTAGATATGTATTTATAAAATGGCATTCCCCTAAAATGGGGTCCTAACAGCTTGTCTGAAGCTTAAAGTGGAGAGATCCACTCAAATCTCCTGAGGAGGAAGTTACGTACAGCAAAGGCCCCGCCCCAATTTGGAGCAAGTTTTATTTTTTCAGCTTCCAAATTCCAAAAATGAAGGGTGCTAAAAAGTTGCAACATGACTTGGGAATTCAAAAGTTATTCTGGTTTAATTACCGTATTTACTCAAATGTAATGGGTAATTTTTTTGGCCAAATTATGTCGTGAAAATTAGGATGTGCATTAGATTTGATGGCACATTTACATTCGCAAGCAAATACTTTTTTGGTTCCAATGTTTTGAAAATTGAGGTGCGCATTAGATTCAATGGCACATTAGATTTGCGTAAATATGGTAATATTTATTTTATTTACCAAACAAAACTAAATTGTGTGTAAAAGACATAAAAATCATATAAATGTATTATATATTAATGTTTTATTTATTATTATTATTATTATTTTATTTAACATTAGCTGACATGTTCAGAAGATAAAATTGAAATTATTTGATTCTCAGAAAGCAACTTATATGCTTCTTTACCAAACATAGACTCACCAAGCTAAATGTTACCCAGTCACAAAAATAATAGCAGGTGTGCATTCCTCACGCTCAGAAATGTATTAAGACCTCTCACTGAAGAAATTTACAAAAATTAAGTTTTGTCCCCTAAATTGACACTCCCTACGTGTCCCAGCCAACTGTGTACCTCCAGGAGGCAAACGAATGTTGTGGTTGATGTTCTGCTGATGATAAATATAAAAGGGCACATTTTCCATTTTGGAAACTGCCCATGAGGAGCAACATTTTGAAAAGGCTGTCGTGCTTTTCAGGGGAGAATCCGTGTATCACAGTGGTAATGTCTCCCCTGCCTGCCTTCCACCAGTTCTTTCCTCAGCACGAAAAGATTACAAGAAATCAGGGTGGATTTGATTTAAATCATGATTTAAATCACTAGTCAATAAGACTTGATTTAAATCATTTTCTTACAGAAAGACTCATTCTTGCTGGTATAATCTTAATATTTACAACCAGATGAAGGTTTTGTTTTTGGAATAAATTTTCAGAATACTTTTTACAGTTTACAAAAATTACTGATTTGTTTATATTATTAGAAACACATATACAGATAATTATGAAATTATTGTGAGGTTTAATAAGTTAACTATTTATATTTGGGCAATGTTTTCTGCTGTACTTTATTGGAAGGAGAAAAACAATCATTTCCTTAATAATAATTTAAACAATTTATTTAACTAAAGCAATAACATTATAGCATATGTATACATGTTTGTTAACTTATGCGATTAAACAATTAAAAAAACAAACTTAGACTGAGTTTTAGCACACATGAAAAACTTGAAACAAATGACTATTATGTAATTTAAATAGAAACCTATCTTTAGAAAGATTTTTCCTCCGAAAGCATTTTATTTTTAAAATCTGATTTAAATTTTTAAAAATCTGATTTTTAAAAAACTTTTAAATAAAAAAATCATTGATTTTTATCCACCCTGCAAGAAATGCAAGAATCTTATTCTTCCCGCCTTCCTTTTTTATCCCCCTTTGGAGTCCCTGAGCAAAACCATTGTCTGGCTCTTTGTCTGCCGTCTGGAAAACATGTTTACGCTAGTCCACGCTCAAGGACAACTTGCCATGTTTAAAATAAAACTCCCCACATGTGTTGAGCCGTCTTGCGAGTGGCCGCATCCTGCTGCTGTCGGGTCTGTGCCCAATGCAGGTGACCCCTATCCTGCTGCTCTTGAGAGTCCTCTCGCTTTTGCCGAAGCCCATCCCACCATCCCCCTGTTCTCTTTGGGCAGCAGGAAGTGGCTGTCAGGCTGCTTGCCCTCTTCCTCCCCCTTCCCTTGCTCCATCTTGCACGTAGGTGACCGCTAACTGCCGCTGCCCCTCTCCCCTCCTTGCGCCCGCAGGACTCGGGCGACGGCACGGGGAAGCGGCGTTCCGACAACGGCGAGGACGGCGTCCGGTGGAAGCTGACGGACGAGCCTGCTCAGAACAAGAAGAAGTTGGCGCCGGCGCCGCCTTTGCCCCCGCCACCCACGGAGGAAAGCCCAGTTCAGGCCGGGACCCACAAGCGGAAGAAGGAGAAGGAGCTGCCACCCCCAGACGCAGGGCCCAAGAAAAAGGTCAGAGGCTGCCGCTCTGTCTGACGGATGTTGCGTGCCTGGCCAGGGACCCAGGGCCCTCTCCTGGGGTCTCCAGTGTGGTTCTGGACACCACAGCACCCCCCTGAGACCCTCCTTCAGTGCTAACCAAGCCCCTCTATCTTCCTGCCCCCTTTTCTTTTTTTACAATGCCTTTCAGGATCTTTCCCCCCCTTTTGGTGGGGGATGGTTTGATTTCAAATCAAGGTGATTTACATTGGCAAGGTGTCAAAGGGCGATTTAAATCATGGAGCCTGTTCCTCAGATTTCCAAATGTGTTTCTGAGCCCACTAAACGTGGAGGACCTCTGGCCTCCTAGGATCACCCCACTAGAAGACTCCAGCTGGATCATACCAATGGTCCATTTTGGCGAAGCATCCCATTTCCTCGCAGTGGCAGACAGCTGCTTCCAGGAAGGCCATGAGCAATATGCGAAGGCAATAGCCCTTTTCGCGTTTTGTCTCAGAGCAGCTGAGATTCTGTGCCAGGCTGCCTCCGAGCGGGGAGGTTCTTTCTGACACCCCTTCTTTCTTTTGACCCAATGGGGTGGGGGCCAGAGGAGGGACAAACGGCTGTTCCTAGTGATCTGAACTGATGGCTTGCAGAGGCTTTTTGAAATTAGGCCTGAGATTGCTTAACATGAGGTTGAGCTCTGTTATTCCTTCCTACTGAGAGTGAGATCCAGGAGTTCCAGTTCCCTCCTGGCACATTGGAGCAGGAATGGAGCATGTGTTTCAGCCAAGAACTGGCCTGCCCTCAGCACCCTGCTTGGGGCAGGTATATGGGGCTGCCCACCTATCAGTCACTGGGCATCGGGTGGCAGCTTCTCAGACCCAATGATTGGTGCTGACAGTCAGCCCTGCTTTGTCCATTTGCAAGTGTGGTTTACACTGGACCCCGCAAATGGGCATTTTTACTCCTCCTTCCTGAGTTGTTGATCAGGCTTATGGTTTTGGTCTTCTGCGCTGACCCCACTAAGAGGGATGGGCAGAGGGGAGAGCTAACTCCTTCCTCCAGAACATCCCATCGCACCTTTTTCCTTTGTTTCTTTACACCCAGTAACTTGCTGCACCTGATGGGACAGCCTCCCAGCTTGCCCTCATTCCCAAAGGCTTTCCTTTGCCCTCAAAATCCTTATTGGGTCTTCTGAATTAGAGACACTGCAGCCCAGAATTCCAACAGTCTTCTCTTCTCTCTTGCAGTTAAAAGGCACGCGGGAAAAGCATTTGAAGAAGGTGAGTGCTTGTGAGTTTTCTCGCCCAGCTTGATTTTATGGAGCAAGGCCAGGATAAGATAACAGAGGGATAGCAGAGGGAACCAGGACACGGAGGCTGTGCGGAGAGAAGTGGAAAGGGAGTGACCTGCTTACCAGCATGTGAGTGCACCTTGTATTTCTCTAGCACGTTTGAGCAAGACGTGCGCCTGTTCTGTCCACCAGCATAGCTCTGCACAACATCAGGTCGCAGAACCTCCATTCCATCCTCCTCCGTACAGTATCAACCCAGGAAGCTGCCTCATGCCAACTCAGACCATTGGCCTGCCTAGTTCAGTCTTAATCTGCACTAACTGGCAGTGGTGCCTTCTAGGATTCGAGGCAGGGAGTCTCTCCCAGTCTTACTAGGAGAAGTTGGGACTTTTTGCATGCTAAGCAGATGTCTGACTGCTCAGCTTTAGCTCATCCGCTACCTGGTCTCAAAAACACCCCCAAGCGAAGAAGAGTCCACCCCCCACCTCCTGGGGCAGTTGTCTTTCTGCTGTCAAACAGCTTGTGCTGTTGAGGAAGTTTCTCCTAACATTTAGCTACAATCAGCTTCCCTGATGTTTCCTTCTCCGTCCTCTAGAGTGGCAGAGGCCGAGCCTGCTGCATTTTCACTGGGCAGAATGCCGAGCCATCTCCCAGGTCCCAATCCCTTTCATATAAACCCAGGGGGCTGCTGTTGTCAGATTCCAAACGGAGGTTCACACAATTCAGTGCACGTTTTTCTCAAGTAGCTTGCATGTCCTAAGACGCATCTCTCTCTCTCTAGCTCACTTGAACTTTTGTGTGTCTCTCTTTCTTTCTTTCTCTCTCTCCTCTGCCCGCACCTTTCCTTTCCAGGCCACTGAGCAGCAGCCCGATGGGAACAAGTTGCAATCCATGCAGACCTGGAGCCGCATGGGCAGCGGGGACTTTGAGGTGAAGGGCACCATCTCCCACCCCTCCATCCACTTGAATCAGATCACCGCCAGCGACTTAGAGGTGAGAGGTGGGGTTTAGCTGGGGCGTCTGTGAGTGGCTGGCAGCCTTCAGGCATGTAGGAAGAGCCTTGCCCAATCAGACGTAGGGGAGGCCTTTTGGGAAGCCCGAGTGGGTTTCTGCAATGCCTGGTACCGAGAGAGGCATCCTGCAGAAGCAGAAGCAGTTTCATGTGGTGAAAGGAGAAGAGCAAGTCCTTGGTTCTGGCTGAGGCAGTAGATAGGAGGTAGCTGGGCAGCAGCAGCCTTCTCCTGTTTCAAGGCTGAATTTTATTTGTTTATTCTATCCCACCTTTTCCCATGGAAACAGACGGCAGCAATATGTGGCTCGTCTCCGTTTTTGATCCCTGCAGCAGCCCTTTGACGTAGATTAGGCTGAGAGACGACACTGTTCCCAAGGTCATCCAGTGAGCTTCAGGGCTGAGCAGAGACCCTTTTCTTTTTTTTCATACAAAATATGTTCTCACTGAGCCACAATCCCACATGGGGGGGGAAAAAAAACGCCTTCAGGAAAAGTGGGCTGGGATTCTCTGCTAAGCATATTCTCAGTTTTTTCATTGCCTTCATTGGTCTCTCATCCAGAGCAGGACATGCTGAGCTTCCCAGGTGCCTTCACACCGTAGTCTGATGCTGTCACTAAGTGGCCACTCCACCCCTCCAAAAATTCTTGCCGGTCCAGCTGGCTTCAGGGGCACCCCAAGTGATGCATCCTTTTCATGTGCATTGCCAGCAACCCCACAGACTGCGGCAACGGCTGCCAACTTGGGAGGCTTTAAAAGGGGTTTAGTGGAATGGATGGAGAATAAGGCTCCAGAATTGCAGTATGCCTTTGAATACCTGTCGCTGGGGATCAGGAATGAGACAGTTGCCCTTCTCATAGAGTCATCTGGTTGGTCAATGTGAGAACAGAACGCTGTGGTGTGATTGATCTGATCCAGAAGGACTGCGCTCGTGTTTCCTTTGGCCACTAGGTGGGGCTGCAGTCATATGACAGGGAATATTATCCCACCTGACCATTTGGGGAGGGGGGTATCCTGCCAAAGGACAGTTCCCCAGGCTGACAGCGGCACCCTCCTAGCGGGATGTCAAATATGCATAAGCGAAGAGCACTGAGATACAGCTGCGAATACAGGCGTTTGCGATTTTCACAAACATGATGTGGTTACTTGATCCTTTACAACTATTTGATTTATAACCTGTCCATCTCAAAGCCACAAGGCAGGTAACGTCATTTGGAAAACACTAAAACACTCCGTAAAAAAATTACTGACCAATGGCTATTGGTTTTTCCAAACTTGCCCGCTTTGTCCAGAAGATGCCCCAACTTGGGCTTTGGTGAGTCTCCAGGCAACTTGATTAAAAAACTACAACCATGTTTCTGTCTTGTCTTCCAACAACAACGTTCGCTAAAGCGCCCTGCAAGCAACTGTTTGAAACAGTTTCGTTACAGAAACATTCCAAAGCAGGGCATGGCAGAAAAGCAGCGTCCAGTCAAAAACTGCTAAATGCTTGGTCAGAGATGCTGCTACGGCAGCAAAGTAGATTCCTTGCCCACCCCCATGGTTAGATTTGTGGAGAAAGTGGTATCAGCCTCCTGTCTGAAGGGGGTGCAGCTGGACCTGGCGTTTTCTCTAGAGACCTTAACTAATCACTCACCTTTGTGGGTGCATTCCCCATCATCTAATCTAGATGTTACGAAGGCAGCTGGATCACGTAGAGGCCAGACTGTTGATCTTGGGAGGTGGTTGGGGGTTGCTTTATTCAGTCCGCTTGCATTCCGCCTTGTCTTCTGTTGTGGAATTCCAAGCAGACTGTACGTGGGAGCCCTGAGTCCAGGCTGTGTCTCTTGAGTGTTGAGAGTTGCATTTCATATATATCTAGGGTAGCAGGATGCTGGGATCTTCCCTCCTGGCAAGAATCCGTTGTTTTGAAACAAATATGTCAACCCTACCATTGGTAAGCGCCAGGTCTGGATTTACCATAAAGCAAAATAAGCACATGCTTAGGACATTAAGGGAAGAGGGGAGCACCACAGAAATTTTCCATTGCTGAATTTACCATGGGCCAGCAACTTCACTTTTCAGTTCGCAAATTCTGAGACAAAATCTATCTACGTTAATTCAGCTGTAAGATAGTACCGTATTTTTCACTCTATAAGACGCACCAGACCACAAGACGCACATAGTTTTTGGAGGAGGAAAACAAGAAAAAAAAAAATTCTGAATCTCAGAAGCCAGAACAGCAAGAGGGATCGCTGCGCAGTGAAAGCAGCAATCCCTCTTGCTGTTCTGGCATCTGGGATAGTTGTGCAGCCTGCATTCACTCCATAAGACGCACACACATTTCCTCTTACTTTTTAGGAGGGAAAAAGTGAGTCTTATAGAGCAAAAAATACGGTAATTAAATTGTGTGTTTCATGGAATAAAGTGGAAGTGTACAAAAAAAATAGACATTTTCCATCTTACTGTATGGTTTATTTAATTTAAAACAATAACAATTTATTACACGATTTCTATTTTGAATTAGATATATGTGGGGGTACCAAAATCTTTTTAAGTGCTTAGCCTTAGGGCCTCTAAAGGTCTTAATCCAGTCTTGGTAAACACCCTCTGGAAGGGGGATCCTAGAACGGGGATCCTAGAATCGTAGAATTGGAAGGGACCACTAGGGTCATTTAGTCCAACCCCCTGCAATCTTTTGCCCAACATGGGGCTTGAACCCCTAATCCTGAGATTAAGAGTCGCATACCAACTGCGCTACCCCAGCTTCTTTTTCAAGACAACATGTGATGAAAAGGTCCAGGCAGGGTGGGATTGTGGTGCCCTCCAGAGAGTGAATTCCCAAGACACATCCACCCCCAGCCAGCATGACCAATGGTCAGGGATGATGGGAGTTGTAGTCCTGCAAGCAGGGAGGGCATCCGGATGAAAGCCAAACCGAGCTAGCAACCCAGGGCACAAGCTCTCTTGACTACCGGTCTTTCCTTTCCTGCCAGAAGCCGAAGGGTCCTCCGGGCCCCCTGGAGGCCTCCACGCAGTCGGACAAGTCCCACCAGCGGGAAAAGTTGGAGCGCTTCAAGCAGATGTGCCAGATGTTGGAGCGGGTGAAGAACAGCAGCAGCTCGAGCTCCAGTTCGGACTCTGACTCCGACACGGACTCTCGGGGCTCGGACGGCTCCAGCGGGGGCGTGTCGAGCCGAGCCGCCTCCCCAGCCACCCGCTCCCAGCGCCTGGCCGCCCTGGGCTTCAGCGCCAGCGAGGACGACGAGGAAGAGGACGAGGAGGAAGAGGAGGAGGCGTCGGAGGGCGGGCGTCGCAACGGCAGCTCCGAGACAGCGCGCAACGGCAAGCAGCCGAAAGCTCGGGGGAACTCTCAGGAGAAAGAGAACAATCACCGCCCGACCAGCCGGGGCAGCGAGCGGGCCAAGCAGCAGGCGGGCGGGCGCAAGGCGGGCCGGCCCGCCGGGCAGACGGGCCTGCGCATGGTGGCGCGGACTCAGTTCCTCAACTGGCCCCTGGTGCCCTCGCCGCCCAAGCCTCTGCTGCAGCTGGAGCGGCACGTGGTGCGTCCGCCGCCCGACAGCCCCGAGCCCGACTCCCTGCCCTTGGACAGCGGATCCGACCATATCATGCAGCGGGACGTTTGGTTGGCCGTCTTCCAATACCTCAGCTATCGGGAGCTGTGCGTCTGCATGAGGGTGTGCCGGACGTGGAGCCGTTGGTGAGTGCCGGGGTGGCCGGGGGCTTGCCTGGAGGAGCAGGCGGGGAGCCCCAGAGAGGTCCCGGGAGCAGGGCGGGGTGGGGGAGCAGATTTTAGGTCGCACTTGTACAGCTGCTTCCTGTTGCGTTCCCTGAACTGCCTGGAGCCATATTGTTTGGCAGACCCAGGATGGGCATATTCAGCAGCTGCGTAACCTGCGAATGGAGATGACGGGGAGACAGGAGTGCGAATGCCACAAGCGCTGATGGTGACACCGACGATCTCAGGATGGGTAGTAGAGCTGGGCCATAATCTGGTTTTAAACATTGCGATGTATCACCAGTGAAACATCACGATATGCTGATAAATCACGATGTCCGAAATAAGGATGTAGAGGTATTGGCTGACTTCACGGTTTTTCCTGCATTGTGATTTTTGCCGGCGCCTGCTCTTGTGATTCTTGTGAGTTGAGCCAGCACAGATAACGGGGTGCAGAAATCGAGAGACTCGTTGGCTGGCTTCACGGTTTCCCCCCGCATTGTGATTTTTTGCATAGCATACATACATGCATAACATGCTTTGTGATATATTGCCAGTTCAAAAGTTAGGAAACGGATATCACGATACGACTTCAAAACCGGTTTTGGATGATGTATCGCTATATCGCCCAGCCCTAATGGGGACTGCTGTGTCTGGAGGGAAGACTGGTCTGCGTTAGGGAGCCTTGTAATGTTCTGATGGAGATTTTCTGCCTGAGCTCATGCGTGGGATTTCTCTTGGCGAGAGCTGCCCATGCCAGGAATGGGGGGCTTATTTCTCCTTGCACTGAGCTGTGCATGGCACGGGAATGAACCAAGGAGGGCTCTCAGGGCCGCTATATTGGAGATGTCCCTTTCTTGAAATCCTGGACAGCTGCTGCCAGTTAGTGTTGCCAGCACTGAACTAGATAAGCGCAGTAGTCCGACTTTATGGCAGGCAGGTTCCCAGCCTCTTCACATGTGTGCTCCTTGTTCCTGGGTTACGCTCACTATTTCTCTTTATTTGCTCAGTATCTTAAGGAGCTCTAGTGTCCAAGGAGCTCAGGGGGGCTGGTATCATATCTCTTCCTCCCTCTACTGTCACCCTCACGAGAGCGACCGGGCCAAGGTCAGTTATGACCCAAGATCTCACTGGTCTCAAGGAATGCTGGGAAGTCCTCTCCCCCTAGATAAGCAGAGCGTCCTTGCTGGACATGGTGCTTTCGAGCAGTTTCCACCAGCCTGGGCATGCTTTGTAAAAGCAAGGCAAGCAGCAAAAGATGACCTTGATCTTTGGAAGTTTCAACTGTGGGAAGGAAGAGGCCAAGGTCAATGAGACAGAAATCAGAACAAACGCAGTGATACGCACTTGAGGTTTCTCTGTACGTGATAATGAAGGCTTCGGGGATTTAAGAAATTGCCTTATCCTTCTGCTTTCAAGCCCTATTCATCTTCAAGGCTTCTACGCATATCTATGTCAACAATCTTATTATTATTATCCATTTTTGGCAAAGCAAGTAGTAAGAAACAGGAGTGAGGGGTGGGGAAGGCAGAACAGTCTTGCACAGGAGGGGTTCAAAACTCAAATGCCAAGGACAGTTGCCACGTCCCTCCCTGTGCTTGCCATCTTAGCCTGCTTTGGTGTCATTTGCCAGCAGTGTCTTGCCATATGGATTGGTGGCAGGGAGGTGTTTTCTTCATGCCATTACAGAAAATTCCCACTGTCTTGCAGGTCGTCCTGCTGTGCGCAGGCAAATGGAGCGGCTCCTTCTACGTGGCAGACCTCTTCTGTCTGAACATGGGACAGCTATGTAGCTGTCAGAACCTAAAAGTGGGCTTAAAAAACCCCAAAACACTTCCTTTAAAAAAACAAAAACAACTTCCGCCTTGCTAGTTTCACTTTCCGATGGGCAGGAAACAGCTTCCCATGCCCAGCCCATGCGAAACGTATCAGGGCTATGGGGATAGAGGAAAAGGGGTGGGAGCATTCATTTGTATATTCATTGCCTAATGTGATGCTCCATTTTGACTTCTCAAGAGTCATGTTGGCATAACTTAGGGTTGCAGCTTGTCCTTGGCATGCAGAGGGTCCAATGTTGAACTCCCAGCATCTCTAGTTAAAAGGATCTCTAGCAACCAGGTTTGGGAATCACGCCTTTTGGAGACTTTGGGTTTAAAACAGAAAGAAAGAAATATTAGCAAAGATATCCAAAAATTAAACACTGCAGAGGGGAAGTTTGTATTGGGGAGGTCCAGCTATCCTTCTGGAAAGCTAGTCTGCCATTTCTGATGGTTCTCATTGAGGAGCTCCATCTCTCCTGGCAACTGCTGGGTCGAACTGCAACCTTTGATCAATTCAGGGTTGATTGATTACAGACCAATACAGACACTTCCATTTAACTGAGCAACACAGAATTTTTAAAAAGTTTTTTCTTAATGCAGTTATAAAAGCGACAAGTGGCAGATGCAATATTCACCCTCTAGGCAGGAGTGGGAAGGCTGTTTTTGCACCGTGTTTGTTGTGAGAGATGTGTTCACCATCAAAGACCAATGGAAGGATGCCTTTCCCCCTCCAGAACTGTTTTTTTCCCCTTCTCGTTGTTGCATGCAGATGTAGGCAATTGACTTGATATGACGGGTCATTTAAAAACTCATAGGATTGATTTAAGAATTTTTTTTAATTGTGCGGCTGTCCTGCTTCTGAGACACAGTTTGGAAGCAAATGAATGAAAACTTTAGCTCAGGAATGAAGACCCTGTGACCTTTCACATGTCTTGTGAATGAACCCTACCCCGCGCCCTTAATAGCCTGTAATGGGTTTTTACCAGCCAGCTAAGAGGCTGGTCTCTTGTGTTTCCATGCTGGACGCAGAAGAGGAAAACCCCTTTCTTCACAGCCAATGCACAAAAGCAGGATAGTAGCCTTAAATTACCTCTACCAAACAGGATGGCAGAGCTGAGAGAGAGAGAGGCTTCTCTTCCTTTGCACAGGACAGAAACCCAAACGTCCTTGGCAAGGAAGGGAAAGATTTGCCTCTCCACCTCCACCAGCCCACTGAATTTTTGGTCGCCTGTGGCTACTAGCCAAGTTAGGATCAGTGTTTGTCTGAATGTCAGTTTGCTGGGAATCCCAATTGGGAAGAGTTGCTGTGGCACTCGGGTCCTGCCTGCCACCTTCCTGTAGGCACCTGCTTGGCCGCTGTGAGAGCAGAGTGCTGGACTTGGGCCTGATGCAGCAGGACTCCTCCTACATTAAGTACAATCCCGGATGCGGGTGGCGCTGTGGTCTAAACCACTAAGCCTCTTGGGCTTGCCGATTGGAAGATCGGCGGTTTAAATCCCTGTGATGGGGTGAGCTCCTGTTGCTCTGTCCCAGCTTCTGGCAACCTAGCATTTCGAAAGCATGCCAGTGCAAGTATATAAATAGGTACCATTGCGGCGGGAAGGTAAACGGCATTTCCGTGTGCTCTGGTTTCCGTCATGGTGTTCCATTGTGCCAGAAGCATTTTAGTCACGCTGGCCACAGGACTGGAAAGCTGTCTGCAGACAAGCACTGGCTCTCTCGGCCTGAAAGCGAGATGAGCGCCGCAACCCCATAGTCGCCTTTGACTGCTCTTAACAGGCCAGGGGTCCTTTACCTTTTTTATATATACAATCCTGGATCAACCCACCAATTCTAAACATTTTAGCCCTGCTAATGAACGATTGCACACAGATGTGTTTTTGCACCCCCGCCATCTCCTGGACTGAGTTCTCCCCTTCTGCCGCTCTTCCCCTCGCCCCAGGTGCTGTGACAAGCAGCTATGGACGCACATTGACCTGAGCCGTCGGAAATCCATCACTCCCTCCATGCTGAGCGGCATCATCCGCCGGCAGCCGGCCAGCCTTGACCTTAGCTGGACCAACATCTCCAAGAAGCAGCTAATGTGGCTTCTCAACAGGTTGCAAGGTATTGTGGGTTTTTTGTGGGGTGTGTGGGGTGTGTGGAGGAGCACTTACACCCCCTTTGCTAATCAAAAGTCTCAAGGTGGCGCACAGTGATTTAAAGTTAGGCAGTGGTTTCTAGTGAGCGGCAAAAGCGGCTATATGAGCACACAGCCCAGTTGCAATGCTGCTGCTGGATCTCTGGGCCATGGCAGGTCTTGGCAGAAATCACCCCAGCCTGCAAACACCTGGTGTAGCAACTGGATGTTGTGGCTCAGAGGGAGCGTCTCTTTCAGCTTCTGTTTCCCAGCAGCCAGAGGCTCTGGAAGGAGCAAAAGTGCTTACAGACCTACACACCCCGCCCTGGTCTTCAGATATTCCAGTTACTGTTGTTATCTGAATAAGTATCTCAGTTGGTTAGAGTGTGGTGCTGATAACGCCATGATTGCAGGTTCGATCCCCATAAGGGACAGCTGCATATTCCTGCATCGCAAGGAGTTGGACGAGATGATCCTCCGGGTCCCTTCCAACTCTATGATTCCATGATTATTATTTATTAAATAATTGCAGGGAACCAGGCAGAGTGGCTTCTCAGTAGTGGCACCCACCCTGTGGAATGCCCTCCCATCAGATGTCAAGGGGAAAAACAACTATCTGACTTTTAGAAGACATCTGAAGGCAGTCTTGTTTAGGGAAGTTTTTAATGTTTGATGTTTTGTTGTGTTTTTAATATTCTGTTGGGAGCCACCTCGAGTGGCTGGGGAAACCCAGCCAAATGGGCAGGGTATAACTAACTAACTAACTAACTCACTCACTCCCAGGGCAGTTCTCACACACACACACACACACACACACACACACACACACACACACACCATAAAGAAAATGAGAACAGGAAATACATAATACATGAACAAAAACAAACCAATAACACCCCCCTCCCACAAGCACATTTAAAAGGCCATAGAATGTTTGATCAGCCAAAGGCCTGGTTATAAAGAAAATATTTTGCCTGGCACCTAAAAGGCAAGGCAAACCTCCCTGGAAAGAGCATTCCGCAAATGGGGAGCTACCACAGAAAAGGCCCGTTCTCGTGTTGCCACCCTCCGGACCTCTCATGTAGGGGACACACGAAGAAGTGGCTCCCTGTCGCTAACTATCTGGGCCTCAGCAAAGTCATGAGAAAGTAAGCCCAGCCGGAAGTAGACTTGAGTTGTCAGGGTTTGGCATATGGCTTTCAGGACTGAGTAGTAAAGAAGTTTTTGGGGCCTTGTTTGTTAGGAGGTGGGAGATAATTGGCTAAAGGGAATGTCTGGTGTCCAGAAGGGGGACTGTGCCTAGGCTGTACCACCTTATTTTACTTCTTTAAGGCATTTGCATCCTGTTGTACAGCACAGAGAGGCTTTCAAGGCACCTTACAAAAATTATCACAGTCAAAATGATAGCTGTGTTTGGTATCGGGATCCGAAACGTCCCCATGGCGACAGGGTTGTCCAGGTGGCATTTCCTGCCTTCGGCCTTGGTTTCCTTGGTGATGTCTTGGGAGGGCGGCCTGATTGATTCAGGGCAGACACTTCCGATAGAGGCGGGACCTCACTTTATGGAGTGGTCCCTCCCCATGCAACAGGGGGGGAAAACACTAATCCTTCTGCATGGAAAACCTGTGTGGTCATGAAATATATATATATGAGAAAAACTGCATGACCAGGAAAGGGGTTCCCTCTTAATCTTCTTGACACCTTCATGCCCCCCAAATGTACTTTGTTTTAAGCAAAGGCACCCATTGGATGGGGTGGGGGGAGTCCCCACACCCTGGAATGAACCATGGTGTCAAATCCCTGGGTTTTTTTATAATTATTTTTTAAAGAGTAAGCTTCTAGCATTTGAAGAGCCTGTGATACAAGACAAAATATTTCCCTGCTTTTTCAAAATGAGAAATGAGCCTCCTTCCTCTTTCAGCATTTTACTTTACAAACAGGCGCCCCAGGAAAAAAATTCTGCTTCTGGAGAGGAGCATTGAATCAGGAGAGCCAACCCTCTCCCCCCACACTCTGAGTCTCACATGGAACAGCCCAGCCACAGGTGTCCCACTTCAGTGAGCCACTCTGCCTTGAAGCAGGAGGTGGTTTGGTTGGGTGGGCAGCAGGTGGAGGAGATGGGGAGCCAGGGTCACGACCCAGGAGCAATTCCATACACAGGTTCATGTCTCCTACACTCTAGCCTCTGCTCTCTGGGTGCGCAGAAGTCAGTGCCCCCCCCCCCAGTCCTTTGCCCTCCAGGCTTCCTGCCCTCTTGACGGTGGGTGCGAGGGTATATTTTTTTACTGGGGGGAGACCCTGAGCTGCGAAGCAGCACTCGTCACTTCTCAAAGGAAGTGGGGGCAGGACCAGCTGAAGGTGCGGAGGAGAACCTCAGTGACAAAGTGTCATCTCCTCATCCCCCCCAGGCCTCAAGGAACTCATCCTGACAGGCTGCTCTTGGTGCTCCGTGTCGGCGCTCAGCACAGCCAACTTCCCCTCCCTGCGGCTCCTGGATTTGCGTTGGATTGAGGACGTCAAGGACTCTCACCTCCGCGAACTGCTGTTGCCTGCCCCGGATGCCAAGCCGGGTAAAACGGGGCACGCAATGGGGTGGGGTGGAGAGGCCCTTTGGGGAAGGGCCCGCAGTCGACTCTGTTCCTTTCCTTCATCAAACTGCAGGCATAAAATAATGGATTGTGTTCCTTGCTCTCCCTGCAAAATTCTTCCAGGACATTAGACATCATTAACTGTATATTACTGACCTGCACCTTTCAAACAATTGCTTAAAATTTGCAACCAATCATGTTCCATCCTGATTAGTTTTTTAGGTACCAGGGAATTTTTTGTTTCATGCCGTATAGACAACAGTCCTAGCTAGCTTCCTCTGGAAATACTTGCTAAGAGAAGGGGATTTGTCTGTACTTAAGGTGATCCGTAAAAGTGGGCACCTTGCTCATCAACCTGGAATCTTATTTCTTTATTTTTTAAAAATACCACACAGTCCATTGCCTTGTTTCTGGGGGGTGGGTGCTTGTGTTTCAGGGGCAGCCAAGGCGACGCCCTCTCGAAACTGGACTACAACTCCCATCAACCCTTGCCATTGGCTCAGCCAGCTGGAACCGATGGGAGTTGGAGTGCAACAGCTTCTGGAGGGCTTCCTCGGATACAAAATCTGCAAATGCCGTTGGACAAACCTCAAACTGCCACCCTTTAACAGCAGCTTGAGCCGGCCGCCTCCAAAAGGGATTGCGCCCTCTGGCCTGGCTGCCCTGCCTAACTCGTCTGCTTCCTTCCCCCTGCAACCGCCAGGCCAGACCGACAGTCGGGGTCGGCTCCAGAATGTTTCCGAGCTGCGGCTCTCTGGGCTGGACATCACGGACTCCTCGCTGCGCTTGGTGATCCGGCACACGCCCCAGCTTGCCAAACTGGACCTGAGCCACTGCAACCACGTGGGCGACCAGTCTGTTAACCTGCTGACTGCTGCTAACTCCCCACTCCGAGAGACCCTTGCCGAGCTCAACCTCGCCGGTGAGTGTCGGGAATTTCCTTCCTCTCCCCGAATGTCGTTCCTCAGTCTTCTCTCTTACCAATTTTGGTTTGTCTCATTTATATTCCACCTTTCCTCCAAAGAGCTCAAGGTGGCAAACGTGGTTCTCCCCCAGCCCATTTTGATCCTCACAACAGCCCTGCGAGGCTGGTTAGGTTTTTGGATTTTGGATTTAATATCCCGCTTTAGATCTGAAGGAGTCTCAAAGCGGCTAACAATCTCCTTTCCCTTCCTCTCCCACAACAAACACTCTGTGAGGTGAGTGAGGCTGAGAAACTTCAGATAAGTGTGACTGGCCCAAGGTCACCCAGCAGCTGCATGTGGAGGAGTGGGGAATCGAACCCGGTTCACCAGATTACGAGACTACCGCTCTTAACCACTACACCACACTGGTTGACTGTCATAAGGTCAGCTTTGTTGGCGGGTGGGGATTTGAACCCTGGTCTCTCCCGGGCCATAGTCTGACACTCACTACACCATGTTGACTCTCTCCTGGTTGCTCTGGTACCAATCCTTTCCTGCTCTTTAGGCAAGTCTTATCATAGGTCTCCACCACTTAGGACGTCCCTACTGGCGCTTTTTGGGTCTTGTGCTGCCTATGCAAGCCTCAGTCGTCTGCCCCCTTCTTTCCCTAGCCAGATCTGAATGTTGCAGGGAATGGTTGTCCTTAAACAAGAACAACAACAACAACACAGATGTAATTTTTATTGTTACCTCCACCTAGTCCCAAGCACAGCCTCAGAACTTCCAAGTGTGGCTCAGGAAAGAGACAAGAATGACTGTTTCTTGTCAGAAGACAACGCAAAGAGCAGCTAGACAACTGTGCAGGGTGTATCAGCCTTATAAGTGTGTGCTAGTTTTACAAGTTCTTAAACTATCATGGCTCCCAGCCATCCCCCCAAATCCTAGGAATTGTAGTATGTTCATTCTATGCTGAGAATCTAATTAGAAAGACCAGTTCCCATAGTTTCCTCAGCCGATGAAATTACTATTAGGCCTATTAAATATGTAGTGAAGATATGCCTTCCACCCTTAGAATAAGTGAACTTAGATATTTCCTATGCATGCCACCTAAAAAAACCCCAAAAACTTACATGCCACAGGCATGTTTGGTGGGTCGTTGGCTTGAAAAACTCCATCCCCGAGACCTCATTTTTTGCATCCTCACTTTCAAATTTCCCTGAATTCTTGCAAGCTGCAGGTTTAGCCTATAGTTTGCTTTTCCATGCTGAGATAGTAATCTTGCCTTTTTGGAGGGCGGAGGCCTGGTCCCTGTTCCTTTGAGAACGAACCTGCTTTCCCCACACCAGGGGGGATCTGAAGCAAAACCTTTATTCCTGACCTTTGACCTGCCTGTTCTCCCTTTCCCTACCCCTTCTCCGTAGGGTGCAACCGGCTGACGGATCAGTGTCTGCCCCTTTTCCGCCGCTGCCCGCGCCTCTCCCGCATCGACCTGCGCACCTGCCACCACGTCACGCCCGAGGCCTGCGCCCGCTTTGCCGAGGACTCTGTCTCCAACAGCACCTCCGTCCCCCCGGCCCCTGGCTCGGCGCCTCCCGAGCCTCCTTTCCGTTGCCCCGAGGAGAAATTGCTGCTGAAGGACAGCTAATACCCGCCCTGGGGTGGAGGCGCAAGGGAGACTATGCCTTGCCAGTCGGACAAACCGGACGCGGACTCTGAGAGAACCTTTTTACTTAAAGCCATGCACTGAACCGGAGTGGCGTCTCCACCCCCCTCGACGTGCGCAGCTAAAGAAGAGGGGTGGAGGGTTGTGCTCCCCCCACCCCACCCCACTCCCCACCCCTGCCAGGGTGGGGGTCGTCTGCCTCTTGCTCCACCCCCCCCTCGTTCCAGGACAGAGCCACGGAGTAAGTGGGGCCTGGGGTAGCCTTGTTGCTTTACAATGCTGGGAAAAGGCATTTTCCTCCTCCTCCCATCATGCACTGCGTCGTACTCTCCGCCCCCCCCAACCCCAACCTGTCTGTGCCGCAGTCGGTACCATGGTCTCTTTCTCTCGGGGTGAGGGGGGTTGACACACAGCCTTGAAATGCTGGCTCAGGAGGAAGGCAGCTCATTTTATGGTGTCAGGTTATTTTTCTCACTCCGGCCCTCTCCCCGATGCATATGTGCACTCCAACCTCCTCCATCCCGCCCCCCCCCCCATGCTGCCTTTATGATTTTGAAAGTGCGCGTGCCTGCCTGCCTGTCTTTCCCCCCATCCCTCCCTCCCCAAGCACTCATTTTTTCAGTGCGGTTTTTACAAAGGGTGGGGCGGGGGAGCCAGGCAGCTGATACTTCGATCCCTCCTGCCCCCCCTCACTACACACCCACTGAAATTCCGTCCGCCCCACTTCCACTGGGAGGGCACAGGCCGTGGGTCGCCACGCATACGCGGGGGCTGAATGTGCAGGTGGTCTCCCGCGGCCCAGATCTGGACCCCGTGTTCCTGGCCCTGCAAGCCAAAACGATAACATCCCCCCCACATGTGCGCACATGGCAATCCGTAGACATGCCGTCTCCGCTGCTGTATTGTTTACACACGCACACACAATCGACATACACGCATGCGCACGCAAGCTGTGTGCGTGGAGACTCCCCGAAGAACGTCCATCCCACAACACTTGCCTCCCCGTCTTTAGTCCCCAGCCGCCCCCCACCCTAGTTCACTGGTAGACCGTGCAGAGATTCAGAAGCTTGGGATATCCTTCCCAAAAACGCTTCGGATCCACCTTGTACGTCCCTGTGTGGAAACGCACATCAGAAGGCTGCAAGGGAGCACGCAAGGCCAAGTGTGACGTGAAACGTCCCGTCTCTCTCAGCGCTATCCCTTGTGCATGCAAGGAGCTCGTAAGGAGGGAGCGCCTTGAAAGTGCCACGGCCCTTCACATGTGCGCAGGCAGGCACGGCGCCTCTCCTGCTGCCCTCTGTCTGCATAGCACAGCTCCTAAGGCCTCCGGACACCGTTCCGTACCGCGAAGGTAATGTTGGAGGAGCCGCGTTGAGAAATTAACACGAGGAGCATCCTCCCTCCGCCTCCAGTCAGACAACTTTGGGGGTGTCGCTACCAGGAGCACCATAAAAAGGTGGCCGCTTGCACCCATACATGTGAACCACGCACCAATTCTCCACCCTCACCCCCCCCAAAGCACATATACCTGTTAATCCAAACAGCCCTGCCTGCTGTCACCCCCCTTGTGTATTCCTCTTCCATCCCATCCTGGCACCTCCGCCTACCATTCCACTCCAGCAGTATTTCCAACTTGGAAGTCATGATCCTTCCTTTCTATCTGCCCCCCCCTCTCGGCCAGTAATGTGTGTCTGTGTCAGCCCCTGGGGGGGTGGGGGGCAAGCAAGATGAATGACTCCCCTGCTGTCTTGCTGTGCTTGATTTTTACTTTTGAAAACCCCTCCCGGGAGAGGAGATCCTGCTGTCTGCCCTGACCCCTCCTTCTCTGCCAGCCTCTCCAACCCTTGTCCCACCCCACTTTCCTTCTTTGGTCCATAAGCTTTAATAACCACTTTTAAGGGAGGGGGGAGAGCAGAGAGCTGCGTTTTCTTTCCCACAGCACCACGCATGTTGGGCTTGGGTAGCCTTGTCTTAATTCTGGTCGCCCTCCTCTCGGCTGCGGAGTTGTCAAACTTGAACACACACGTTTCCCCCCTCGGTTGCGTTTTCTTCCCACCCCCGTGGTCGTTTTTCCCCTTTTCTAAAGAGCGTGGTGGCAGGAGGAGAAGGAGGGGGGGGGGAAATACTGTAGAAAAAAGGCACGAAAAAGAATGTTCCGGACCGAAGACGTGCCTGTTTGTCGGCCATTTCTTGGCTCCCTTCTGCGGCGGAGGTGGGATTGATGCGGCTAACGGGAGCTCTTCTTCCCTTCCGCCACGCTGGCCCGTCCCTGGAAGGGAGGCTGGTTGCAGCCGTCCAAGGTGCCCAGCTCTGCTCACTGAGCCATTTTTGCTTCTTTAGGTTTCCTCCCAACGGGGATGGGACTCGGCTGGGTTTTGGGAGGGAGAGGCGGTCAGTCGCCTGTGGGGGGCATCATCGCAGGCCACCCGGATTCCCACAGCTTGGGTGGGGGGAAGCCTCTCTGCCGCCCCCCCCCAACCCAACTTTCTTGTTACAAAGATTTCCCAGAGCCCCTTCTCTTCCTCGGCCCCCTTCCCCTCCACCTCCGCCTGGGTCCTCAGAGGGTGCCGCCATCATATGGGGAGGAAGAGGAGAAATGGCTTGAGGCTGGGTTGGGTGGTGGTTTTTCTTATTTTATTTTATTTTTGGTCAAATCGGTAACCATAACTACTTCTTTTTTTGTTTTTTTTGGTTAATATATACTTGAACGTTCATTTATTACTAAAGCATTACTTGAAAAAACACACACGCAGCGATAGGTTGTGGAATCGGAGGCGAGGTTTTTGGTGTCTTTTTGTTTTTTTTAAGGTTCTGTTGGGTGCTTTTATATTGTTTTAAGAAAATCGGTTTTCGTCGTTGCTTTTTTAAAAATTTCATTTGTCCGTGGTGGTTTTTTTGTTTTGTTTTGTTTTTTGTTATTACTAAAATCCTTCCCTCTCACTTGATTAGCCAAAGAGGGCCAAGGTATCTTACTTTCTCCCCTTGCCCTGCTCCCTTCTTTTCTGGATTTCCCCTTCCTCATAGAATAATTTCCCTCCTTCCACAGTCGCCTCTTAGAAGCTCCTAAAACAAAAAGAGTATTAAAGATGGTGAGGAGCTGTGAGGAGGGAGAGGGGCTAGGATACAACGGAGGCAAGTGTGGGGCAAGGAAGGGAGGTCAGTATTGTGCATTTATGGGGGGGAGGGAGAAGATCAAACAGTCCTCTCTCCCCCCCAACATCCTCAAAAAAACTCTAACTCTCCTTTGAACACAGCAGAAATGCGTACTACTTGATTCCAGGGCTCACCCTCCTTGGCGCAAATGAGGCCTGCTCTCGCCACAGCAGCCTTTGCTCTGTTCCTTGTCTCCTCGATCTCAATTCCTCCTCCGACCAAAGGAGACCCGTACACTAAGAAATGGCAATTTATGGGTCTGGGTTTCACTGTGTGCTTTATGGATTGTGGAGGACGGGGAGAGGCAAAAACACGTAATGTAAAAGGAGTAGGGGGTCACACTCCCTGTGCCATGCGGTGACCCCCACCCCAACCCCTCAGATTCCCTTGTCCAATCGAGGGGGACGGAGGTGCTGTTTTCAGACATATCGTTTAGGGTTTTTTGTTTTTTTGTTTTTTTAAGAAAAGAAAATACTTGTTTTTAATGGATGTTTTAACTAAGAAAAGAAAAATACCTCAGGTTTTAAAAGAAACGGTGAAAAGAGCAAGCGAGAGAGAGAAAAGCGAGAATTATCATCTAAGGGTGCGCTACTATGCTACAGACTGCTGCTTTGGGCGGGGGGCTGCGAGGGGTGGGAAGTCAGATGAACCCCAGAGAGGGGCAAAAATGCTCCCTTTGGACAGGGAGGGGGGCTGCAGGTGATAAGCCCACCCCTCCGCTCCCCCTTCCCCAACCACCCGTATTTTCTCCCACCCGCAATCACTTGAAAGGCATATGAGCATTAATATACAGGCAGCTGTCTCTCAAGCCTAAACGGTTTGCTTCTGGAATGATAGAATAATATGGGGGATGCATTTGCTATCACCCTACCCCCCCGCAAAATGAAACGAAAAAACCTTTCCTCCCACCCCACAGATGTAGCCTCCCACAAAATGTTCCAAGGGATTTGCCCCCCAAGAGGTATAATACGGAACGTTTTCCGGTCACTGGCGTATTGCATACACGAAACCCCTTTCCCCAGTTTAGCGGACCAAAGCTATATTCCAGCTCCTCCTCGTTTCCTCCCCTCCAAGGCGATTTTCTCCATCTTTGGCTACAACTTTTAAACCGCACACAGGCCCACGTTTTTTCTCCTCCTCCTCCTCCTCACCTGTATCCACCGAGACAAAGATAAGCCCCGGGGAGGGGAGGTGGAGGGGAGATGGGAGAGAAAGAAAGAAAAAGCGAAAACTTTAAAGAATCCACTTTGGAGCAATGTGTCTTTCGCAATGTTTGACCTGCACATCTCTGTCCCAGACCCCCCACCCTTTGGGAACTGCTCGGATGCCGGGGAGGGGCGGGCGCGAGACCAGGTTCCAATCTGAATTTCAGGGGTTCTATTATTGTACAATAACTGTTTGCTATATAAACGAAAACTGAAAAAAAAAATCAAAAAAAGGAAGTATGTTTTGGTCTTAAAAAGCCTGTTTTTCATTATTTTCCCCCTCCCCTGGTTTTATTTTCCTTCCGAAAGAAATGTTGCGAATAAAAAAATGTTGGGGTTTTTAATTAATTTTTATTATTATTATTTTCATTGGGTTCTGTTTTATGGTTTCTGGAAATATTTTTTTATAAACTCTCCTTTTGTTTTTTTTAAAGGTTTTAATTTGTTTTTATTTTGCGTTGGTCCGATAGCTGAGTCTTCTTGAGGCGGGGGGTTGTCAGTGGAGAGAAGAGGATTTGCATTATACAGTGTCTTTATTAAGACGGATGCATATCTGACACCTCGAGATGCCATTTTGCCAGGACTGAAACTGGCGGCACCTTTCAGCTTTGAATCAGAAACTATTTCATTTTAGAGTGTGTGACTGCGAACTTCGGATGAGCTCACCTGTTGTGTTTCTGTGTGAATCGCTGTTCTGAATGTGCCCCTGCCTGACGGTCAACAGGCCTTTGTCTCTATACCTGCAGCAAAATTAGGTGTTAGAAAGTCTGTACAAGGCGAGACGGGAGGTCGAGGGTAGAAATTCTGAATGCACTCATTTTTATTTTTATTTTTAAAGAATTCTCTGCAAGTAGAAAAACTGGCAGGGAAAGGAGCTCCCTTCCTGAGATGCTAGTTCTTTACTTGCAGGGATTGATTTAATGCAAGGAACATTAGAAAAACAGCCTGAAGTGGTTCAGTCCATCCAACCACCTCTCTCTTGCTGCATTTGTAGTATGGCACAGAGAGGCTCAAAAAGGCACCCAAGATGCTCTACATTGTTTCTTTTCCCTTAGTAGATGACTCCTAATTCTGTCTGGTCTCTCCACACTGAGGGTGATTCTGCTCTGGTTCAGTCCCTTGGGAAGTTTCAAAGGGGGAGGGTGCACAGTTCGGACTGTGACTCATTGAAAGATGCAGTGGGCAGCTTCTGGGGGGGGGGGCAGGGGGTGGGAAGCGTACCTTGGGTTCACAGATAGTTTAAATTTCCCAAGGTCACCCGCTGATCTTTGAGCTTGGATCCAGCATTCGAACCCAGTACTGGCCCAGGGCCTTTGGGAATTGCAGGCCAATACATCTGGAGGGCAGCAGGTTGATAAAGGTTGCTGTAGCTGCCAAACCACACTAGTTCTTGTTATTTATGTAATCAATTGATTTATATACCACTTAATGCGAAAACAGGCTTCAACCCGGTATAAAAACCCGCTATAAAAACATAGAAACATCTTTAAAATACACAACAAAGCAAAACCATTTGTTTTATTGAAACAGGAGTCTCTGGTTGAGAAATTCCTGTATAAACCTATGGTGCATAGGTATATCAAACCTATAAAACACGTGTTTATTTTGCAGATAGGTTTTATTTTGTCATTGAATCACTCGCATACATAAATAAAATATTTAAGCATAGGGCCCAAACTGCTGATCAGGATCCCAAAAGGAAAATCCTAATGAAATGATTACTTTTTAATCTTGTAGGCCAGCTAACTTCATCCACCCACCCCCAAGTCTTATAGCAAATGCTGTGTTTGAGACACCCCGTTTCCAAAACAGTTTGTTACACAGCTGAAAGGGGAAGGCACTGGTTATGGTTGAGAACACAGTTTGAACGTTATGGCTGGCACAAAAGGAGAAGGAATTGCAAACCCTCCAGAAGACCCGGTTCCAATCCCCGATACTTTTGATAAATAGGAAGGAGAAAGTAGTGTGTGAGCCTGATGGGACCAGGGTTTCACTCCATCTTTCTTGATGCTGTTCTGCATTATTTTTTAGCCCCCTCGGGTCTCCATAGCTAGGGTTGCCATATTTCAAAAGTAAAAAACCAGGACACCCCGAAAGTTGTTGGAGGTTGAGATGGACGTACGGCAGCCCTACCACAGAAGTACTCCAGGGCACAAGACTAGGTGTGTGAAGATGGTCAAGTTTCTTTGTTCTGACCTAGAAGCTTTTAGCCAGGTACCTTCTTCACCTGACCTGCTCTAAGGCTATTGATGAAAAGAGATTCCTTTTCTCCGCTGAATTCCCTGCAGTTCCGGCTTTCAACCACCGCTGGGCAGTGGCACACAGGGCCGATTTCCCCACATCGATTCCATCCTTCCACTGGTTTGAATCCTCTCCTGCTTAATATCCCTTCCCTTCAAGGGGTTTTGTGTGTTACGCCCTCGATGGATCTCGTTCCCTTCCACGTTTCTTCCCCTTTCAGTTTTTTCTCCCCTTTTATTTACAGTGGTACCTTGGTTCTCAAACTTAATCCGTCCCAGAAGTCCGTTCCAAAACCAAGGTGTGCTTTCCCATAGAAAGTACAGTGGTACCTCTGGTTACATAAGCTTCAGGTTACATAAGCTTCAGGTTACAGACTCCACTAACCCAGAAATATTACCTTGGGTTAAGAACTTTGCTTCAGGATGGGAACAGAAGTTGTGCTCCGGCGGCGCGGCAGCAGCAGGAGGGCCCCATTAGCTAAAGTGGTTCTTCAGTTTCAGGTTAAGAACAGACCTCCAGAATGAATTAAATACTTAACCTGAGGTACCACTGTAATGCAAAATGGATTAATCTGTTCCAGACTTGTAAAAAAACAATCCCTAAAACAGCAATTTAACATGAATTTTACTGTCTAACGAGACCATTGATTCATAAAATGAAAGCAATAAACAATGTACTGCAGTCACACAATCAATCCATCAGTAGCTGAACTGGGTTCCACACAATCACAAAAACAAAAGCACCACAAAAACAAAAACGCAAAATAAATAGCAAAAACAGACAGACCTCAGCGTAACACTCAAAACGGAACACGTTTGGCTTCCAAAAAAAGTTTGCAAACCGGGTTCCAAGTTGTCTGAGTACCAAGGTGTTTGAGAACCAAGGTACCACTGTATTTGTAAAATTAAGTTCTCCTTGGCTGTTTGTAAGGGTGCTGAAAATTGCAGCTCTATGAGATGTAAATTACAGTTCCCGTTATTTTAAATGCAATGGCGTGCATGCAGCCTCATGGGTGGAGAATATATTCTGATGAAGCTGCCGCTGTCTGTGGCCAGCCCATCTGGCAGTCCCCAGGAAAAGTCTAGCCAGTGGTTTGGTCTCCATATCTAGTAGAAATAGCACTGCCCAACTTCCCCTTGATGGGATGCAGTCCAGTCAATTGTCTCAGGATTTTGCCATCTCCTTCTGCCCCACACCCTCCCTTCGCTGTGGGGCGGAGATGTAGAGCGGGCCTTTGCAGCATCTCCCACCTGACCCCCTTGCCCTTTCCCCCTGCTTTGTGCCCCATCTGAAGTGACTGCGCATGAGGGTGGCTTGTGACTGGCTGCAGGTCAGCCTCGCTGGCTTGCAGCAGGCCCAACACAGCACATCTGTGGTCAGATCTCTCGGTTTTAAGACCAAACAATGCGACTTTAAAGCAAAAGTTGGCAACTCTGATTTTTAATCGGGACAGCAGTGCTGGGAGTTGGGGTGGTTGACAAACAGACAGAGAAAATAATAAATTTATCGCAGTAGCAATCTCTGTGTGCTTAGGTATAAAAATCAGGGTAATTATTGTTTTTTAAAACCACATGTACAACAAGCGTACAAACCTTGACTCAAATGCTAATCTAATCATAGGAAATTATCAGGGTAATGTATAAATATGACATTGTACTGCCATAAAAGTACAATGCTCATAATAAAAAACCAATGGTCTGTCCCTGTGACATTAAAAGCAATAGCTTAACGTTTCGGTGTACCTGTTTCAGAGAAAATATTTTGCTCGGCATTTGGGTGACAAACACAGTGTTTGTAACACAGCCAACTGGGCACCCCAAAATATGGAAAAACGGTTAAATTTAAGGCTGAACTCCTATACAGTGGTACCTCAGGTTACATACGCTTCAGGTTACAGACTCTGCTAACCCAGAAATATTACCTTGAGTTAAGAACTTTGCTTCAGGATGAGAACAGAAATTGTGCTCTGGCGGCGCGGCGGCAGCATGAGGCCCCATTAGCTAAAGTGGTGCTTCAGGTTAAGAACGGACCTCCAGAACAAATTAAGTACTTAACCTGAGGTACCACTGTATGCCAGTTTTCCCCAGCCTGGTGCCCACAAATATTTTGACTGGCAGCCATTCCTCAGCAAGTGAGTCAAATCATGAAAAATTTGGTTCAGTTCCTGTTTAAGGTTCAGCTACAAATGAAGTTCTTCCAGGCCAGTTAATGTTCAGCAACTCCTTCAAGCACACTTGACCATCCAGTTCAGGTCAGGTTCACCTGCTCAAATGTAAATATAAGGCATGTTATTTATGATGATTTTTTTTTGGCACAGTGATAAAAACCAAACATGCCCTGTCTTGCTGGTGTGGCATTGCTGCGTCACCTCACGTATGTGTTGTATGTTGACCAAACCTCTGCCCTAAATGAGAAGCCAGCCTCCTGCTCAAGTCTCTGTTTAATGCTTCCCCTCCCAGAGAACTGGTTTCATCTGACGTGCCTTTTCTGGTGGAGCCAAGGAGCGTCCCCCATAGAATCATAGTTGGATGGGACCCTGAGGATCATCTAATGCAGGCATAGGCAAACTCAGCGCTCCAGATGTTTTGGGACTACAACTTCCATCATCCCTAGCTAACAGGCCCAGTGGTCAGGGATGATGGGAATTGTAGTCCCAAAACATCTGGAGGGCCGAATTTGCCTATGCCTGATCTAATGCAACCCTATGCAGGAATAGGCAGCTGCGCATCCAGGGATCAAACCTGCAACCTCGGGGCTTTAGCCATCTGGGCTGTCCAGGCTGCTCATATACTCGACATCAGGGGCTTTTATTATTATTTATAGTGGTACCTCAGGTTACATACGCTTCAGGTTACATACACTTTAGGTTACAGACTCCGTTAACCCAGAAATAGTGCTTCAGGTTAAGAACCTTGCTTCAGAATGAGAACAGAAATCGTGCAGCAGCAGCAGGAGGCCCCATTAGCTAAAGTGGTGCTTCAGGTTAAGAACAGTTTCAGGTTAAGAACGGACCTCCGGAACGAATTAAGTACTTAACCCGAGGTACCACTGTATTAGATTTATATACTGCCCTTCATCAAAAGATCTCAGGGCGGGTATGAGGGGTTTTTCTCAAGGTGTGAAGCAAAGCTCTTGGCAAGATTCACTTCTCTGCACATGGATTGAAAATTAAAATATAATGGAGATACACAACTTTGTGATTTATTATATTATATTATATTATATTATATTAATTATATTATATTATATTATCTCTCTTTTTTATTCTCTTTTTTCTTCTCTTTCCCCCCCCCTTCCCTCATTTATTTTTCTTCTTCTGTATTTTTAATTTTAATTTTATTTAGTTTGGTTTTTATTGTATCGCACGTTGAAAACTCTTAATGAAACTGATTAACAGAAAGATCTCAGGGCAGTTCACGAGATAAAAAATACAAGATAAAAGCACGAACAGTTAAAACAGAAACAACAAAACAATAACCCACCCAAACACATTTAAAATGCTGTAGTAGAATATTAATCAGCCAAAGGTTGTACTCTCATATTCTGAATCAGAAAACTCTTTTCTTTCATTCTTTCCCTGGTTTATTATGTTCATATCGCAACCTTCCTCCCAAAGAGGCCCAAGGTGGCAAACAACAAGTGATAAAACATCTTAAAACGCATTCTTAAGTTCCAGTACAGACGCAGCCGGATCTCCAAAGACATGTTGAGAAAAAGGGTCTGTGGGAGCGGATTGTCAGCCAGTGGATCCCGGCTTGAGCAGGTTCCCTGGATCCCTTTTATTCCCCGCCTGCCCCTTCAGAGAAGCGAGTTGCACGAAGCTCCAAGGGGCTTACTTCTGAGTAATCCTGCACTGGGCCTGCGCCGTGACCATCTCCGCCCCGGACGGTCCCGCTTCCTGCAGACCAGGCTCCGCTTCGCAATGCTGAGTCTCACCGCGGTTCTCCTACCTCGCAGGGCTATTGGGAGAGTAAAATCGAGCCACGTTCGCGAAAAGGAAACGGATCTTTGCCGCGTCGCCACTTCCCCTTTAAACGCCGCCCGCGGCCAGAGCAAACTCCTCTGCTTCTCTTTCTGCCTCCCTCCCTCTCTCTCCCCGCCCTCTCTCCCTCCCTCCCTCCTTCCTTCCCGCCCGCCTTCTCTCGCCCAGCCCCGCCGCCCGAGCGAAGCGCAACTTTCTTCGCCCCGGCGCGGCGTCGGATCCGCGCGCTCTCCCGCCAACGGGGCTTCCCCTCCTCGGCTCCCCGACGCCCCTCTTTTCTGCCCTCCTTCCCACCCACTTCCTCCCCGCCTCCTCCTTTTGATCTTCGCGGGTCTCGCCGCGCTCCCGCTGCCCCCTCTCCCCAATTTGCGGAGGGCGCCTCCCCCACAAGACTTTCCTCTCCGGGCGCCCCCTCCAACCTATGACCGGCTAAACACCTGGCGGCTGCTTTCTCCCCGCTCCCTCCCCGCTTAGCCCATCTCCTCCGGGGGTTCCGCCCCCCATCCCTATCGCGCCCCCTCTATTCCCTCCTCGCAGCCCCTCGGAGTTTGCCCGCCCCTTCCAGCCCCCCAACTTCTGCCCCCTCGGCCGGCGTTGCTGCTGCTGCTGCTGCTGCCGCTTGTCCCTCCGCGCCGCGCCCGGCCCCGCTGCCCTCCTCCTCCGGGACTGATGAAGGCGGCCGGCGGCTCCGAGGGGGCGGACGGCGACGGGGCGGACGGCGAGCGGGAGCCGTTGAACCCCGAGGCCTCGGAGACGCTGGGCGTCTCGGCCACGTACCGCGAGTTCGTCCGTCGGAGCTACCTGGAGCTCATGAGCGCCAACCAGCACTCGCTGCATGCGCTCAACTGGCGCCGCCTCTACCTCAGCCGGGCCAAGCTCAAGGCGTCCAGCCGCACCTCGGCGCTGCTCTCCGGCTTCGCCATGGTAAGGAGAGACCCCACGGTTTGGGAAGGATGGAGCCCGACCGGGGGGGGGGGTTCCCGCCCAGCCTCCGCCAGGCCCCCCGGGGCGCCCTCCTTCTACACACACGAGGTTTTGGTCTCGCAGCGCCCGTCCCGTCCAGGGCTGGTGGGAGCCGCAGTCCAGAGCGCGTGGAGGGCGCCAGGTTGGCGAAGGCTACTCTGACATTCCTTGGCGCGGGTTGGACTGGATGACCCTCGGGGTTCCCTTCCAACTCTACACTGCTGTGATTCTAACCCCAAACTTGGCTGTTTTTTGGACTATGACTCCCACCATCCCTAGTTAGCAGGATCTGTGGTCAGGGATGATGGGAATTGTAGTCCCCAAACAGCTGGAGACCCAGGTTTGGGAAACTCTGCTGTAACTGTGCTTCCCCACTCTACCCCACCCCAGCCAAGAAATAACCCAGACCTGCTGATCCACTGGCCGTATAATGCTTCCTAACTGAGTGCATCCCTCACATTGCCCAGAGAACACAGAAGCAACAGCTCTTGTTCCAGGGATGTAACCACTAGGCACTGTGCTCACTTTCTGAAGAACTTATGGGCCCTGCTTCCTTTTCACACCTGGCTAAGCCTGCTTACGGTTTTCTCCTCCAAGGAGAACCTGGACATCTCACTCCACTAACCACTGGTCATTTCTTCCCTTGTCGCAGATAATCCTAGTACATTAACTATTGCAAACTTCAATCTCCTGCCTCACTCCTTGGCTTGTGGTTCAAGGAGTGAGGTGCTTCCTAGAGTGATGAAAAGAGCCTAGGAGTTTTGACCAAAATCTACTTTTTTTGTAAAACAGGATCAGGTCTTTCCAGAGCGGAGAGTAGAGAGCCAGTGTGGTGTAGTGGTTAAAAGCGGTAGTCTCGTAATCTGGTGAACCGGGTTCGCGTCCCTGCCCCTCCACATGCGGGTGCTGGGTGACCTTGGGCCAGTCACACTTCTCTGAAGTCTCTCAGCCCCACTCACCTCACAGAGTGTTTGTTGTGGGGGAGGAAGGGAAAGGAGAATGTTAGCCGCTTTGAGACTCCTTAAAGGGAGTGAAAGGCGGGATATCAAATCCAAAATCCAAGCGGTTCCACGCAGGACACTTGAGGAGAAGTTAGGTGTGGTCCCCCCATTATGGTCGATTCTTCTTTCTCTCTCTCATCCTCACTTATCCTTTCCAAAATAGGGTGGAAAGCTTGAGATGGTTTCAGCCTAGTGGCCCTTCTGTGCGGCTGTTGTTCAGCTGCAGTGAGCATGTAGGAACAGGGCCCGATCCTTGCAAGAGAAGACAGATTCCGGAGTGCTGACTTGCCGCTGAGCTAAAAAACTAAGCCACCAGCTGGGGAACGGATGTCGATTTGGAGAGAGCCCTCAAATCCCTCCTGCCTCTTCTCCTCGCAAACAGATCTGCAAACAACCCCAAAGAGTCTTGCGGCATTTTAAAGGCCAGATCTTTTGTTGTGGCACATGTAGTTCCTCCAGATATTGGGTGGTGGTTGGTTTTGTTTTGCTTTGTTGTTTTGCAAGTGTAAATATGCCATGGATGCAGTGATGGCACATTAGTGATGGGTTTAAACTGTAGTGCCCACGCTTCTTCCTGCTTCATTATTGCCATCTGGAGGTGCATTCTGATGCTATAGTACAAAAAATCCACCCCAGAACATTTTTGGAATAAAAAAAAGAAAATACACGATTCCATCAGGAAGTTGTGGGACATTTACTGACTTGAAGCAGTATGTCCGCCCTGAAATGTTCAAAGGGCCCTAAGTGTATCTGACTGTGTCCCCAAAAGCTTATGCCGCAATAAGGCTGTCTTTTGAAGTGCTTAAGAAGTTGGTGTGTGCTGTAATGTGACTGGAATTCAGATCCTGGGTGTCTTGGAAAGGGATCTGTCTTTCCCACGTAGTTTGAAAATACTCTCTAGACTTAGATTTATGTTCCTTGTCATGTGACTTTGCATTTTGGAGCCATCTCAAACCTCCCTCTCTCAGTTCTTCTCCACAACTCTCTGCTCGTAGGGCTTAACCTCAGAACTCCAGGGATTCTGCCACGCATCAGAAGTAGAGAGGGTGTCTGAGCATGCACAGAGAACCCCTCAATCCAAGTTAACCGCAAAATTGTGGCTCCCCTGCATTTCACTGAATGCTTAGAATTGCCACCTTTGACCCCAGCATATCATGTAAAATAATTCCCATTACAGTGGCAGCTCGGTTTTCGAATGTCTTTGTTGACGAACATTTCGGAACTTGAATGGTCTTCCGGAACGGATTATGTTCAAAACCCGAGGTACCACTGTACTTAAAAAAATAAAATAAAATACACATCCCACATTTTCTTCCAAGAGCCTCCCCAACCCGTTTCACAACAGCCCTGTGAGGTGGTTTAGGCTTCGAGAGAGTGACTGGCTCAGAGTCACCCTGCAGGACTGAGTGGGGAATTGAACCCTGCTCTCCTAAGAAGAGCCCTGTGGCAGAATCAGGCCAGAGGCCCATCTAAATCCAGCATCCTGTTCACACAGTGGCCAACCAGACATTGCCTATGTGAAACCCACAAGCAGGAGACATGACTCCAATTGTCAGGCCGGCCCTACCATTAGGCAGAGTAAAGCAGCTGATTTTTGGGTGCTGTGGACGGTTTCTTGTTACTGTATTTTGCAGCCAAGAAAGAAGAGAACCACTTGTGGGCTTTTCTATCTCCGACGATAAGCCTGACCAGCTGTGTGCCTGAATCTCTGTGTGGGTGACACCCTACATCAAACTCTCTTGGGCCCATAGCCCGCTTGCCAGTCCACATTGCCAGTGCCTCAAAAATTAGATGCAGAGCTGGGTTCAAAACCTGCTCTGCAATTCCTAATGGTCATTATACAGCCCTTGTTGTTTTTATTATTTATAAGCACCTACAGATTGGCTCCAAATGAGCATATGCAGTGAATTCAGTGAATTGGAGTGTGGAGTGCTGTGCATTGCATTTTCTCAAAGCATCCTTCTTTGATTTTTTTTTAACCTTGCCCCTGCTCCCCTCCCGCCACCACCAGAATAATATAGATATATGTTTAACTGAGAACAGGATTGCTTAGAAGCTTCTTAAGAGACACACTGAGTGTGTAACAAATGTCTTACTAATTCCAGACAGAACTCCCAGATATGAAAAATGCACAATTGGGTGAAGACAGCCTGGGGATATTTGCTTACAGGCAAATGAGTGCCTTGGCCAATGTTTCAGCCTGTTGATTGCCAAAAGAGGCAGGCAAGGTTGGTGGGAGAGGGAAATGGGACAGGAAATTAAAATTAAATTATACAGATGGACAACTATTCGGGGGCAGGGGGAACATCTAAAGGAAGATGCCCATGTACGGTAGTTTGGCGCCTCTGGTTTTAAAATGTGCAAGTTCAGGCTGCTCTTTGCAACCCAAACACTTACAGACCTTTTTTTTTTTTTTTACTTTCTGGTGACCCAAAACTCTCGTTTGCTTCCCCTTTTCTCCCTTTCACATGGATTCTCCTGGAATTAAGCATCTCAAATGCGGTTTAAACTTCCACTTTGGGGTGTTTCGTAAGTGGGGCATACAGCACCACCATTTGGATAGAGTTTAACATTCTGGTTTTACCACAAAGAAGGATGCAAAGTTGGACAAAATATTGTGTGTGTGTGTGTGTGTGTGTGTGTATTTAGTGTTTGTTTGTGTTTAAAAAACAAAAACAGCATGCAGTTTAAAGATCCTCCTCTCATTGATATGCTGCCCTTATGAAAATAATTGCTTCTGGTCAGAAGGGAATTAGACTGTGCATATACTTAGAAGCAATGTGTTTTTAGGTCCCTTAGAGGGGAAAATGCAACAACAACCTTCTTAAACTCCTTTTCCAAAGGAAACGCACTCTGTACATGCTCATGGACGTGTTGCCTTGAGGTATTTTGCAGGGTGAGAGAAAGGCATTCTACCTAGGACTGGAAGTGCTTGGCTTAAGATGCCGCCATTCTTCAATAGTTGTAAATACAGCCTGTATAGTTGGGGACTCGCAACAAAATGTTGCAGCGTGAAGTGCTCCTGATCCAAAGCCACTTGCACACAGTTAGCATTCTGTATCTACTTGGCATGGTCAGCCTCTCAAGGTCCCCACCCCAACTGATTTTCTTAGAAAGCTTTTGATGTCTGGCTCTTGTGGGTGGGTGGAGAAGCAGTGACACACACAGCCTGAACATCAGAAATAGAAGGACTGAAAACAGGATGGTGGTGATATGGGGATGATTACACACACATGCGCTGTATCTGATTGAAGTTTCCGCTCTTAAAACCATGCTGTTGGCATTAGCGGTTCTTGCATGGACCCAGCCTTTAGTTCCGGGCTCCGGACGATTTTCTTCTGCTTTCTTTTCTTCCTGTGATCCCGGGCCGCCCATCCCATCCAGCAGATTCTGGCTTTCTCCCACCTTAGGTAAACTTACTTTCAAGAGCGCCACACCCTATATCCTGTAGGCTCCTGCTTGCAATTCAAAACCCAGCAGCATCTGCAAAAAAAAAAGGGGGGGCCATGAACTAGTTCCTTTTAAATAAATCATCACTAGAACATCAGTGCACAAAATGCTTGCATATGTATCTGTGCTTGAGGGTGTGTCTTTATTCATTCCTTGTCCTTCCGTTTTGAACCCGGGGTCCCTGTGTGACCATCAGTCCTTTCAACTATCACCAAATACTTCCTCCCCCAGCAGAGCTCCCTATCTCTTGCCTTTTTCAGTTGTCGTTAATAATAATAATAATAATAATAATAATAATAATAATTTATACATACATACATACATACATACATACCCCGCCCATCTGGCTGGGTTTCCCCAGCCACTCTGGGCGGCTTCCAACAAAATATTTAAATACAATAGTCTGTCAAACATTAAAAGCTTCCCTAAACAAGGCTGCCTTCAGATGTCTTCTAAAAGTCTGCTAGTAGTTGTTCTCTTTGACATCTGGTGGGAGGGTGTTCCACAGGGTGGGTGCCACTACCGAGAAGGCCCTCTGCCTGGTTCCCTGTAACTTGGCTTCTCACAGCAAGGGAACCGCCAGAAGGCCCTCAGCGCTGGACCTCAGTGTCTGGGCAGAACGATGGGGGTGGAGACGCTCCTTCAGGTATAAGGCTATTGCACATACGGAGCACATCGTGTGTACTTTCTCCTTTACAACAACCCTGTGAGGTGGCAGGGCAGCATGATGGTAACTGTGTAAATAACCCCACGAAAGTCTGTTACTTTGGGGGGGGGGGGAGAGAGGCCATGGCTGAGGGGCAGAGCCTCTTCCTCTGCATGCAGAACCTCCAGCATCTCCAGGGAGCTTCCTTATGCCGGCCCATCTGCCTCAGTACTGTCTACACTGACTGGCAGCTTCTCTCCAGGGATTCTGGCTGACGTTTTCCCCAGTCCTGTCTGGAGGAGCCAGGGATTGAACCCAGTGCCTCCTTGCATGTTCTACCACTGAGCTGCAGTCCTACTGCTTCGCTATATGGCTGTAATATGACCCCCATATTTCGCCTGAATGAATGGGCATATCGCACAGATGGCTTGAACTGAGGTAGTTAGCTGATGCCCACGGCGAAATTGGCTGCATGGATTTTTAACGCAGCCGGATCCTAGGTGTGTCTACTTGGAAATACAATCCTGAGTCCCATGGGGTTTATTTTCCCATTGCAAGCGTAGATGTGAAGGGTGCTCCTATGTCTCCTCCATCTGTTCCTTCCTATTGTGGTTGCCCTCGCTCGTTGTCCTTTGCCCTGGCCCCAAATTGGCCCGTTTTAAAAGGCGCTTTCTCTACCTGCATTAAGGTGCCAGACTTTATAAACTGCGGAGTTTTGGACTTTTCTAATCCCCACTTAGGCGCAAAGCTGACCTCCAGATGGTCGTTCCAGGCCCAACCCACCTCGCAGGGTTGTCGCAGGAGTATAGCAGCAGGGGCGTGGGGCCTGCGTACCCGAGCCGGCCCAGGTTCCCTTGAAAGGAGGGTGGGCTTGAAAGGGAGAATGCGCAGTGCAGGCCTGGCGCATTTAGATTCCCTGCCTCTTTGGCCAGCCAGGTCCCAAGGCAAGACTGCATTCCGCACGGCGTGATCTCATTTGCTTGTAACCAAAGCAACAGGGGGAGCTTAGTCAGGGAAGGGAGGATCTGAGAAGGGAGACCGGCTGCAAGGCCTATTTCAGGACCAGTTTTTTGGGGTGGGGGAGCTTGTGAAACGCAACGCGAAGAAGGTTCTTCTCTGACGGGAGCGCCATTTGGTTTGGGGGTGGCGGCGTGGGGTGGGCAGATTGGAAATGGAAGACTGGTGGCTAAGATGCCTGGGCTTTGAGGTGGAGAAGTCTTGAGTTCAAATCTCGCCTCTGCTTAGGCAAGCTGCCACAGTCCCTCACCACCTGCCCTGTAATATGATTGGCCGGGGGGAGAGCGGGGAAGGTCACCGGCTTACCTAGCAAGGTTGTTGTAAGGATCCCTGTGAGGCCCTCTGAGTGCACCCAGAGCTTCTTCTGTCCTGCTTTGTTTATGAACGGGGACCTTCTCCCATAGGGGGCTGAATCGCCAGTTTAAGGTCACCTGGAAATTGGGGGTCACGGCAGAACCGACTTCCCACATACTTCCGGGCATGTCTGTGGCCTGCACCTCTCATTTTCTGAAGCAATTTGAGGGGCTTCTAGCCTAGTCTTGCTTGGGAGACGATGTATGACCCTGGTGAGTGTGCCTTACACATAAAATTTGCCTCAGAGGTGCGCAAACACTTTTGGCTTTGGCTTCCCAGGAATGATGGCAAGGCAAATGTGCATTGGGGGCTCTTTGCTTTTTTGCTTCTGAGTTTCCTAGAGCTTGTGAACAGGGCGGCTGCTGGCAGGAGGCCCTCACTGGGCTGCAGGAGCCAAGAGTTGAACGCTTGGTCAAAATCCCTCAGTGACCCTGTGTGCCTGACTGAGCCGATATTCTGGGTTTCTCGGCCAGTCGCTCTCAAAAGGGACCTCCCAACGAGGCTCAGAGCGGGTGTGGGGAACTCTGGCCATGAGCTTTGTCATTTGGATCACTCTTAAAGCAGGAAATCCTGGGAGCCAAAGGGCAGCAGGAGTGTGGTGTAGTGGTTAGAGCAGGGAGCTGCGTGAGGGAGCCTCCTTTCCTCCCCTCCAAGCAATGCACAACATTTGCTGCAGATCCAGCCGTAGCTTTCTTCTGGGCCTAGGGCAGGGGTAGCCCATGGAGTTGGACTACAATACCCATCACCCCCCGACTTTGTGCGGATGGGAGTTGGGCGAGGGCCCAATGACATCTGGAGGTTGCCATGTTGGCTATCCCTTAGCCATACCTCTCCTGTCCGTCTTCCTCACTCTGCACGTGGGAGGCACTCTGCATATGCTCAGAGGCACTTGTTAGGGTCCAAGGTTGAGTAGGCTACAGCTGCTGCCACCTAGCCAGCAGTCCTGCCCCCGAAGCTAACAAGCAGCTATCGGGGTTTTCTCAGGTTTGCACAGCTGTTAATATTCAATTATTAAAACATCGTAATGTGTTTCCAGTGGGTGTGGAGAGGCGTTTAGATGAGGCTCCCTTTCCTTAGTCAGTGGTTCTCAAAGGAGAGGGTAGCAAGTGCAGGGGGAAGATTCAAGGACAATCAAAGAAACATTTCAGTGCAGTATAGTATCAATATATATATATATATATATATATATATTGCGGGGGGGGGGATATACAGTCGTACCTTGGATCCCGAACTCCCTGGAACTTGGATATTTTGGCTCCCAAATGCCGCAAACCGGGAAGTGATTGTTCCAGTTTGTGCATGTTCTTTTGGAAGCCGAACGTCTGACGGGACTTCGATGGCTTCTGATTGGCTGCAGGAGCTTCCTGCAGCCAATCAGAAGCCACGATTTGGTTTTCGAACGTTTTGGAAGTCAAACGGATTTCTGGAATGGATTCCGTTTGACTTCCAAGGTACGACTGTACAACCAGAAACTACCCATGCGCCTCTTCAAGAGCAATTGGCTATTCTTCCACAGTTCTCCGCTGCATATTGCTGTGAACAGGGATTTTCAAGTCTGACAAATATGAAAGATCAGAAAAGAGAAAGGCTTCTTTGTGTTGATGAGGAAACGAGAATGGGAGTCTCATATTAGACCTAATATAAATGAGATTACCCGGCAAAAGCAAGCTCACACCTCTCACTGAGCTTGTATACATACTTAAAGTACCTATGTAAGAGGCTCGTTCATAATTATATTTTGGCAGTGATTCATGTTCTTATGTAGCAGCCTCGTTTTATACTTTATGATCATATTATAAAGTAGTTGTGTTCTCTGTTGAGTCCAAGCACTGCTAGGAGTTGCTTCTTTTTGTTTTCCAATGCCTTTCTTATTAATAAAAAAATCAGGGCAGTGTCAGCCCCTTTTTATTCCGAATGTGGCCCAGAGGGGGGAGGGAATGAGAACCACCGCCGCAGAAATAAAATTCATGCTCTGCACATGCTCTTGAGTCACTGCAGCTTTTTGGGGGCCAGGATGTTTGAGAAGAAAATAGAGAAATAGAGCCTGGTCGTTGGAGGGCCAGGCCTTGCAGTAGCAGACTGCAATGGGGGGGGAGGGGAGGCGTTTGAACCCTGGCTGTGGGTCCCCCATCCCTTCCCCCCTGACTTTCCAATTCCTCCCATTCATTCCCTGTCACCTCCAGCTGAGTCTGTGGCACGTGCTGCCTCATAGGGCCCTTGCCAGCCAGCTGTCATCACTCGGTTTAATGTGGCCCACTTTCTGAAAATAAGCCCTCGGCCGCCACCACCTCCCTTTCAACGTAACTTGACTCAGGGCTTCGAGGTCGGAGGGGGTTAGTTTGCGGTGACGCAGCAGCCCCTCTTGGGGTTACTTTGGGGAGGTTTTTTAAGGACACGCTTCAGTTTGTTTGGAGGGGCTCCCCCATATCTGGGGGGGGGGGGGCTCCTTAAACCTCTTGCTCCTCCTTTGCTTCCCAGGCTGTGGAAAACTCTCTTGCTGTGGGTTAAATCCTTCCTTCCTCTGCCATTCCCTCCCTCTCTCTTTCCTCTGCCCCCCAAACCAATCCCCATTCTCTGGGGAAACTGCCAAGGCCCTGGGATCCTAGCCAGAGCTGGAACTGTGAACAAATGGGAATATGGGAAACTCCCCCCCCCCCGCCATCCCTGCAAAGGGTCCCACTGCCAAGTGGGAGTTTAGCAGGAATGCCGCTTCTAAGGGCAGCTATGATGGGTCTCTGCCTCAGCCGCTGAATTGTGTGTGTGTTGCCGTGGGGAATGGCACCAAAGGCAGATTGTACAGAACCCTCATTTTCCGGTTGTTTTCTGCCTTTCCTCCCAGAAGCTCAAGGCAGTGTAGGTGGCCCTCCTGCAAGCCACTTCTTTGTTTCCTCACAACGCTCCCGTGAGGGAGAGCTGCCAACATGCCTACCCAATGAGCTATGTGGGGATTTGAATTCTGGTCTCTCAGGTCCTAGTCCCTAGTTCAGCTGCTACACCACACTGGCTCTCTTTGAAAGCAGCATGAGGGAGCTGCAGAGATATTGGAGGAGCTGCTCCACCCGCTCCCCAGATATCTGTGGGGCAAGCCATATTAGTCCCATATCAAGTCACTGCCCCAAACAGCCACGTTCAGTTGAAAACTAGAGGCACTGATTGTGGGGCCACAACTCCTTGGCCTGTCTTCCTACATTGGGATAATAATGCTGGAATTAGGAGGCTGTGGTTCTGAGAATTACTAAACTATCTCTTTGGAAGTGCTTTGTACATGCACAGAAACACTATAGCGGCACATATTTTAGCTGTGGTTCTTGCCTCAAGTTGACAAACGACCCTTTATGTCCCTGCCATGACTCTGGCTGTTTCTGGACTGGGCAACCAGTAAGTGTGTGGAAACCGCAGACAGATTGGTAGAAAGCGGAGAGTTTATTTCAGGGGTTAACTGGAAAGCGGGGTGCAGCCTCTGGGTGGGGTGCTTTGCAAATTCCTCTCAGAATGTGACACAGGAGTGGCTGGATTTGCTGCGTGCTTTAGGAGTGCCTGTTCCTCTTCACTCGTGCTGTTTTATTTTGGTAACTAATAAACTAACATACGAAGACGCTGCAGCTTAGATGCTCCCTCATCCCAAAGAAACTCGGGCTGCCATCCTAAACACAAGACCAAGTCCCTTTGAACTCAGCAGGGCTTAATTTCTGAGCCAACCTGCCGGGTCTTTCTGGGCCTAAGCCAGGGGTCAGCAAACTTTTTCAGCAGGGGTCCGGTCCACTGTCCCTCAGACCTTGTGGGGGGCCGGACTATATTTTGAAGGGAAAAAAATTAACGAATTCCCATGCCCCACAAATAACCCAGAGATGCATTTTAAATAAAAGGACACATTCTACTCATGTAAAAACACGCTGATTTCTGGACTGTCCGTGGGCTGGATTGAGAAGGTAATTGGGCCAGATCTGGGCCCCGGGCCTTAGTTTGCCTACCCATGACCTAAGCCAACATGCAGACTGCTTAGCACAGGGGTAGCCAACATGGGGCTCTCTGACTCCCATCAGCCCCAGTTGTGATAACAGCAACTTCTTTTTCTTCTTCTTCTGAATATATATAACACCCTATACCTGGAGGTCTCTGTGTGGTTCACAGAAAAGATCACAGTATATAAAATCAAAATAAAAACAATAATGCACTAACACCCCCCACAAAAGAGCCTCATTTTAAAAGGGTATAGGTCAACCAAAGGCCTGGTTAAAATGGAACATTTTTGCCTGTGGCCTAAAGGTGTGTAATGAAGGTGCTAGGCGAACTCTCCTTGGAAGAGCATTCCACAGACTGGGAGCCACTGCAGAGAAGGCCCGTTCTTGTGTTGCCACCCTCCGGACCTCTCAAGGAGGAGGCACACAAAGGGGGGCCTCAGAAGGTGATCTCAGAGTCTGGTTAGGTCCATATGGAAAGAGGCGGTCCTTGAGGTATTGCGGTCCTGAGCCGTTTAAGGCTGTATAGGACAAAACCAGCACTTTAAATTGGGCCCGGAAACTAATTGGCAGCCAGTGCAGTCGGACCAGGATCGGTGTAATATGCTCAAACCGTCTTGCTCCGGTGAGCAACCTGGCCTCTGAATTCTGCACTAGTTGAAGTTCCCAAACCGTCTTCAAGGCAGCCCTACGTATAACCTTGAGGATAACAAAGCATAGACAATGGTAGTTAGGCTATCCCTGTCCAGATAGGGGCGTAGCTGGGCCACCTGCCAAAGCTGATGGAAGGCACTCAGGGCCACTGAGGCCACCTGAGCCTCAGCGGCTGCAAAGGATCCAAGCTACCTCCAAGCTACGGACCTGCTCCTTCAGTGGAAGTGTTTTTTAAGGTGCCATATGGCAATTAGCTTATATATCTGAGTTTCTAACACTGCTCTGAGCGTGACTGGCATTGGCACTAGCCTATTTGGTATCGGATCCTAATTCTGCATGTGTGTGTGTCCTTTCTCCCCCCAGGTCGCCATGGTCGAGGTGCAACTGGAGGATTACGACTACCCCCGGGAGCTGCTGGTGGCGTTCAGCGCCTGCACGACGGTGCTGGTGGCTGTCCACCTCTTCGCCCTCATGGTCAGCACCTGTATCCTGCCCAACATCGAGGCCGTCAGCAATATCCACAACCTCAACTCGGTCAACGAGTCCCCCCACGAACGCATGCACCGCTACATCGAGCTGGCCTGGGGCTTCTCCACAGCCCTGGGGATCTTTCTCTTCCTCACCGAGGTGGTGCTGATTTGCTGGGTCAAGTTCTTGCCCGTCGGAAGCGCCGCCTCCGCTCGGAAGTGCTGCGTCCCCGCGCCGGCCCCTTCTGGCGGCAACGCCACCGCCCCGGCCCCGACTTCGGCCTCTCCGGACAACTCCGGGTGGAACGCCGCCATGGCTTCCACCATCATTATGGTCCCGGTGGGCGTGGTCTTCATCATCTTCGCTTTGCATTTCTACCGCTCGCTAGTGGGACACAAAACGGACCGGCACCAGCAGGAGCTGGAGGAACTCAACCAGATCAAGTACCAGCTCGATGGAGAAGCCACGGCGCTGCAGGTGGTGTGAAGCTTCTTGGCCTGGCCCACGGCTCCCGGGACGGTTGTTATTTCCAGGAGAGGTGGGACTGCCTTGCAGACGTCCTGATTACCGGCTTGGTTGTGGGGACTGCGAAGTCGCTGGAACTTTATCAAAAGTGGCTGTGACCTCGCCTCTTTCTATTTTTATTTTTTTTTGCTTTTTTGGAAGGTGTTCGTTCCGCCCGCAACCTTTATAACAAAATTATTTCGTGTCCCCCGGAAAAAATAAAAAGGAAATAAAAAGGTATATGAACGCAGAAGGATTTCTTGAAATGGAAAAGGAGCCGCAAACTTGAATTCCCTGCCCAAATTCCCGCTGCCCAATGGAGTTTCCGGGATGCACTAAAATGTTTACCGAACGTGGCCTTTGAGTAAAGAGACGGCACTTTCCCCCTGGGAGAAGGGTGGTGGCTTTGCTTATTTGGTTGCGGTTTGTTTTCTTGTGGCTTTGTTCCCTCTTGCAGTCCCCCTCAAAACCAGAGAGAGAGAAAGGTGTTACTCAAACGAGCTGGGATTTAAAAAAAATGGGTAGGCGGGTCTGAATGAGTCAACCTGCCTTGCCATTTGTCTTCCTCCTCACTCCAGGAGGAATACCTCTATGGCAGGGATGGAGAACCTCTGGCCCTGGGTTCAAGTCCAGGCCTCTCTTTCTGGCCCCTGGGGGGCTCTCTGTAGGCCACTCCCCCTGTTCCCAGGCCACATTCCTCATTGGTCCTGCTTCCCGTCTTCCTTGAGTGTTTTTGCCTGGCTGGAATGTGCCCTTGAAATCTGACGACGATTCTTCCTTTCCTGGGCAGTGAGGGCTTAATGTGAGTGCATGGACAGGCATCAGCCTACTTTGTGAAAGTAGAAATTCACAGTCTGTCCACTTTTGCCCCACGTACCACTACCATGTAGGTCCCAGAAAGTTGGCTAGATGGGAATGCAACTGCAGAAACAGCGAAATTATTTTAGCCCACTAGTTGCTTATATTCCCTATAAGTCCTCTAAACTTAAGGAACCAATCTCTGACTGTTGGCCATGCTGGCTGGCAGTCCTGATAAGAGTTGGGAGCCCAATAACATTGGGACAGTCACACATTTTCCAGCCCTGGCCGGACTGTTGGTTGCCACTGCTAGCCGTCCTGTTGTTTTCCATCAGCACCACCGCAGGCTTTGTGCCTCTGAACTGGCTGGCCAAGGGCTGGACCAGCTCTGGAAGTGGGGGTTGCTAAGCAACGGCAACATCTTCCCTTCCTCCCAGTGCTGGCAAGAAAGCTAGGTGGGGGATGCAACCTAATGGCAGCAGTGAGGGCTCCTAAGGTCAGAGAAAGGATGTGGGCAGTTTTAGCAGAGTGGTGTGTGTTTTGTGTGCACATGAAAGAAAAACACACACACTCCCCACACATAAATGCACACTCTGTCCCTGGTCCCAGGCAGCAATTTCTAGAGAAACCCTGTCTTTCCAGATATTGAGCAAGGGAATGTTTTCAAGATGACTCATTCCCTTGGGTGGTGTTGAAGACACCACGGTTCTTTTTCTCTATAGAAGGACAGTTCATCCTCAGCTGCTGGGCTTGAAGGGAAATGGTATATTTTTGTTGGACAAGGAGGAAGCGGATGACTTGAAGGAATATCTGAAGCTGAACCACCCACAGCTGCTGGTGTTCTTTTTTCTGCTTTTTTTTGGGGGGGGGTTATCCGTTCTGTTCCTACAAAACACCCCTTGCGTACAAGCAGACAGATCAGCGCTTTGTGTGTGACCTGTTCATCACGAGACCCCCACAGCAAATTATTTATGTGGCCCCGAATCACAAAGTTATCTGAATCCTTGTGATGGGAGCTTGTGGCCAAGGTATTGAGCAATCTCCTGTTCCCACCGACATCCTGCTCCACCCAGCCTAACCTGTGATCTTCAGAGGCCTGCTATTATAATTTGGGGTGGTAGTTAAAACCTGACCTTGGTGACCCCAGTGTCAGGAGCAGGGGGCAAATTTGGCCTAGCTTTGCAACTTTTCCCAGCAAATTTTGAAAAACTTGGTGGCAGCCCCTGAGTTGGCCCACATCTGCCTACATGTGCCTTGAGTTCTCTTTGCTGGACCAGGCTAGAGGTTAGGTCTCCAACGCGGTGCCCTCATACACCCCCTTTGCCCAAGACCTGCCTTTCCCAGTTTTTAAAATGAGGATTTTGTGGAGGCCTTTTTTGTTGCTATTTGGTTGTGGGGGTGCCTTTTTTCAAATCTGTTTTATTTGTTGTGTGTATGGGGGGAGGTCAGTGTTTTGCCTGTTGTTTCCGTGTGTGCGTGTATTTCTGATCACCAGATCAGATTTCTGATTTTTTATCTGTGAAGTGTGTGTGTGTGTGTGTGTGTGTGTGTGTGTGTGTGTATTTGGCACCCATGACATTTTCTTAAAAATCCCAGGCCCAATGAGGTCTGATAACCCTGCACTAGATTAGGACGCAACTTGTTTTTATAGGCGGGATATTTAAAGCGAGACATCGCCTGATATGCGTTCTTAAAAACAAACAAGGAAGTAAAGCAGCTGCAAGTCGCTTCTGGTTGAGCTAAGGAACTGCTGTTTCCTCCTCGGATGTTCATCTGCTCAAAATCAGTCTTCCTGCCATCTGTTCCCCTCCCCTCGCAATGACTTAAAGAGAGATACAGGGACCTACAGGAAAAGTAGCTTTTGTGAGTGGGGGAGAGTCAAGAGTTTTTGAATGGGCAAAGGAGGACTTTTTTAAACACCCTTTCCTCCTGTGTTCTCTACTCACCGTTGCAGATGTTTTATTTGCTTAATAAAATGCCTTTTGGGTGCGAGGGTGGGGGCACACATCCCTAGTTAAAAGCCGATTCACATTTCTAGTGAGCCGCTAAAGTTGTCGCTGATGACTTAGCAAAGAAGAAAAGGACTGATGGCAGTCCAGGATGTTGCTGATCATTTCCTGGCGCACAATGTTTATTTTATTTATGTATTTATTTTACAAGGCTTATACACCGCTTGACTGTAATAAGACCTCAAAGCAGTTTGCAAGAAAGAATAAAACATTATTAGCGAACAGCGGTTAAAAACGACTATTAAAGCATTCAAAAATAATTAGCAATTAACAGGAAGCTAAAAACCAGATTAAAACACCTGCTAATATTACTACATGTCTGGAGAGACTTGCCTAATCAGAAATGCCTAATATTCAGCACAGTAACGAGTGTTAATAATAGGCTATTTGGGGGGACGGACAGACTGTATAAACCCTGGCTGGCCAATGCGGTACCCTCTTTCTTAGACTCCAGCTCCCATCAGCCCCAGCCAACATGCCTAATGGTCATGAAATGATGGGAATTGGAGTCCCAATAACCATGGCCGGTGTTAAAAGCTTGCTATGAGCCACACCAGTTCAGGAGCTTGTATGCCTCAAGACAGACATTGCCTTGGCTTTTAAGCATCGTTTTCCCTATAAGGAGCAATTGTTTAATTTGCATACTTAGCCACATGAGGCTGGGGGGGGGGTTCACACATGGGGACAGAACACGCTGTATGTCTCAGTCTGCACTTGACCATGTATTTCTGTTCTGCTCTCTCCTTGGTGGAGCAAGGGAGACCAATTTCTGGCACTTTTTATTCTGTATATTTTTAAAATGAAAAATAAATCTTTTTTATGGGGGAAAAAAAAAGCAAAAGTTGTCCAAGTTAACTTTATGGGAACTATAGATTGTGAGCCACAATTGGCCATTTTTAATTTTCTTCGTTTGTATATATGTGTGTGTGTTTTGTTCTTCTAAGGAAGTGTGCAACATTTATTTCAAGCTGCTCTTCGGCACCATATATGTACTATTTCAGAAGGCAGACATGTGTAAATATTCTTTTCCCCAAAATAACATATATACAAGAACATAACCCTGCAGGTTGAAAGCTAAGACAGAAAGGGATTTCCCAACCTAGCCTTCAGCCTGGCCTTCTATATGCAGGGATTTTTGTTACCTGTGGGAGCATTTGCCTGGCAAGTTGGCCCAATGGCTCTGTTGAGCTGAGATACCAACTTAATGTTCAACCTCAGTGACACTTCTACTCACAAAACAGCCACTAGTTGGAGGCATAAAATGCTTGTTCAGCACTGTTGGTGCTACTCAAAGTTAAGTAGCACAGTGGTACCTCGGATTACAAACGCTTCAGGTTACAGGCTCCGCTAACCCAGAAATAGGACCTCGGATGAAGAACTTTGCTTCAGGATGAGAACAGAAATCGCGGCGTGGTGGCGGCAGCGGGAAGCCCCATTAGCTAAAGTGGTGCTTCAGGTTAAGAACAGTTTCAGGTTAAGAACGGACCTCCGGAATGAATTAAGCATTTAACCCGAGGTACCACTGTACTAAAATTACTGCTTGCAACGAACAACTGTTGTTCTTAAGGTAGGTGCAAGCACACCCGTGGTAGGAATGCTCCCTGCCGAGTTTTGCTCGGAGCAGGTTCTGGACTCTGTTTTTAGAGTTTGTTATCCAATTGTGTATTTGCTCAAATGGTTTTTGGACCAGTTTTCTGTTTGGCATAGTGAATGCTAGCATTATGCTCAAAACAGGTCTAATCATATCTGATCAGGAGCTGTGTGCAACTCAGATACTTGCATATCTAAATATTTACCTACTGCATGTGTGCAACCCGTTGTTCTTAAGAAATCAACAAAATTTTAAAATACCGCTATATGGTTTCCTCTCTCTCAGCTGTCTTCTTGAAGTATGTGTTAAGCTAACCAGTGGTTGTCTGACTTTCCATTTATTTTTTTGAACCTAAGTTCTCTCTTCTTCTTCTTCTTTTATTTGCTCAAAGTGCTGTGTAATGCTGTGTGGTTTTGTTTTTTAAAAAATATGTCCTAATCTGTTAATGTTTTCCCCACGTTTCCTGCCATTGCCGTTCCAGCCCACTTCTCCTTTCTCTTAACGTTTTGACTCTCTTCTACAGAAATCACTCCGGATCTGTACAGAACAGCAGAATTAGGTGGCAGAATGTGGAGCTGACAGAATGGACTTGCACTACTGCAGACTGCAAGCGTGGAATTGGCATTTACCCTGCCGGTCTAGTATCCCACAGGTCTCATGAGGCTCATTTGAGTGTATATAGCCTTGTGTCTTCTGCAAGAGATTCTGCCAATCAAAACACCTCCCCAGCAGCTGAGCACTGGCGGTCTGTCACCCGATCTAACACAGGATGTAGGGAACTGATTTGAGGACCTCTGCATATCTTGATGGTGTCTAAGAGGAAGCCCCGGTTGCATGGATGGAGAAAAGATATTCTCCCTCTCTCTCCAGAGTCTGAGAACCTAGGGTGACCTAGCAAAGGTGAATATTTGTGGAGATTCAACAGAGGCAACAGGAAGTACTTTCCAGAGGCGAATGATGGGCTTTGCTGCTGGAGCCAGGATTGTTTCAGATTGGATGGACGACTGTGTTAAGATTCTTGCATTGCAGGGGGGTGAACTAGATGGGGAGGGTTGCTATTGAGCTCAGGTTTTGCTTGCAATCTTCTCGTAGGCCAGCGGTTCTCAACCTATGGGTCCCCAGATGTTGTTGGACTACAATTCCCATCATCCCTGAACTCTGGCCTTGCTAGCTGGGGTGATGGGAGTTGTAGTCCAACAATATCTGGGGACCCACAGGTTGAGAAAGGCTGTCGTAGACAATGTGATTACGGTGCTGAGTGAGATGGGCCTCTGGCCTGAACCAGCAGAGCTGCCCTTAGGTTCCCCATCTACTAGAAAGTAACTGTTCCCAAAAACTTAAGTACTTGAAATGATTGCAATAGCATACATTTATTACTGCATTTATATTCTGCCCTTTCTTCCAAGGAGCTAACTCAGGGCAGTGTCTATGGTTCTTTTATCCTCACAACAACCCTGTGAAGTGAGTTAGGCCGAGAGTGGCCCAAAATCATCCAAGGAGGGGATTTAAACCTGGGCATCCCTAGTCCTGCCCTGAGGACACAGCCACACCAGACATGTCAAGCGCCTTTAGGTCACTTTTAACAGTCATGGCTTCCCCCAAAGAACAGTCTGGTTTAGGAACGATTTGGTTTACAAAGTCTGCAAAATCGGACATAGTGTCTTGGGTTTGAGAACTTTACCTCAGTCTAAGAACAAAATCCGAATGGTGGAAGGGCATTGGCGATGGGAGGCCTCATTAGGGAAAGCGCGCCTCCGTTTAAGAACAGTTTTGGTTTAAGAACAGACTTCCGGAATGGATTAAGTTCATAAACTGAGGTACCACTGTATCATGGAAACTGTAGTTTGTGGCTGTGGAGAGTTGCCAGGAGACTCCCGTTCCCTTCTCAGAACTAGAATTCCCAGAGTTCCCTTGGGAAGGAAGGCTTGATTGTTAAACCACTCTGGGGATTGGTGTGCCTTTTCAAGCTGCAGAAATGCCTCCACAGCTGGCTCTCTTTTGCCTCTCCTCATTCCGTTCCTTGTTTTGGAACATTTGTCTCTCCCACCCCCCCACCCCTGGGCTTTGACAACTCTTGATCTCGCAAGGCCCTCCCGTTCCCTCCCTTCTGGACAAGAGCTGAACTATATATAAAATCCCTTTCGAACCCTGGCTGCGCTCCCAGGTTGGTGAAATGTTTACGCTGTCTGGGAATACTCCTGGTCCCAGCTGGGAAGAAGCCAAGAAGGCCTGAGAAACGGAGAGAGAAGGTCAAAAGCAACAGTGGGCTGAGACAGAGTCTCATTAATGTTCCAGGCTGGATGGGAGCAAGAACACAGGATGGCTGGGATACACACACATACACAGTATTTATGTACCCTCCAAGGTTTGGAAGAGAAAACTAGGCAAGCTTTGGGCTTCCATGCAGGTTCCAAAGTACACACTTTCACGTGTGTGGATGTAGCCAGAGGAGTATCAGGCCTAAGTAAACACCCATCCCAGAATCTTCACCGCATTATCCTGGGACAGTGAACGTCAATGATGATGATGATTAATTACTTATACCCCACCCATCTGGCTGGGTCAGCTTCATAACAAAACATCAAACATTAAAAACTTCCCGATACAGGACTGCCTTCAGGTGTTTTCTAAAAGTTATGTAGTTCTTTATCTCCTTGACATCTGAAGGGAGGTTGTTCCGCAGGGCGGGCGCCACTACCGAGAAGGCCCTCTGCCTGGTTCCCTGTAACCTCACTTCTCGCAGGGAGGGAACTGCCAGAAGGCCCTCGGAGCTGGACCTCAGTGTCCGGGCTGAACAATCGCTCCTTCAGGAATACTGAGCCGAGGCTGTTTATCAACACCAAACACCATTGACAGTGGTCAGGAACAACTGACAACTGGGGTGGTGGTGGTGGAGCACAGTCTCCCCAGCCTTCTGAACTCTGGGTGCGTTAGGATTTGCTGTGGTTACTCCTTAGGGAGAGGAAAAGGACATTCAACAAAGCCTGGAAACATGCTCCTTTGCTGCAGTTGCAACCTTTGGGTGTGGGCAAACGGACGTTCTGGCAAATAAGTGTCAGAAGGGATGTAGTTGATCTGGCGTTCTTCCAATGTGGACTACAATTCCCAGCATCCATGGCCCCTGTAGTGCAATTACATCTGATGGGTGCCATGTTTGCTACCCCTTGGCTAGATAGTGACTCTTGCCATTGAAAAATGGTTTCAGACATGTGTGGATTTCAGTCGCTATAAGCAGGGACAGTCAACCCCTGGCCCTCAAGATACTTTGGGCATATCACTCTCCTCAGCCTCGGCCATTGCGGCCAATTGTCAAGGATGATGGGAATTACAGTCTGAAAACATTGGAAGAGTACCAGGTTGATCTGGTTCACAGTGAGAGGCAAACAGGAATCAGGAGTTGCCATGGATAGATTCTGGGACTTTACGCATGCAAACCATGTGCTCTGCAATGGAGTTATAGCCACACCACCTTTGTGGAAAGGTACAGGGGTCAAAATCAATCTGCCACTAATCCTCTTGTTCCTGCCTATGTATTTGTAGAGATCAGCCAGAGGTTAAATTTTTAGACCTGAACATGTGGTGCCCTCTGGTGGAAAACAAAATGAGTAGCACACTCTACTCCTTTAACCCCGTCCTGCCCACATCTCAATACTGTACTGCTTTCAAAAGGGAGAAAGGAAACCTTTGACCAAAATAGGGTGTCTGCCTTTAGCTTTAAGACCCTGGAAACATTTTTTAAAAAAGCAAAAACAAATAAATACACAATTCTTTCTCAGTTTGGGAGTTTCAAACACATCTGGAAATTGAATTGGCATGGTCAAGTTCATTTGTAGCTTGCTTTTTAAGACAGAAGAGGTTGAAGCAGACATTTAAGTCTGCTGTATCAGTTAGTGACTCTTAATTGTTTTATTATTTCAGCTTCTATCCTCTGTTCTTTTGGGCTTAGGATGGGTTTAAAAAACCAACACTTTTTTTGGGGGGGGGGGAGGAAATACTATAAATGCAAAAGACTCTGTTTACATAATTAAATTAAATTAAATTAAAATATCCTGTGTCATTGGCTTGGCCCTTGCTTGACAGATGTTGGCCCAGCCAAGAAATGTCACATCATTTCCCAGACTCATTGCATACATGATAAGCCAAAATTCTACCCACCATCAAAACAAAATGGGAAGATAAATCATTCAAATACATTGACAGGAAGTGGACGGGTAAGGCTGAACCACTGTGTGGGGGGTGGGCTGGAGGAGCAATGTTACCTAAATATCTGAACATTGCCAGATGTCAACATATCAGACTTTCAGACTTTCAACTATGGCAAATCATGTGGATCTCAGAATAATTTGGGATTTTCCATCCCAAAATTTAGAATATTAGGTTTTTGTTTAAATAACAGTTTTCACCAGCGTTTACACCTGGAAATTTTCAAATATTGCAAAATATGAAAATGGAAGAAAGGGCTCCGTTATCCAAAACCGGAGTAATCTCTCTCCAGTCTTTCACCACACTATAAAGCAGAGTAAAAGGGAACTAGCAAACAACTGAGCTAAGTATTGCTGAGAGGCTTTAAATATACTTATATTTAGGGACATAATCAAAATGTATGTTTCTTCATTATGTAGCAAGCCTAAATGAAAATTAACTCTGTGTGTGTGCATGCATATGTACAATCAAGGTGTCACATACTGTATTTATATTTTGAATTCAGGAGCAATTTATTGGTGCGGAGGAGAGAAGAGTATTGTAAACCTTTGATCCTTGACATGCAACAGGACTGTCCTTTGCTACTACTTAAAAATAAAAATGGTCACCACCTATTCTAACAAATATTTTGCAAAGTGTCAAAATTACCTGAATTGAAAACATTGCTTTTTTTATAAAAAACAAACAAACCTGTTTCTTTTCTTTGCCCGAGCAGATTCAACACTCTATCATACCCCAGTATTTAAAGATAAATAAATAGCCGAATATTAATGCGAGGAATAGTTATCTCGCTTACTGGCTTTTCTGACGGTGCTCTGCTAAGAGACTTTACAATTTCGTTTTCGGACGAAAGTACCGAAGTCGACTCTGGTTAGCTCAGTACCACCTTTTGGGGTGGCTGCGATTTCAATTCGGTAGATTCGGGCCGAATTATTTACATGGCCCTTTTCCGAATGACAGTGCAGACTCAGAATTTCTGGGCTAACCCCCGTTACCTTCATTACAATTGTTAAATGGGTTAAATAGCAGCGATTTCGCTCTTTGTCGCGAAAGCGTCATGCGCATTTCTAAGTTTGCCATTCCCTTACGACGACTTTAGATTTCGCAGATTCGTCGGTACCACCTTTTTTTGGTCGTCTGGGCGCCTTGCAAACTCTCAGCAGCGGAGCAATCCTCTCTATCCCACGGTCCCCAACCTGTACTAAGCACCCACCATATAAGCATAATTCGTTTTATTTGGTTGGTCCAGCAGCGAATGTGCGAGGAAAGAATCGCGGGCTAGATCTTCGCCCTCCCCATCTTTTAAGTCTAGTTGTCATTTCGAATTGAACGATTCGCCACCATCCTACGTTCGCAGAAAACACACACACAAAATAAAAACAAAACCCGGAGAAGGGTTTAAAAAACCAAAAACCAACCAACCTAATGTTCTGCGGAGCAACACGGAAGCACTGGAAAACGAAGTGAAATGCGTGACTGTGTGAACAGTTGATTGCCTTTCCCTCCCCCTCTCACAGCCCAGTGTCGAAAGCGCAGATCAGAAAAAACAACAACACGACGACGACGAAGCCGGAGAGCCGGCAAAACCGTCTCCATAGAGAGGAGGGAGGGGGTGGTGGTGAGGAGAGGAGCAGCGGTTCTCGCGAGAGCCTCGCCCGAGAGTCTCGCCCGAGCGCTCTGGCCCCGCCCCCTGGTCCCTGTCGGCAGCGGCAGAGGGTTGTCACCCTTTTCCCCTTCCCTCTTTTCTTTCCCCCCCTTGTCCTCCCTTCACAGGTCGCGAGGCGAGAATAGCGGCGGAGCAGCACGAGACGCCGAGAGGGAGCGCGAGGGAGAAGAAGAGAGAGCTCGCTCGCTCGCGCGGGGGGAGAGGGAGGCAGCGCGCGAACGAGCGCGAGAGGCCGGACGAAGGGAGGAGGAGGGGGGCCGCCGTCGCCGCGCGTGCGCCCCCTGAGAGAAAGGAGGAGGAGGAGCGGGTAGGAGCAGGTGACGCGAGCGAGCGGGAGGCGGAGAGGGGAGCGCGCGAGCCCCTCCGCTGGTGAGGGGCGGCGGGGGGAGGGGGGGAAGGAGAACGCGCGCGAGTGACGGGTGCGTTGTGGGGGGGGGGCGGGGGAGGAGAAGGCCTCGCGCGGGAGGGGGAGGGAGCAGGAGGGCGCCTTGGGTGGGCGGGGCCGGGGCACCTGAAGGGAGGGCAGGAGCCCCCAAAAGGGCAGATGGGGTTGTAATTGGAGAGAGGGGTTTGGGGAGGGGGCAGTTTGTGTGGGGAGGCACGAGGCACTATGGGTGTTTTGGGGGGGGGAGAGAGGCCTTTTTGAGAAGGGGGTCCTGGGAGGAAGGCCTCTCCTCCTCTCCCTCCTCCAGCTGACCAGGCTGGGCGCCCAGGGGGTATTGGCAGGGGGTGGGGGTGTCTGACTGAGGGTCTGAAGTTTTCTCCTCCGCCCCCGCTGGAGGCATGCATTTAGGAAGCGAAACGAGCCTCCACAAAACAACGGGAGGAGGCGTGGTGTGGAAAGAAGGGCCCTTTGGGTGGCATCCGATGCTACAGAATAGAAGAGGAATAGAAAATTCCTATAGGGAAAGGGGCATTTTGAGGGGCAGGAGAACATCTGACGAGGGATGGTTTTTTTGGGGGGGGTGAGAGAATCAAATTGTTTTGAGGGGTTCCGTTAGCAGCAAGGCAGAGTGAAACGGTCCATGGAGGGTGAGGTTGAAAGGGAAGGATGATCTGACAGGGTTTGAAGAGGGGAAGGGGGAGAAGGGAGATCTCCACCGATTGGCTGGATGGTAGAAATGGGCGATGTTGCAGAGATCTCTGTGAGGAATAGATTTTCCATATCTGCATGACTCTGTGAAAGATGAAGATGGGCAGAGAGAATGGGAGAACTGATGGATGTAGAGAGAGAGAGAGCACTCCCATTGACAAATGGGAACAATTAGCTCAGGATGGCTTGGAGAGAAGTTGAAAAAGGTCGAGATAAATTGTAAAGCTTAGAGGTAAGGACTTTAGAGGATAGAGGAGGAATACGAAAGTTAGGAATATTGAAATGAGCGCTTACTCAAAATGGCGGGACAACAGGTAAACCTTGCAATGTTTTAACTGCAAAGGAAATTAGAGGTGAAGACTGTGAGGCACAGAGAACATCTCAGAATGACAAAAACTTAGACAGGGAAAATAATTCTTAGGGCAAGCCTTTTTATGAGGAAATCTGTTGATGGGGAGGAGCCAAATATGCAGAGGAAGATGATTATTGATATAGTTGAAGAATAGGGGGGAAAACTTTGAGGGTAGACCCCAGCAGGACAGGAGGCTGTGGATTTCGTAATCCCACTTTGAGAATTTAATTTACAGTATGCAATCTTCCTATAGCTGGAGGCATCTGAATTCAGATTGCTTCATCTTGCTTTATTTTAGTTTTCGGGTAATGCAATGTTGCATAATTTTGGTTAATTTTTAATTTGTGAACATAAGTAACTTTTCCTCTTAAGTAAGGAAGAATACATGTCACCAGGGGATAGAATTGGGAGTCCTGATTCCCAGCATTCCCTATTCTAACATGCCATCTGTCTTCCAAGGAAGTCTTTTTATTCTACTGCCTGAGAATGTTTCATTATGCAAATTCGTATCCATCATTTGCTTGTTTTTTTACATTCACTTTTTGTACTTTCTTCCTAGTTTCCCAAGTGTTTTGTTTCACATTATGGACTGAACCAACTCCAACCAGGCTTTATTGCGAAGGAAGAAAAAACACACAGCTGTAATAGCTTGACCACAGACGAGATAATCCACAACAGGTACAATTTTATTCCTGCCTTTTACTTTCATGCATTCCCTTTGTGCTGAACTTATTTGGAGATCTATATTTCTGTTCTTATGCAATGAGCACGTTGCAAGGTTAAAATTGCTGGGCTTCTCAAATTTGCATTATACTTGGAGAGGGCATGTGGTTCTGGTAATTATATTCTTCATATTCGATAGGAGGTTGAATATGAATAAGGGCAGGATAATGTATTAAATTAACATTTTTCAAATATGTAAAAGGGGCAAAAATAAATTTGAGGTCAGACCAAGAGATTTATCAAGGTGATGCTTTTCAGGCATCAACCTCAGTTATTTCAGTTATGGCGCATTCAGGGGGTATATTATTAAAGGAGGCATATGTGTGAAAATAATTTGCACAGGGTAATTATTATAATTTTGTCCCCTTGCTCCTATTTTAGCAAAGCTGTTTGCCACCAGTGTGGCAATTCTAAACTAGGACTGGGTTTGCTCTGTGCTTTAAAAAAAAATTCTGCTCCAAGAAAAGCTAAACTCTGGTCCCTCTATAAATTATTTGTCAGATTATTGTAAATAGTGGCCATTACACCGCTACAAATTTGGTCCAGTTGCACAAGTTACATCATTTCTCTTATTTTGCATAATTTATTCTACTATTCATATTTTAGGCATGGGAGGAGCAAGGCTAAAAATGTCTCATTTTAGTAATTCAAAATCTTATTCAGACAACTCACTAAGATTGGAGCAGGGACTGCCTGCATGCTATCAAGCATTTCTTCATACTTGTGTATTTTTGCTATTGCTTTAGAAGAATTTATAAACTACTTAATCAAAGAATCCCTAAGCAGTGTAATGAAATAATTTAAAACTGTTATCTGTATCAAGTTGAAAATTTAAAAACAAAATTTAAAAGCAAAATGTTAAAACAGGTATATGTAACTTGTTAACATGTCCAAGTAAAATTGCTAACACACAAATATTTTTAGGAGGTATCTAAAACAGCTCAACAAGGATGCTTTATAATCACAAGGAACAGAAGCTTGCTTTTTAAAAAAATCTGCACTATATACCACAGCTTTTGTTCCATGCGATCTTGCAGAACTGTAGCAGGTTCACAGTCCCTGCAATAAAGCTCTGCAAATCAAATCCAGGAAGCCCAATCTGAGTATGTATGTAATTCATCTCACTTTAAAAGTGGCCAATTTAATAAAAGTTTTATAAACAACAACAACAACAATTTATTATTTATACCCCGCCCATCTGGCTGGGTTTCCCCAGCCACTCTGGGTGGCTTCCAACCAAATATTAAAAACAGTACAGCATCAAACATTAAAAACTTCCCTAAACAGGGCTGCCTTCAGTTGTCTTTTAAAAGTAAAATAGTTGCGTTCCACAGGGCAGGCACCACTACCAAGAAGGCCATCTGCCTGGTTCCCTGTAACCTCACTTCTTGCAGCGAGGGAACTGCAAGAAGGCCCTTGGCGCTGGACCTCAGTGTCTGGGCTGGACGATGGGGGTGGAGATGCTCCTTCAGGTATACATGACTGAGGCCATTTAGGGCTTTAAAGGTCAGCACCAACACTTTGAATTGTGCTCGGAAGTGTTGTACGGAAGCGTAAAATGGACAGCCAAATACCTTTGTGCAAGTCACTGAGCTTGTGCAATACAGTAATAGCCCTGGCGATAGTAAATGGATTATGGAGAAGAGGTACAGTTGTTCAGGCAGTTTAATATTAAACCCTCTTCTAGTTCTGGGATATACAGGCGCATCTGCTGGTGGTGACTATTCTGGGTTCAAAGGTGTCTACTTCAGAAATGGCCAGGAGTGGGCTCCTTTGTTATTGTTAACTCTTTCTCATATTAGTAATCATATTATTTAATGCACTGGTTCCATTTCTACTGCTCTAGGGTAAATGAGTCAGAATGGATCAGGAAGGTGGGGGTGACTTCCAGAAAACCCCTAACTTCCAGTGGAGAAACTACAAGCTCATCGTTGACCCAGTGCTCAAGCGGGCCCCGCACAAGGTCTACCGCTATGATGGAGTACATTTCAGCACTAATGTAAGTGGACAGATTCTTATTTGGATGGAGTTGGGGAGGATTTGTTTGAGCTGTGCTGAGAAAGTGAGGGTGGTTCTACCTTTCCTGCTGTGTAATATCCATTGGTCGTTCCAAGTACCCACTTTTTTCATTTGTGTTCTCAAGTTTTAAAACTCTCTGCTTCTCCTGCTCTGTCAGTGTACTGTGTTCGGGGTGGGTGCATTATTAATTTTTTGGTGTTCTGTTGATTCTGGGTGGACAGCAGAATCCAAGGCACTGTTGCTCAGATTGTGTGATGGGTCAGTTCTATGCCACACAGTCCCTAGATTACTTGTTTTGTGCACCTCCTCCTCCTGGTTGTCACAGGGTCCCTAACCCCAGCTTCCGTACAAATTTCTGTGTCCTTGTGCATTGGGGCTCTAGAGACTGGATATTTGAATGCAGCGATCTGAATGCTTTGCAGATCTCTGAGCAGGGCTGATGCCTAAAATTTTGATGTTGGCTTCTGAAGAATTGAAGCTGCCTTTTAGGAGTTCTAAATAAGTTCATTTCCATTTTTGGCATTGGTTGTTTTTTAACATGGAACGTACAGAGTGCTGTCAGGAAACATGGCAGGTGGGTTTTGTGTGCTGATGGCTACTGAGAGAACAGTGGTGTGAGAGGTGAACAGGGAAAGGAAATATGCCTGTGGCTCATGGGGCACCTACTGAGGGATTTTTGAAGGTGTAGCAGCCTCCCCAAAGGGTGGGAATGAGGAGGGGTGCTTTGACTGTAGAGGAGGCCAGGTGTACCTGGGTTTATGAACTCCTTTGGCTCTTGTTTCACCTCACAGCAAGTCAGTCACCACTTTTTCAGTGCCACTGGAATAACTGGGACTTGAGCAATTAAGACCCATTGAAACAAATAGGAACTTAAGTGGCTTAACTTTCCCTGGGTTGCACCTATAGATTCTCTGGCTTTAAAATGATTATAACAGTGCAAATAAAAATGTTTAGGTTGGTTTATGGCTATTTTATGAATGAGTTTCCTTATTAGCAGTAGCAATAGAAAATGAAAAAGGCATTTGATTTAGATCTCTGTCAGACATTGCTGGCATAGTGTTAAAGAAGAGAAAGCTTTTGGTGGTCTCCAGGTCAAATTCTTTGTATCCTATAGTGTTATTGCAAATTATGAATGTCAGTACAGACAACAGACACCTGCCCCAGTTCAAGCAAGACACAATTGGGCTTATGTCTGTTGGCTAACATTTGATTTGACTTCTGCTGTTTTTAATATTAATAAAATGTTTCATTTTAAAATTGGTTTCTAAAGTCCTTAGTAGTTCTTATTTTAGAGTTGTCATTAAACTCTCCAACAATATTTGGTTCCATTTTAATTTCCTCTTAGAAATGACGATGGGCCTTGTAGCATTGGAACAGTTTGAAGAGCATAGTCTATGTCTCTTGGGTTGCCTCCCATACTTGAAAAAATTATTTCTTAATCGTTAACCCACCTCTGAGGCTACCTTTGGTTGTTTGGTCCATTACTTGTTGGTTATAGAATAATTTCTACTGCTTAACTTTCATTGTTTTCCTGTGCACTGTAAAAGCAAGATCTATTGAAATCAATGGAACTTATTCCCACATAGCATGTGTAGATTGTACTGTGTTATGCCCACTTTACAGACAGAGATTGAGACTGAAACAACCTGTTTCAAATATGATTTCCTCCCAAAACCACTATAGTACTTGGAATTTGGAATATAAGGACTAAAATCTCTTTTTAGCCCCCTTTGCTAATCTGCTGTCTGTTTTGGAAAGCTGTTTGTTTGCTATGCATTGGGGTGCCTCTTAAGCTATTGCAACCAAATTTTGCGCAGTGGTTTCTGACATCAAGGAATAGGTTTTTATCTATGTTTGAATGCCATTGGATGCCATTTTGAATCAAGATGGCAAACTGAACCTTTCAGAGCTGCCATATTCTGCCTTGGTCAGACCATACCTGGAGTCCTGGGTCCAGTTCTGGGCACCACAGTTTAAGAAGGATATTCACAAACTGGAACATGTGCAGAAGAGGGCAACCAAGATGATTAAGGGTCTGGAGGAACAGTTAAGGGAGTGGGGAATGTTTAGCCAGGAAAAGAGACTGAGAAGGGATATGATAGCCATCTTAAAATATCTAAAGCAGAGCTTTCCAAACTGTGTGTTAATGTGTCATGCAAATGTACCCTGCGCTCCTGCCTGGACTGGAAAGGGGTTAGTTTAACCTCTGGTTTGCTAGGAAACTGAATTACCATGTCGCGAAATGATGCATGTCTAAAACGTGTGTCACCAATGTGAAAAGTTGGGAAAGCTCTGGTTTAAAGGACTGTCACATGGAGGATGGAGCAAGCTTGTTTTCTCCTACTCCGGAGGCTAGGACTCGAACCAATGGATTCAAGACAGCAGATTCTGAATAAACATCAGCTGGAACTTTCTAACAGTAAGAGCTGTTCAACAGTGGAACAGACTCCCACAAGAGGTGGTGAACGATCTCCTTCCTTGGAGGTTTTTAAGCAGAGGTTGCCTTCTGCAGAGGTTGGATGGTCATTTATCATGTATGATCTAGTTAAGATATTCCTTCATTGCAGGGATTGGACTAGATGACCCTCAGGACCCTTTCAACTCTAGGATTCTGTAACTTTGGCCACTGATTTCACAACTACACTGATTTTTTTAATTTTACGAAATTCCCAAGCAACACCTGGCATGAGGCTTCCAGCTTTAAATGTTTGGTGCTAAAATAGTAAGCCTGCGGTCATAAATACACTTGCAGTGATTCCCATCTAGCTCTGTGGAACTCAGGCTTTGACAACTGGGCTGTAGGATGTGTGCCTATTGTTGTTTACATGTACCTCAAGCTCTAATAAAATATTGTTATTCTAGTCCTTCCGTTAATATAGGAGACAAATGTGAAAACAGACGCCTGATTCACGCAGCCCCCTCTCCTCCTTAAACTTTCTTAGGCTCCTGATGTCAGTCACAGCTCTGGCATCATGTCTCACCAATGTAATGAGCACAAAATCCAAAAGATTCTACACGCTGAGAGCGTAGCTCCTTCTTGAAATATTCTGATCATTGCAGCCAAAGGAGTAGCTGTGTCTTCCTCTGTTTACAGTCCCGTTTTTTCCTGCATAGCATGGCAACATTTGATGTGCTTAGTTTCACTTTTCTTCTAGCCTGAGAGTCTGCTTCCCTTGTAGCTGTTGCTTTGTTTGAAAATTCCCCTAAGCAACAGAAGAAGCAGCTGTGACAAAGACACAGTTCAAAGCTATAGAGAGCCTGGGGGCAGGTGGACAGGGGAGAGAAAAAGGTGCTGTGTTTGAATCTATGATGAATTGATGATTTGGGTCATGTTTGTTCAAATAAGCATCAATGACACTGGGAGTCAGCCTTAAAATTCCATAAAAGAATAACAGTTTGTAGCACTCGGACCCATAATTGCCCAGAATCCCCTCCCCCTTCTGCTCTAATAAGGTTTATTGGAAATATGCTTAATGTAACTTGGTGAAATTTACTTCCAAATAAGTCACTTTGGGTTGGGGTGGAAGTGAAGCTGAGTATGATGGCCATAGGCACACCTGGACTGACCTCTATTTCTACTACTAATTGTGCATACAGTACTGTTAATTTGCAGAATTCCGCCCCCCCCCCCATGTTTGTCTTTATCAGGAGGATAAAGTGAGGGAAGATCACTATTCTCATTGATAGATGAGAGGAACTTGTTCAAGTCTATAAAATGAATCCATACAGAGGTGGGACTTCGGTTCACCTCAAAATTCTAAATCTGCTCTACACAGTTTTTTTATAGCATTCCTCAAGAGCAGCCACTAGTGTATCTCACTCACTTGAGCCCAGATATAGACATGTTTATTGCTTATATTCTGGGAGCAGCTTAGAAGGAAATTTGGCTGATCACACCAGAGCCACAAGTCCACATGTAGAGCCTAAATGAGAAGAATTATCATCTTTTTTCCCCATTGCAAATGGCAAATCACCATGAAACGCTATGGAGCAGTCCTTAATAACTGGAAACATACACAAAGTCCTAATGTACATTATTGCCTTTTAAAATACTTTTTCCTAAATCTTCCCATGCTTTGCTTGTTTTGTATTAACGTCTTCTTTTCACCTGGATTCAGCCTTTTAATGAACATTACAGCTAAAGTATTCATTTTCGTTTCGTATCATATCTGGGGCTCTTACTTTTTTCTGGTTAATCCAGATTAATTGCTGCTTGAATGCTTGGAGAACTTTACTGGGGTATGATTCTCCAGTGTTCAAGCAGTGCTGCAGAGAATCATAGTGTGTGATCTGCATCCTGTCCCAGTTGTCTTGCTGCCTTTCCCCTGAGAACCCAGAAACCTTCAACATAGGCCAAGGCTGGAGAACATGTGGCCCTCCAGATGTTGTCAGACACCAGCTGCTGACCACCTGAGCCAGCATAGTCAGTGACGCTGGGTGGAGTTCCATTCCAGCAGCACCTGAAGGGCCACAAGTTCCCCATCCCTCATCCTAGTCTCCAATTGTATTTCATTTTTGTCAAGTATTGGGGCAGAACCAGTGTTCGAAACTCCCATTGTTCTTGGTGCATTTTGTGACATGGAATTTCATTAGCACGAGCAGTTTCTGAGCTTAGTACTGCGCCTAAGATTTCAGATTAAAACTGCAGAGTGGAAGGAAAGGAGGACCTTTTTCTGCCTCCGCACTTCCAGCTACTCTCTAAAGACTGGAGAAGAGACCCTCTTAATAGTATTAAGGGGTGGGCAGGGGAAGGACTACACCATGTGAAAATTGAAAAAAAGATTTTAGCTGCAGTTCATTCATTTTAAGCTTTGTATTCTTGTTATAAAAAAGCATGCCTAGACATTCTCTTGTTGCGCCCATAACCTAGGTTTAAGGTGCCATTTAGCTCCTAGCTTTCATATCTCAGTTTCTAACACTGGGCAGAACCAAGAAGCACTTTTTTATTCCAAGGTGTTCTGTTTCCTGTAAAGGCTTTTTGCATTGTTAATGCCTAACAAAATCTCTTCTCAAGGATTCGGGCCACGCTCCTGTGGGTGATGTGCGGGATCCCAGACGCAGGATATGGTCCAAGAACAGAGACATTTCCCTCCCTGTCCCAAAGTTTAAGGTAAGCTACACCCCACCTGATCATGTATCCTTCTCCAAGTCTTCCAAATCCTCAGCACAGCATTGCTGCCACATCTTCCTTACCTGGAAGCCTGGTAAATGTTCAGGAGTGGCCAAGTGTATAGCTTTAACCCTAAATAGTTAACCTGGGATTTGCTTACATTTCTGGCCATCTTGAGGAAAAGATAGCTTGTGGGAAATCTGGTAATTGAGTGTGTGAAGTACAAATATATGTCCTGATCTGCCTTGACCTTGGGGCTAAAAGACAGCAATTGTGTCTTGGAGAGAAAAGTTATTGAATTCAATCTTAAGAGGAGAAATGTGATGGAAGGGAGGTTTGGGAGTGCAGGAGAAGAGGAATGGCAAAGAAAACTGCTTGTCTTTTCATTCTTGTACTCATTGCTGAGTTCTTTGAATATGTTGTTGTGAAATGTCAGTGGATAATGAATCTGTACCTCCACAGGGAAAAGCTGGGTTCAAAAAACAGTTGAAAATTCTTCAAAGGGGAAAAAGCTCCAGAATTTGCCTTCGTAATAAACTGGGTAGATTAAGAATATCTAAAGTTCATTGACTATAACAAATTGTCTGGATTCATGCAGATATGGCGATTTTGTCTTGGGAAATTGCTATGGTGGTAGTGGTGGGCAGGGAAATGGTGTGTGTTTGAGGTTATCTTGTCTTGGGTGGAATTTGACAAGCATAAAATAGGAGGTTCAGGAATCTTGAATGCACTGATGAAGGGTCCACCCAGCAGTTCTGCAATCTCTGAACCTCTGTTGGCAGCCCATTTTAAAGCTTTTGCTGACTATCCAGAGCACTGGATGATATTTCTTAATTATTGGGGTGGGGGTATGCTCTTTGGCAATTGATTTAGCCCCCTCGCCCCATCTCCCCTTTTGTTTCTTCTGCAGCTGGATGAGTTCTATGTGGGTCAGATCCCTCTGAAGGAGGTGACCTTTGCCCGGCTCAATGACAACATCAAGGAGCCCTTCCTGGCGGACATGTGCAAAAAATATGGAGACATTGAGGAGATTGAGATCCTCTACAATCCGAAGAACCGCAAGCACCTGGGCCTGGCCAAGGTGCTCTTCACCAGCACAAGGGGAGCCAAGGAAACAGTCAAGAACCTGCACAACACTTCTGTCATGGGCAACATCATCCATGCTCAGCTCGACATCAAAGGTGCTTGTCCTTCTCCGGCCATACTCTCGGTTCAGTCTTGCCGCCTCTGATTCAGAGTAGTTCCCCTTTCCAATAAATGGCTTTTCTCTCCACAGGTCAGCAGCGAATGAAGTATTACGAACTGATTGTGAATGGCTCCTATACACCCCAGACTGTCCCCACCGGAGGCAAAACACTCAATGAGAAGTTCCCAGCGGACTCGGTGAGTTTGCTAAAGTCTCACATTTGAATTGTCCAGGTTTAGGGCCACTTTTCCACAGGAAGCCTCACCGAAGGATTTTCTTCTGTGTCCAGGATATGATCCTCATTCCTGATAAAAAAAATAGCCATCCTTTGATTCTCTTCCCCTCCCATCACTACTCCTCTGTCTTCCCTCTCTGCACTGCCTGTCCGCAAGGTTTCTGCCACCTGCTGGTTGTCTATACCTATAGGAAAACAATGCTCAAGTCCTGCTCCTTTGCTAAATGATTGGTATTTTCCCTCGGATGGGGCTGCATCCAAGTCAGCTAGGAATTAGCTACATGGCTGGTTCCCATATTTCAGTCTAGGTGGGACTGCATGGTGAATAATCTGCTCTCAATCCTTCCCTTTTGTAGTCAGAGTCCCGAAGGCGCCACTCAACAGACTCCTCGTACGCTAGTAACACAATGCCTTCAACGCCTGGCAATGGCACACCTTCCTCTCAGGACACTCCTTATTCCAGTGGTAGGCAGGATACACCTTCTTCGTATGGCCAGTACACGCCACAGTCGTCCCAGGGGACACCATTCACTCCCCGGGGAGGGACGCCATATTCTCAAGATTCTGCTTACTCCAGCAGGTGGGTGATTTATATGTATATCTGCCCTAAGCCCGGGGGGAGTGATCTTAGTGGCATTGCATCCTTGAGCCAGCCTGTTAGGGCTGGCTAAGTGGGAGAGAGCAAAGACTGGTCACTCACGGTACTGTCTCTTCTTAATTTTCCTCCTCAAGGCAAGGGACTCCAGGCTACACAAGCTACCAGCCAGAGTCAACATCGTACAAATCCCGCCGACATGAGAACAGCTTTCCAGACTCGTACTCACGTCGGCATTATTCTTCTTCGTCCTCTTCCTCCTCCTCCTCGACCTCTTCTTCCTCCTCCTCCCACTTCCGTAGCAATGACCATCACTACCCTCCCTACAATCAGCAGTTTGACGGCGGCAGCGGCGGCGGCAGTGCTGCCACAATCAGCAGCAGCAGCCGGTACCAACGCCTCTCATCCACCTCAGAAGGGCGCCCGTCTTCTTCCACCCCCTCCTCCTCTTCCTCCTCCTCCTCTCATCGCTCCCACCAAAGAGAGGACTCTGGTTTCCATTCCCGGCACAGGGAACGCTCCCAGAGGGATGAGGCGACTCCTTCCTCCACCGTCACCACCCCCACGGTCACCACCCCCTCCTCCTCCTCTTCGTCGTCTGTGGCCACCCCAGCCCCAGATAGTGCTCAATTCCAGAACAGCCACAGCTTCACTCCGCAGAGTGCAGAGCCCTTTCCAGCACCCAGCGTTCTCTACCCACCGTACACAGCCACTCCGGAGCCTTTCTCCCTTCCTGTGGAACCCCTTGCTGTGGACCAGGACTACCGGCTGCTCCCCACAGCCGAGACTTTTGCTGCCAACTCCTTGCCTCCTACCGAATTTCTTGCTCAGGAAACTAAAGAGAACACCAGCCCAGCAGTAGCAACCATTGCAGGGGCCGATGACCGGTCCCATTCCCCTGCTGTGCAGACCTCGCCAGCCCGGTCTGGCTCCCCTGCACCTGAAACTACCAACGAGAGCGTCCCTTTCACTCAGCACAGCAGCTTGGACTCCCGCATCGAGATGCTGCTCAAGGAGCAAAGGTCCAAGTTCTCTTTCCTCAATTTGGACACGGAAGAGGAAGACGAGGAGAAGGGAGGGCCCAAAGGAGTGGAGCCGCACGGGCCCTGCACTCCACCGCCTCCCCTCCCTGTCAGTTTTGAAGATGTGGTGCCGGCGCTGGACATGGGATCAGGAGCAGAATCTCCCAAAGCCAATGGACAAGATAGAGTAAGTTCTGAGGATTTTGAATGTGGCAACTTTGGCGGGGGGGGGAGGTTGGAGCTCAGTGAAGGACCGAGCCAGCTCATTGACCATAGAATATTGAGTGACTTGAGAGGGGTGGAATGCAGTGGAACATTCTGAAAGAAGGTATAGGTGGCAGGCTGGAACCTTGAACACAAACACAGTACTCCACGCGGCACTCCATGTGTTTGGATGTGTGTCACATAAATTCAGCAGTCATGTTTGCTGTGCTTGCAGATCTTGGGTTTTGAACCATTAGAAACGTTTGTTGGGACAATTAACAGGGCGTTGATGATGAACTGTAGGGAAGTACTGATTGCAGAAATCCTTGCAGGTATCATCTCATCTCCTGAATATCAGCCTTCTTAACAAATGCTGCATCCAGCTTTCTAAGATTTTATGCACAGTCACGAGGGCTAGGAACTTACCTAGGTATCTTTGGTGTCTTATGAATTGGGAGAATGAGAGATAACTTGAGGCTAGGGTTTTTATATTTGACTTTGCCGGCATCATGAAATTTGAATTTGTTTCAAGATTATTATTATTATTATCATTATTATTATGTAGTGTGAATAATTTAATGATATTGTTGGGGTTAGACAGGTGAAAAGACAGGCCTGCAGGAATTGGGGATAGTGTTTTGGGAGGTGGTTTGCAGCAGTTGCTTTCAGGGAAATGGGTGATGCATGCTGCAGAAGGCAGACAATTGGCTCACTGTGCTATCTCCCTCCCTTCCCTTCTCCTCCCAAATAAGGCATCTCAACAATCTTCAGGTGAAGACATGGAAATCTCTGAGGATGAAGCAGAGGTCGAACCCCCAACCCCTGTGGCAGGGGTGTCTGAACCCCATTTTTCTGTGATGCCGTCAGCCCTGGGCCACATGCAACTGGGCGTGTCCTCCTTTACCCCCCACCACCGACCAGAGCCGCCCCCCGCCTACCCGATACAGCCTCTCATGTCCGTCTCCCTCCCGCACCTGGCGGGCAAGACCCACTCGCTCTCCAACTACGGCCAGGTTGGCCCACGGCATGCTCACCGCCTCTCGGACTTCAGAGGGCGCGCGGGGGTGGTGGGTGGAGGCCGGGGTGCCCCCCACATCTACGACTTCGTCAACTCCATGGAGCTGATGAACCGGCTGGGCAACCAGTGGGGCGGGATGCCCATGTCCTTCCAGATGCAGACGCAGATGCTGAGCCGCCTGCAGCAGCTGCGTCAGAGCAAAGGCCAGTTTGAGGACCCTTTCCCCTACCACCGGGAGGCGGCCTCTTTCTGCGGCCGCCCCCTCTACGGCCACGGCTACCTGCTGGACCAGGCGAACCGCCACTTCCAGAGAGACCAGCTGTTCATGCAGCAGCCGTCAGCAGTGGGGGTCTCGGAGCAGCAGCAGCAGCCGCAGCATTCCTCGGAGCAGCCCCCTCTGCCACCCCCACAGCGCCTCCTTGATTTCCGAGCCTCCCCATGGGGATACCAGGAGGAAGTGGCTCCACCCCCACCTCTTCCCAAGGACCCCCATGCCTCCGTAGTGGACAGCGTCCTGGAGACACTCATGCAGGAGATGAAGAGCATCATGCAGCGTGACCTCAACCGCAAGATGGTGGAGAACGTGGCTTTCAACACCTTTGACAAGTGGTGGGAGCGCAAGGAGGAGAAGGCCAAGGTGATTGTGCGGGGGGGGGGGGAAGGCTGCCAAGAGCCCCAGTCTTGGAAAGGGGTGTAGGTTTGAGACACGGTTCCTAACTCTTAGGCATAGGGTGTTGAGGGGGGTCGTGGGGATTTGGGAGAGCTGTGGGGCCTGCTTTGCAGCGAGTGGTATGAAAGGCTTAAGTTTTATTATTCTTACTGATACAGTGAAAGTGCAGAGTTCCCCAGAAAGTGGGCTGCAAACCTGTCACCGAAAAGCCACTCCAAGCCTTGCTTCTGCAACCTCAGGATAGCAGCGATGCTTGCAGGATGGCATGTGGGGAAGTAGAAGCTTAGCAGAGGCGTGAAGTGTGTTGAAGGCAGCAGGGTGGATTAGTAAAGAGATTTGGATGAGGATGTAGGAACAGGACAAATGGGTATGAAGAGACACAGGGAATATGGAGCAGATAAACCTAATGAGATATCTGCAGTTAGGAAATGAATCTGTCTGCATACATGGATAGAAAGGGGGCTGTTTAATCAACTTTGACAGACACTGCAAAAATCATTCTTATCAAAAGTCTCTGTGTTCTGCTCTTTTTGAGCATGTGACTTACCAAGGGTTTGCTGCTCTGCCTACTCCTCATCCCATATCCCGAACCCTCTTCCTCAGCCTCTCATCACTGCTGCTAATGCCCAGCTCTCATTATCTGCAGCCTTTCCAGAGTACTGTCAAGCAGCCAGTCAAGGAAGAGGAGAAAGACAAGACAAAGCTGAAAGACCCTGCCCTGCTGTCCCTGGTTGACTGGGCCAAGAGTGGCGGCACTGGTGGCCTGGAAGGGTTTGGCTTTGGGACTGGCTTTCGAGGAGTTCTGGGACTCCCATCCTTCAAGGTGAGGGCCATGAATCCCCTTGGGTTGGCTGTGGCAGCAATCCAGCTTCAGGATCTCAAAACCTTGTTTTGTTCAGGAGGCTATAAGTGGGATGGGGGTCATAAGAGACAAAAATCTGGTTTGAGCACTTGCTTGAGTGATGGCTCTCTAAGCCCTTCTCATCTCAGGGATCCTCTTGTTCCAGGTGAAAAGGAAAGAGCCATCCGAAATCTCAGAGGACAGTGAAGTGAAGCAGCCACACCCATCTGCTCTTGCTGAAGAGGATGAGGAAGGTCAGTTCCTTCAGCCCTGGATAGTTATGGGTGATGGTTGAACTTTTTTTCATAATTAAGGGAGTGTTTTCTATCCTTAAATTAACTCAATCTTACGTTCCCTCTCCCCTGTTCCACCTTGCAGATAAGGATTCCTCACAGGTACCCAAAAGCTCCAAGAGGGATGATGATCGGATCAAAGGGCCGGGGAAAAGGCGGAAACTTTTCTGCTTGGATAGCGAGGGAGAGGAAGCATCTGAGGATTCATCCTCTGAGAAGGTGAGAAGAAGGCGACCCTTATTTATTTATTTAGGTTTCAATTTATACACCGCTTGATTGTAAATGAAACCTCAAAGCAGTTTGCATTTTGGCTGTTCCTACCTCTATGAGAAACCTCTGGTACAGTCTTCTCAACTGTGGGTCTCCCGGTGTTGTCGGACTACAACTCCCATGATCCCTGGCCAGTGATCCTGCTAGCTAGAGATGATGGGAGTTGTAGTCCAGCAATGTCTGGGGATCCAAGGTTGAGAAAGGCTACTCTAACCAGTTTCAGTTTCCCCCAGTGATTGGCCAGGACACAGCATAAAGCAGTTGAATAGGTCTTTGTGGTAGAATTCTTAAATAGCTTGGATCCTAGAGCTCCCATTTCCCCCACTGTGCCTGACCAGGTGCCTTGTTGAACCCGGACCAGGACTGCACTCCTCCTTTCCTACAGTCTTAAATGGCCATCCCCTGTGAAGCCCTTCGGTGTGCCATCTCTCCTCCGTGGCTGTCAATGAGCACAGAGCCTGATGAGCATTTTACTACGCGCTTAGCTATGCTGTTATGTCCTTGACATGGTTGGACCGCTTGATTGCCATTTGCTGTTGGGTTTCCAGGCCCTCCCTTTTCTTCTGACCAGAATGATGACCAGATGCTTGGAAGCTGTGGCTGGATGGTTTCGTGGGAGCCGATTGAAACTAAATCCTTCCAAGACAGAGGTCCTATGGCTGGGTCGGAATGGCATGGGGATGAGGGACCAACTCCCTTCTCTTGCGGGGGCCCAATTAGTGCCATTGCCTTCCGTTAAGAGTTTGGGTGTAATCCTTGACGCCTCCCTTTCCATGGAGGCGCAAGTTACAGCAACAGCCAAGGCGACATTTTTCCACCTTTGCCGCATCAAGCAGTTGGTCCCTTACCTTTCCCGCCCCGACCTGGCCACAGTGATCCAGGCGATGGTCATCTCCAGGCTTGACTACTGTAATTCGCTCTATGCGGGGCTGCCCTTGAAGCTGTCCCAGAAACTCCAGCGGGTGCAGAATGCTGCAGCGAGACTCCTCATGGGGTCCCTGCCATGGGAGCATATTCACCCAGTGCTTTTCAAGCTGCACTGGCTCCCGGTGGAGTACAGGATCAGATTTAAGGTGCTGCTTTTGACCTTTAAAGCCCTTCACGGCCTAGGACCCTCGTACCTACGGGACCGCCTCTCCCGGTATGCCCCACGGAGAGCCTCAAGGTCCATAAATAGCAACACCCTTGTGGTCCCGGGCCCTAAGGAAGTTAGATTGGCTTCAACCAGAGCCAGGGCCTTTTCAACTCTGGCTCCGGTCTGGTGGAACGCTCTGCCTCACAAGACCAGGGCCCTGCAGGATCTGATTTCTTTCCGCAGGGCCTGTAAGACAGAGTTGTTCCGCCTGGCCTTTGGCTTGGAGCCAATTTGATTCCCTCCCTCTCTTTCTTTTTTCTTTTCCTTCTCCTTCTGCGATGAGGCTACATTTTAATATTTTAATGTTTCAGTATTTTAATGTTGTATTTTTTAATTTTGTTTTTAAGTTGTAATCATTTAACTTGTTTTTATTATTGCTTGTAAGCCGCTCTGAGCCTGGCCTTGGCTGGGGAGGGCGGGGTATAAATAAAAATTATTATTATTATTATTATTCTGCATCTTCTCCCCCATTCAACCTCTGCTCCCTTTTCTTCAAGCAGCCTAGGCAGCCCTGAAAGTGAAATCACTTTCCAGTTGCACTTGTAGCCTCAAGTCATTCCGCAGGACTTGAGTTCCTTTTTGAACTCATGCCCTCTTCAAGCCACTCTGACTCAGGAGTTCGAGCTGACATTTTGCCATGCGTACCCTTTCCTTCTGCTAAAGGGCTTGTTAAAAGATTTCACCCCCTGAGAAACATTTTATGCTGCTGTCTTCACAGGAGGAGGAGGAGGAGGAGGAGCAGCAGCGGAGGGAGGAAGGTGAAGGTTCTAGGGAGCGCGGCACAAAGAAGGAGGAATCTGAAGGTATTGACAGTTGCCAGTTACCAGAAATGATGAATTGCCATCACTAACATTGTCCTTAACAACAGGCTGTTGACTTAGGTGGAGATGAAAGATAGCAGGGTCTTTTCTAATTCGTGTGCTTCTTTTGGTATGAATCATACCCCTTCTGCGTGTGGTTTCCCTATCAATGCAAGTGGCCTCTCCCTTTACTCTGTTCTTGAAGCGCTCAGGACACTTCTCTGCCAAAATGCCAGCTGGTCATCAGCACTTGGCAGAGCTTCTGGGTTTTTTATATACTCGGTACTTAAATCCCTTCTTCTGCACAGCTAAATGCTGCAACCTGTGGGAAATATGCAAATCTGGCCATATTTTTATTTGCACCATTGAATTAAAAATTTTTTTTACATAATTCTGCTTTTGCTATTCATAGGGAGGGGCAAGGAATTTTGTGGATCATTGAAAACCCCACCCTCTGCAAGAAATGTTGTTCAACTGTCTCTCCAGCCTTTGACATTTCAGTAGGCTCCACCATGACCATGTGCTTTCAAGTGTATATTTGCAGCCATGGGGTGGTATTAAACTAAGTCCTACTCAGAGTAGACCTGTTGAACTAAATGGACCTGTTGCTCATATCTAGTAACTTCAATGGGACCACCTGTGAGGATTAGAAATTGTGTGGTTTTTTTTTAAAAAAAATTAAGTGGAAGCTGAAATAATTTCAGAAACTATACTTTGGACGAAGACCACACTCTGCTCTCTGCCTGTGCTATGCGTGGGAGTGTGAAATGCTCACAGACATGTTGCTGGTATTACCTGTCCCCTTTTATCCCTTGTGCAGATGAACGTGAGAGCGACGGCTCCTCCAAGTATTCTCTCTATGATGAGTCCGATGAGGACAGCGACAGCACTTCTGATTCAGAGAGCAGCTCTTCGTCTTCCTCTTCCTTGTCCTCCTCTTCATCTGATGAGGAGGAAGCTGAGAGCATGGAGGAAATGGACGAATCTACCATGGACAGCTGCCCCACCGAGCCACTGAGAGACCTGGAAGAGAGAATGCGTCAGACCACAGACGCTGAGCTTGACAAGAAGAAAACAGAAGCAGGCCTGCTCCAAGGTGAGATGCTCTACCCAGAGTCCTCCCCAGCTCTGCCTGGGAGATGGGGAAAGTGTTGAGAGCAGCTGGACAAATTGCAGAGCGTTGGGAGGCCAAGATGTGGATTGCCATGTTTGCACTCATTATCTTACCAAAGGGCTGGTGAGCCACATATACGTTGTCCCAACATTGTCCCACTTCCATGGCTTTCAGTTCCTCCTGTATCTTAATGCCACCCAGCTCTACTGCTCCACCCCAGAACTTCTGCCTCCATCCAGTCAAGCATCTCCTGTGAGAGATGTCTGCTTGGATGTTTCATTATCGTTTCAAGCTCAGTATGTCAAAGACTGGCTCACCTCATATTTTCCCCAATCCATTCTCTCATTATCTATTGACAACGTCACAATCCACTCTGTTGATCAGAAGCAAGCCTTGGTTTTCCCTTTGGTCCTCCTTAATCAATTGCCAAATCATGTCATTTTCCCCTTTACAATATTACAGAAATTTGGCCCTTCCTCTCTCTCCTCAGTCAAATCTCTAGTCCACCTCCTGCTTATCTCACAACACAACTGCTATAATTTTCTCTTTGGTTTTCCATCGATTCACTGGTTTTCTCGCATCTATCTCTCTTGCCAACATTATTCACCTCTCCCACTGTTTCCACCTTATTTAAATTATACCACTGCTTGCTTGTTGGCTTTCTTTCCTGCACAGTCTCCTTGTTCTCACCTTAAAAATTGGTGACCCCACACTCACCAGTGCACAATTTTATCTCCCTCATGCAGGCCATGTGGCAGAAGGGAAGCCTGCTCCTCTGAAGGATGGCATCCTGGCCCCACATTTAGAGGAGAAGGATGTTGGGACGGCTCCAGAAGAGCGACCCAGGCCGGAAGAGCGACCTTCCTCACCTATCCCACTCCTGCCACCACCTAAGAAGCGCCGGAAAACAGTCTCCTTCTCAGCTCCTGGTGAGGATGACGAGATCAAGGTGGCATTTGAGAAGCCACTGGAACCGGCTCCTTCAACGCTTTTGCCTCCGCCACCTCCTCCTCTTCCCCCACCACCTCCGCCGCCTGTCCCCACAGAGGTAGCACAGGCCCCCATAGTGCCTGTAGAACCCATGTTACCATCCCAAGTGCCCTTAACCCTGGAAGCCCCAGCTCCAGTTGCCTCTCCCCTGCCTCCTGTAGCGCCCCCTGCCAAGGCAGCAGCCCCTGCCAGCCGCAAGAGGGAGCCCCCCAAAGCCAACCAAAGAACAATCAGCAACCTGCCGGCTGACCACGCTTCCCTGGTGAAGTGTTGGACGGATGAGCTGCTTCCGGCCGGCCGGTCCCGGAGCCGCTCTCGCTCTCGGAGCTCAGAGCTCCCACGGGTGCCCCAGCCCCCTGGAGAGGACAGGCTGCACCTGCGCGAGCGGATGGGCGCTTCCTCGCTGCTGGAGCTGGCGAATCAACCCAACCTGGCCGTGCTGGCGGACGTGGCGCTGAAGAAGGCCGGTGCAGGCAGTGAAGACTCTGAGGAGACGGAGACCTCCGACGAGGCCGAGGAGCCCAAGGCCGTGCCACCGGTCCCCGCACTGCCCCCGGAAGTAAGCAGCATTCTGATGGAGCATAACTACGCCATGGCTGTCCGCGCAGCACCTGCCTCCCGCAAAGCCGACGAGGCGGTGTTATCTGGCGCTGCCGACCTGCCGCGCGTGGATTTGTACAGCGAGCACGTTGGCGAGGTCCTGGAGGCGCCTGAGGAGGTTGTGGCTGATGCCAGCGAGGTCAAAGCTGAGCCTGACGTGGGTGACCTGGTTTCGCTGCCCCCGCCTCCGCCAGCCGAGAAGCCCAAGGCAGCTGTCCCACAGCAGCAGCAGCAGCAGCAACAACAACAACCACAGGCCAAGAAGCAGCCCCAGTGGCTCAAGGAAGAGGCCCTAAAGGACCTGGAGAACTTGCACTTTGGGCCTGAGGACCTGTTCCTTTCAGAGAGTGAGGAGGATGAGGAAAAGGAGGAGGAGAGTGCTGACAGCAGCGACGAAGGGGAGATCCGCAGGCGCTCCCTGCGTTCCCACTCGCACAAGCATGCCCCTGCTCAGCCACCTCCACTGCCCCTGGCCTTTGAGACACGCAGTGAGTTTGAGCAGATGACAATCTTGTATGACATCTGGAACTCAGGGCTAGACCTGGAGGACATGAAGTACCTGCGGCTGACGTACGAGCGCCTGCTGCACGAGGACAACAGCACGGACTGGCTGAACGATACCCACTGGGTCCACCACACCAATATCCTTCCTGTCAGGCAATTCCGGAGGGTTGGGGGCCGGGTATCTTTGCTGCGAATGCATTTTGGGGTTATACCATTTTGACTAGCAGGGCTTCCTCCACTGATATCTGGGAATTGTAGTTTGGTGAGGCCTGCTGCTACCGAGAATTCTGTTTTAAGATCTGTAGCTGCCCTCCCCTATAGTGCTGCAATTCCCTGGGAAGAGAAACTGACTGCTCAACCAGTTTATAGTGTTGAGTATACCTTGGGGCTTTCCATTGTCACTGTTGGGGTTTTGTTGGTAGAATATGAAGAGTTCATAAAATATTAAGGATAGCGTGTTGATAGGCTTTGTTAGTTCTGCAGTTGTTGGGTTTTTTAAAAAAAATATATCCAGATCCAGCAACGGCGAAAGCCAGACGTGTGTGTGAACCATTGTCCTCATTATTGGACTTAACACTGTACAAATGAATAGGTATTCTGCCAAGTACAGGTGCCCCTTGTTTAACAAGGCCAGCAGAGGCATTGGGGGCAGCAGGGTTAGGTTAAAAAGGTAAAGGTACCCCTGCCCATACGGGCCAGTCGTGACCGACTCTGGGGTTGCGCGCCCATCTCGCTTAAGAGGCCGGGGGCCAGCGCTGTCCGAAGACACTTCCGGGTCACGTGGCCAGCGTGACGAAGCTGCTCTGGCGAGCCTGCACCAGCGCAGCACACGGAAACGCCGTTTACCTTCCCGCTATAAAGCGGTACCTATTTATCTACTTGCACTTAAGGGTGCTTTCAAACTGCTAGGTGGGCAGGAGCTGGGACCGAACGACGGGAGCTCACCCCGCTGCGGGGATTCGAACTGCCGACCATGCGATCGGCAAGTCCTAGGCACTGAGGTTTTACAGCGCCACCCGCGTCCCTAGGGTTAGGTTCAGCTGTTGAAATTCCTAGCATTTAGCAGTTGTCTTGTGAACATTTCCCAGTTCTGCAGTAGTTGGCAGGTTGTGCCATCATCACCATTATTGTGTTCCATGCTAAAGATTCAGAAAGGTGAGTGGTGAAAGTGAAGTTCAGTTTTTTGGGGTTTGTTTTTTTTTAAGCAAAACCTGTAATCTTTAGAAATGCAAAGTCACAAAAGAGGGAACGGCATGAGAGTCTGTTTTACAATATGGTTACTTTTGTGGGTTTGGGGGCAGTTGTTGTTATAACAAGATAAGAAATTGGGAAGCTTTAGTTGGTTGCATCCAAAGAAGTCATTGTGCGAGGGGAAGGATTTCCACCGGTGCAATGGAATTTCCCTTCCCTCTCCTCCCCTTCCATCCCCCAAATATGCTCTGGGGGGTTCCCTATACCCTCAGGAGCAGATGGAGAGAGAGAAGGGAAGGTCCATTGCATGAATGGAAGCCATTACACTCACCCAGTAATTTCCTGAATTCAACTCCATGCCTCTTCCTCGCCCCCCCGCCCCGTCATTTCTTCCAGGAGGCATGAGGTTTAATTCTGCTAATGGAAGAGATGCATGTATGGCAACCTTTTCACCAAGGCTTCTGAAGAGGGGAAGTTGCTTGCTTGGCCCAAACACAAGAGGCAGAAAGAGGCCTATGTCCCATTTCCTTGCTCCATGCTTTCCTTTTTCTCCTTAACTCTCCCCGCCTCCACTCACAAACATTGCAAACCCCAAGCGGAAGCGGAAGTCGTCAGACCTGCGGGAGCACCAGACAGGCTGTGCCCGCAGCGAGGGCTATTACCATATCAGCAAGAAAGAGAAGGACAAGTACCTCGACGTCTGCCCGGCCACCGTGCAGCAGCTTGATGCTGCTGACGTGCAGGTTAGACCCCTCTTTATGCTCCCTGTGCAGTTATGCGGTGACCCTAGAGTGACTAGTAAGGGCTGTTATTGAATGAGGGCAGGGATGAAGAATATGTGCAGACATACATTTTAGAAATTGTGGGACGGACCAGGCTTACTCCATATCAAGAACAAATCAAATACTACCAGAGGTGTGGGGGCCTTTGATCCTCCATATATTGCTTGAACATCAACGCCCATCATCATTGGCCATGCTTGCTGAAGCCCATGGGAGTTGAAGTTCAGCAACACCTGGACAGCCAAAGGTTTCCCACACCTGCTCTACAGCAAGGTGACCCTAATCACCTTGAGGTGAGAGGAGCCAAATTCTGTCATCTGTACATGCAAAGATCTGGAACAAGACCCCAAAGCACCATCTCGCTGCAGTTGTTCTTCAGCACCTCCAGCTTTGTAAACGACACCCATGTTACCTGCAAGTTATTTAAGCATATATTTGCAGCTGTAAGGGCTAAAACAGAGGTCAGCAAACTTTTTCAGCAGGGGGCTGGTCCACTGTCGTTCAGACCTTGTGGGGGGCCGGACTATATTGGGGGGGAATGAATGAATTCCTGTGCCCCACAAATAACCCAGAGATGCATTTTAAATAAAAGGACACATTCTTCTACTCACGTAAAAACACGCTGATTCCCAGACTGTCTGCGGGCTGGATTCAGAAGGCAATTGGGCCGGATCCGGCCCACTGACCTTAGGTTGCCTACCCCTGAGCTAAAACAATCAAATGATTTTCAGGAAGCAGAAAAAGGACACAAAACACCCCACTTCTGTAGAATTGCAGGGCATACCCACATACCCTGTAAATAACATGGATGATGTTCTCATCTTCACGCCAAATTTTGTGCAGTACTTTAAGAGGCTTTTGCTTGTGCCTTCTTTAGTTCCACATAAGCATCAGTCCGCAATAAGCATGTACCTTATATATCGGCAGTTTTGTGTGCAGGTCCAAACTGACTTGGGAGCAACCAAAAGTTTGCAGGCAGGTCAGCCTAACGGCCCCCGCCCCCTGGCCAGTCCTCTTCTCTCACTGGGTCTGAGAGAACTGGGAGTGGAAAAGGAAGAGATTTGTTGCCTGTGCAGTTTGAAGGGCCCCACAGTAATTGGGAGAAGCAGGGGCTGACTAAGAATCTAAAGGAGGTGCTTGTGCATGTATAAGAACATGGGGTGCTGCTTTCTGTTGAGTCAGACCCTTGATCTGTCTAGCTCCTGTGAGCACTTTGGAATACTGACAACATAAAATGCAAAAAGGAGGGGGAGTCTTCTCATTTTGAAAGTACGTTGTTTGATAGTAGTGGGAAGTTACAGTAGCATTCTGACTGCTTCCTAAGCATTCTGACCACCCTCACTGAAGCTGGGTAAATGTGCAGCTGGGATAGTGAGCTGCTTTTAAAGGGCGTCCCTTTCCAAATGTGTGACTCCGCAGTGATCCTTGGTGGTGTGTTCCCCTCCCACTGTGAGCGGAAGGATTTTGTTTTCATTCATTTTCAACCAGTTCTCCCCTCCTCCTTCAGGGCACCAACCGCATCCTGTCCGAACGGCGATCTGAGCAAAGGCGCCTGCTCAGCGCCATTGGCTCCTCCGCCATCTTGGATAGCGACCTTCTGAAACTAAACCAGTTGAAGGTACCCAATATGTCTTGTTAAGCAAGTTGAAAGAGTGGAGCAAGCAGGAGATGCGCCCTTGGCTGGGGGGATTAGGAGTGTGATCCTAGTATATCCTTTGGAAGGCAGAGGGCAATGGACTTGGCCTGGCATGCATTTCAGATGCTGAGGCTTCCCAGAATTGGGCATGGAGGGCTTCTCAGTAGGGGGTGGCTTTCCTCACAGAGCCAATCTTGATCCCCGTGATGCATTAAAGCACATTGCACTTTAGGAAGCAAGGAAGCTTTTGGACAAAGATTTTGTCTGCGGTTCACCGAAAGCAATTATTTTGGCTTGAAAAGTATCTGTAAGCTCAGATTTAATTGTTTGAGGGACTCCAGATAATGCAGTTGGCACAAGATCTTATCTGCTGTAGCTGAGCCTTTGCAGAATTTGGCATTGTGGGGGGCTATGAGTGTGTTAGGAGTGTGAGGGAAAATGACTGGGGTTAATGGGAGCATAGAAACCATATATTTTGAGCCATGGCAACCTATCCACTTATAGTGTGGTTTTAGGTGACTCTTTGTCGGTGGTGAAGCATGTGTGCATTGAGCAGAAATCATCAGGCAACCTTTTTCTAGAAAGCTGAGGGCTAAATAATCTTGGAGGTTTTTTTTAACAAAGAAATGTCTGGAATCCAGATGGTATGCTGTGAGTTTTGCACAAACATGCACACTCAGCCTGGCCCTTGGCTCCCATCTGTCCCAGACAGCACATAAGTATCCCGCTGCTTCTCCCATGCGCATTATTCCTCTCCTCACCGTCCTCCTCTTCCCTTTAGTTCCGCAAGAAGAAGCTACGCTTTGGTCGGAGTCGAATTCATGAATGGGGCCTCTTTGCCATGGAGCCAATCGCTGCTGATGAGATGGTCATTGAGTACGTGGGTCAAAATATCCGGCAGGTGAGCAGTAGTGGAGGAGACGAGGTCTGGGAAGGAATTCATGTTTCTGCTGCCTTGATGTCTTGTGCGAGCCTGTCTTTATAACCTGAGAGCACCAGCCTTGGTCCACAGCCTTGGTCATATTGTTTTATCTTGTGTTTAAAACAATTGTTTCGGAAAGCTAAACATCATAAGGTGGCTGGATCACTCCCATCCCTCACAGAAGCATTCTGGCTTTGTATGGCTGGTATTTAAAGGTGGTGGTGCCATAGTTAACAGGGTGGCTGCAGATATCTCTCTACATGTTTTTTGTACCTCTGATTTTGTTGCATTAGGAGAGCTTTGTCCAGGATTTCACCACTACTTTGGTTTTTGAAAGATGACCCCTTCCCTAAACCTGTTCTTGTCCCTGAATTTCCTTGTATTATCTGTTTTTTTATATATATTAAAAAAAAACAATAACAAAGGCTTGTGGGAAGGGGACTGTGACCAGTGGGCTAGTGCAATGGGGAAGTAGTGGAGGAAAGTACCAAAAGAAATAAGCTTGGGCTCTGTGAGGTTCTTTACTGAACCGCATTTCCTCATCAGAGGCCATGAAATGTATGCATGCATATGCAACTAATTGACACCAGAGGGTGCTCTGGAGACTGCACAGAGCAGGGCTGCCTTTTCATTACTGCCTTGGGAGGACCTGTTTGCTTTCTGAATGATAGTTCAGATTGTTCCAACCTTTTTTGCAGCGACACCCAAGGAATTTCCTTCCCATATGATAGCCACGCTTCTGAGAAGCACTGCACTGACAGCTGTCAATTTGCACTTTGGCACTAGGATAGTTCCTTAACTGTTTTCAGAGGGCTGCAGCAAAAAGGAGTCTTGATGGCACCGTTAAGACTAACTTTATTATGGCACAAGCTTTTATGGACAAGCGCTCACCTCATGCACCTGATGAAGTGGGCACTAGCCCGCAAAAGTGCATTACACCATTTTTTATTAAGCTTAGTTTAAGGTGCCTCAAGACTCTGCAGTTCTTTCTCTGTTACCCAGCAGATGCTGGCACATTCCACCTCCTGGATCAGAGGTGGGGGAACCTTTTTGGCCCAGCAGGCAAGCTTGGTCATCTCTCTCTATGACCAATTTTGACAGGCATTTTGATGGACAGAGCAGCCTTGCTTCTTGTTACATGGTCTGCTCTTGAGTGTCCTGACTCACTCCTTCTCCTTCTCAGGTGGTGGCTGACATGCGCGAGAAGCGGTATGCGCAGGAGGGCATCGGGAGCAGCTACCTTTTCCGCGTGGACCACGACACAATAATCGACGCCACCAAATGTGGCAACCTAGCCCGCTTCATCAACCACTGCTGCACGGTGAGCTGTGTGGACGTTGTAAAGGAAGTTCTCATTAAATGCATTTATTCATGCAATGTTTTTAATGAACCTACCACTTTACAGAGTTACATGAGCAGGGAAAAACTCCAGTTTATTTTATCTGCATTATTCTCATTTTGAGGTAGACTAAGCTGCCCCTAATGTGCCTGCTTCCATGAAAAAGTCAGTAAATCCTGGCTGGGGCACCGGGAGCAGCTCTGAATTATAGAAAGAAGCCCCGGGCTGCTGGTTCAGAGAGTGGGGAAGAGACTTCCTGGGCTTCACATGGTTCACCCTTGTTGCTGGCACTTCTTTAGCTTCACATGCAGTGGTTCTGGTATGCTATTGTATTCCACACACCTTGGGAATCACAAATGGAACCTTTTTTGTGCTTTGGGGGGAGGGGCGTGCTCCTGGCTTCCAAATGAGTAACATAGTGAGCTAGTGAGGTCGTGGTGCTGCCATTGGCATAGAGCTGATGTATTAACATCCTGTCTGGTTCACTTTTGTCCATCTTTCCCTCTCTTAGCCCAACTGCTATGCCAAAGTCATCACCATAGAATCCCAGAAGAAGATTGTCATCTATTCCAAGCAACCCATCAGCATCAACGAGGAGATCACTTACGACTACAAGTTCCCGATTGAGGAGAACAAGATTCCTTGCCTGTGTGGCACAGAGAACTGCCGGGGCACCCTGAACTGAGACATAACCCTGGCGTTCGTATTTATTTTGTTTCCCCAGCCCTAATCTCGCCTCTTACCTGTAGCTCTGCTCTTCTCCCCACAGAGTTGTGGGAAAACTCTCAGTCGCCTTAAGACCCATCCATGTACCTTTTAAAGTTCCCAGCCAATGAGAAAGCACTTCCCTCGCCTCAGGTTCGAATCAACAAGAAGTTCCTTTTTCTTCCACCAGCCAGGCTGGTGATAGTTTCTTTTCAGGTGTTGCTGTCATTTTTGCTCCAACCTCCAACACCAATTAACAAAACTGACCCTTTGCAGAAGTCAAATATCCTTCCCTTTCCAGCTTAAGACGGCCTGGGTGTTAGTGTGGTTAATTCTGCAATACCCACCAGCTCTGTTGCTAAACTCAGAGAACGGCTTACAATGTTGAGGAAATCAGCAGGGTGGCTGTGGGGTGGAATTTCCCTTCTAGGTATCATCTATTTCAGGTTATGCATGTTCAGCGCACAGCTGTCGATTAGCCGTTGACTTTGAGAATGGCAGGTTGGGATCAGTGACTCCTGTGAAACCTTTTGAGGCAGTGCAGTGCTTGATGCCCCTGAAGGCACATCTGCTAGAGCTAAGAGCTGCCCAGGCCCTTGAAATTTCAGATTGTGGAGCATTTGTCCTCACATTTCCAAAGGGTTGGGGGGGGGGGGAGGTTTCCTGGTATTTTGACAGAGAGGCCTGGAACAACCCCTGCCCCTGGGACTTTGTTCTGGGGTTAAAGATTGCTCCCAAAATCTTTCTGCTAATGGCCAGGATGCACTGGGGGATGGGGGGAAGCATGTCATTGTCCAGCCGCATCCTTTGGCTAGATTTGTCACCATGGGCAAAAACTTGAACCTTCCTGCTTCAATGTCTATCTCCTCATAGAATTATCATCCCGTTGATTCTTCCTCCTTCCAAGCTCTTGAGGCCAGAAAAATAGAGGTCCTGAAAACCAGTTAAGATTGTGTCATTCATATTGCAATCTCCCTTTTCTGACTCTTTTTTTATTCTGTAGTGTGTAGTAAAGGGGGGGGGGACAGGGACTAGCCGTAATAATGAAGGGGAGTTGAGTTTCTTTCCTTGTTACAGTTATGGCTTCAACTGATGCTGACTTACAGCGTAAGCTAAGACTTTCCCACATCCCAGCCACCCCTAATAATTTTTCTTTAGGAGAAGAAAGTTGTGTATATATCTATTCCAGATGGATTGGCTGTTTCTTGTAGAAACACATGCGTTTATTAGTATGTAAATATTTTATTTTGTTTTTCTCTTCATACTAAAACGAAAACTGTAAATAATGTTGCAATGTATTTCCTTCTCCTGTTTTTTTATCCTTGCTTGCCCTGTGCCACCCTTTTCCTTTGATGCCAAGTAGGTTTTCTTTCTTTTTTCCCCCTTTTCCCTCTTGGATTTTTTTGGGGTGGGAGGGGAGCATATAACTTTCTGGCAGGGGGTCAAAGAGTGTATTTCTTATTTCTTTTAAACGGGAGTCAGTTTTGAAAGTGAAAGATTTTAAAAGTAGGCATTTGGAAATATTTTAGCAGGTTTGTTTGTTTGTTTCATTTTAAAGTTCTGTCTTCATTCTGCTTGTCCCAGTGTTTGGATTTTGAATAGCTAGGTGTTTGGGAACATACCTTGGGAACATACCTTCTCCCTGGTTAGCATGTGTTTCCTGCAGTGGACTGTCCAGAGCTATGAGGAATTGGCTGCTTTCAATTTTCCCCATCCAGAATGCCCTTTATGCTCTAGGGAAACCACAGGTGACACCTGAAAATGTTTCCATCTATATTTTAATAGTGGAGAGGGGCAAGGGGCTTGCTTTCAAGGGAGGATCAGCATGCAGGCTGGTAGCTCTTTTCTTTCTGCTGCCCTCTGCTGTTTCCCGAATCTTCCCCATCCCAAGACAGCTATTGAGAGAATCCATTTACTTCTCAGGTTCCACCCAATTGGCATATATTGTGTGGGATAAATGGTTGAACTAGTCCAACAGAATAAAATGCAGCCCTTCTGAGATGTCTCTTATTGACCTCACAAGCCCTTAAATGCTTGGGATGAGTTTTAGACGTGCCCATCTCGATGTGACGTTTCATAGGGCCAAAGAACTCCATATTATGTCAGCAACCATGGTTTGCCAGCCCATCCTTGCTGAATACAGTTAATGTTGGAAGTGGGGGCGTTTTCAGCCGGTGAGACATCAGTGGGAGGGCCTGCTTAATGTTTTGCTGCTGCTTCTCCCCCACAATCCTTCCCTCCAGCTGTTTTGCCCCCAATCCCCATCTCGCACCCCATCTCTGGGTCCAAGAGTGGAAAGAGAGGCAGGGAAGGCTTAAGAACCTCCCACCCACCCCGTCTCCTGTGAAAAGGCCCCTTCCATACATTTTTATTATTATTGTTTAGCAAACACACTTTGGAACCCTTGTTGGCTGATGTAGTCTGTAGTTCCACCCCATTTCTTCCAGTATTTTGAAGGCTAATTATGTTCTAGTAAGGGGCACCTTTCTCACTTTGCTCTACATTTAGTAAAACCTTTCCCACTCTGTGCCTCTTTTGTGTATCCTCTTGGGGGCAGGATTAAAATTGCTACTGCTTTCTGCTCCTTTTCCTTTTTTCCACTATGGTGCAGTCATGGCACCTCCCCTAAAAGCCCTGGCCAGTTTTAAGGTACGCTTCCATATCTAAAGAGATGGCAGGTGGCTTCCTCTCCTGCTGTAAAAGGCTCCATTAAGACTTGCCCAATATAAGTTGGGTGTCTTGTTTGTTTGTGGGACAAGGAGCAGAATACTTGCAGCAGGTTTGCTGAACTCGATTACATAATTTTGTTGCGCATCTTACACAGTTTAATTCTTGTCAGAAGCTTAAATTATTTTTTCCTCTCACTGCTATAGTGTTTTGAAACCAAAGAGACAGGAAGTTGTGGAAACCCTATGTTAGCAACCATTGTTTTGAAGTGAAAAGGGGCTGAATCATCTCAAGTAGCTGCTTGTTTTGTCAGCAACCACTGTCTTGAACTCCCTCCCCACCCCCAGGTGATCTCAGTCTTGAACATCCATAATTCCATTGACTTTCTAAATAAACTCTACACACATTTTCTACCTACAAATTTAATTGAGGGGGTGGGTGGGGAGGAAGGAAGTTGTTTCAGGCATATTCAATGAGAAACAGGGCCAACCATCTGCACCTCCAACAGTCGGTCATTCTCTCTTTCCGTTCTGACTAAAATCTTCAGGTGCATCTTCACCTGCACGGAAGACAGATGTATTTTAGGTAATTAAATAGTGAAAACAGCTGCAGTAATAAACGGACCCTTTTATGCCCTCCCTTCTACTTCTCTCAAGTCCCTGTCTAAGCCCCGTAAATATTGACCTGTCTTTAGTGTGCTCTCCCAACTTGAATCTCTGCGGTATTTAAAATTTTGAAATAGCTTTCTCCCCAACCCTACATCTTCTTGGCTTTTTCGAAATTATTCGTTGCTGCAGTGTTGTTTGTCTGTTTGTAAGCTTCGCTCTCACCCAGCCCCAGTCAAGTCAGAAGGATGTGACTGAAGTCTCATTACGCATCTTCTCTGCATTTCCATTTTTAAAAAAACAAAACAACAAGCAGCCTGCTGGATTTGAGCTTTTAAAAGGCCCTCCCTCTCCAGGCTGCTGTTTCAACAGCTCCAGCCCCTTAAAATCCATCTCATCTTAAAGGTTCAGAAACTACATCCTTCCAAGTCTCCCTGACAAGTTTAAACCAGCAGCCACCTCTTAACTGTAATAAACTACAGGCCAAACTTTTTCATCCTAGCTATCCATGCTTTTCAGTGTATTGACGGATTCTGATTTCAACTGGAAATTCTGGTAAGAGGAAGCTTGCTTCTATTCACAGTTGCGATATTAATTCCAAATAAATGTGCCTTTGAGCCCAATACACTGCTGGGGAGGAGGAGGGTGGAGCTGAAACCACTTAATGTCTCTGAATTATGTTTGGTGGCAGGTTTTTGGAAAAGCCGACTGTATTTCAGCAGGTTGGCATGACAAATCAAGCTTCTGTTTTTACTGGGTGTAAATCTTTTTTGCTGAACTCAAGTCACAAATGCTGTGTTTAGAGGCGCTGCATCATCTCAGTCCCCAAATATTTCAGAGGGAGGTTTTGGCTGGTTTGGGGAGTGTGACTCTCCTTGTTTTGGATTTTCCGGCATGAATCACTTTACCACTGAGATACACAAGCAGAGGATTAGAGCTTTCATTTGGCTCCAGTGGAAGGGAGAATACCCGGGATGAGGGTTTGGTGGGCTTCCCACCAGCATTTCACCTCCTTTAGCAAAGTTCCATTTATTAGATTTTGCCATATATTTTATGCAGGAACGGTTTCTGGTCTTACGAAACCCCTGCTATTTATTTGCATACACCAGTGTGCCTTTTCCAAGCTGCGGATAGAAATCCATTATTTGCTCATTGCCTGTAGTTGCTTCCTCCAGCTCGTTTTGTGGGTTGACAAATTAACCATCAAACCCTTTAGTTTTGGCATGAGTTCTCCTCTCCCCAGGTCTTAAATATGCTTTTTAAAAAATTATTTGCGGGGGTGGGTGGGAATTTTTGCTTCCTTCTTCATCTTGAAATCCAGAAGTGTTGGTTGTTCCTCAGTGGTTCCCCCCTCCCCCTGCCCCCCAAAAAAGGCTATAAAGAAGGGGAAACCTAAATTTTCTGCGCGATGATCTCTGGAACTTTTATCCTGTTTCTAACTTCGTTTATGTTACTCGTCAGACAGAACAGATAAGATTCTTTTTTTATATAAAAAAATAATAATAATTCCCCCCAACCAAACCTGTGCAAATTGTTCCAGATGCTTTAATGAATACCACAAGGTTCTTTCATCTTTCAGAGCTGACTCTTAATTTTCCAGCTTCTTCGAGCTGAATGGTTCTGGAACTATGTAGCCACCCACCCATCCGCCTCTTTCTCTTATGTGCATTCCCCCCCCTGCTGTGTACATATATGTAATATATATATATATAATAGATATCCAAAAAGATATATATCTTTACCAGGGAGGGTTAAGCTTTTTTTAACCTTCTCTAGCAGCAGTGGCAGCTTGCTGGGAGTTTTGTGTGTAATCAAAGAGGGTGGGCATGTGCACAGATGGATTGATGGATGGGTCTCATTCATTCATTCTCTCTTTCTTTTTCTCTCTCTCCCTCTCCCTCTCCCTTCCCTGGCTGCCCAGTGGATGGGTCTCTTTAAACGTACATCCCCACTCCTCTGTCTGTCTATATAAATATTATATATATAGATATATATATATATAAATATATTTTCATTTGATCTTATCGGCTTCCTACTTGTAAATATGTTAATAATTTGTGGATTCATTACTTGGTGCCAGATAGCACATTTTTATAAAAGTCATTAAACTTTTATTGTACAAAAACAAAACAAAACCTCGGAGCACGGTTCTTGTTGTCATTTCTAGGCTCGGGGCTGAGCGCGCACCACACCAGAACAAGCCTGAGTTTTTATGTCGTGCAAACCTTGCCTGCCTGCCCTTAAGTCACGCATGCGAGGTTAGTGTAGCTGTCAGTGCAGCCCCTGCCAACCAAGATGCGCTGTCTGGGACGAACAGAAGTTGTCATCCAAAACGCTTGGAGGGCGCCAGGTTGGCAAGACTTGGGCTAAAGTGCTGGGCTGTGGGCAAGGAAGGAGGTTGGGGTTCAGGTTCCCACGCAGCCATGAAACATTTCCTTAGGCTAATTTCAACACAGACTTGCCAGCCCACCTGATAGGAGGAAGGTGACTACATATGCCTTTCTGAGGTCCTCGGAGAAAGACTGAGATAGGAATGTCATAAGATCATTCAGGGCTTTTCAAATTGAAAATGGTTTTTTTTTGGGGGGGGAGGGTGGCAAACTCGCACACCAGGTTTGTAAACAGTTATATTTCTGCTTGCATCAAATCCAAATTGCCTTCATGCAGTTCAGCTAGGAAGCGTTACAGGGGTTGGTTGCCTACTACTTCTTTGCCACCACCAGTTTGTGCACACCCAGGACCTAGTGAAAATATTGTGAATACTAACTCGTGCTTCATTATTTGTAAGTCTGCACTGCTCTCATCCATCAGAGGCCGTGGGTCTGCATCCAGAGTTCATTTCCCAAATAAATATCAATTCCACTTGAACACCAGTTAACCTGTTCCTTCGCAATTAAGACCACTGACATTTGAAAAACTAAAATTTGTTTGTATGCAGTTCAGGCAAGTTATCCATCCATAACCAATTACCTTGCAAATTTCATGAATCAAAGTGTTTGATATGCACATATTTGCTTAACAGCACAATTCTAATTTCGAGGAATTGGATCGTTTTGGCCAAAAAGAAGAGGATCATCAGAAATGAGTGTAAAAGTAAAGGTGGTAGCCAAGCAAGTTCTCAGAACAGACACAATGAAATTTATAGAACTAAGGATATACTTCCATTTCAATGCGTAACCTGAGAGTATGACTAAAGAAGATTTCCAGCCCTAAGGACGTTTCAGGCAGTTTCGATAACAGCCATTTCAAATGACTACATTGGTGCCAACAATGGCACTTTTATCTGACCCTTCAACACACATGGGTTTTCCTCAACAACCAAACTTGGGGTGGTGAACACTGGTGGACTTTTCATTTTACATGAGAGTGCTGTGTTGTGATGTTAATTGGAAGCCAGGAAGGCACGTAGATTTAAGCTGTGAGTTCCTGTGGCTGACCAGCATCTACTTCATTGGGAGCCAGGGATTTGGCAACCATCAAGGCAACCTTCGACCACTCTCCATCCTGCCTCCCCCTTTCTGCCCCTGACTCATTGTGCTTTAAGTATATTGATATACAGTGGTACCTCGGGTTACATAGGCTTCAGGTTACATACGCTTCAGGTTACAGACTCTGCTAACCTAGAAATATTACCTTGGTTTAAGAACTTTGCTTCAGGATGAGAACAGAAATCGTGCTCCGGCGGTGTGGCAGCAGCAGGAGGCCCCATTAGCTAAAGTGGTGCTTCAGGTTAAAAACAGTTTCAGGTTAAGAACAGACCTCTGGAACGAATTAAGTACTTAACCCGAGGTACCACTGTATTTACAGTATTTATATACCGCTTTCCAGCCGGACCTCACAAAGCGGTTTACATATTACAATAAGCACATTTTTTAAAGGGGCGGGGAGTGGGTTACAATAAAATGGAAAGGTTAACTTAGGCAAAGACGTTACTGCCGCTTCTCTGTTCCCCTCAGGGCAAAATGGTCCGTCAGACACTCCTGTGGCGGCAGTTGGTGGAATGAACAGCTACTCTGGGAGCAGGAAGGTGGCAATTCCCCAAGTTTCTTCTCCACTCCCATAAATTTTGCCCAACTGCCCAGAGACTGTTGGTGTCATGCGGCAGCTAAGAGACTGAGCCTCCCCCGTACCAAACTTGCTGTGTCATGAATTTGGTAGGTGGCCTTGGGCAAGGCACGTTCTCTCCCATCCCATCGACGAAATGGGGATATTTAATGATACCGGATGGGGACACAGGCATCTATTGCACCAAAAAAATGGCCCCACTTCAAAGCACAGTTAGTGGCGTTCCTTTGCTTCCTTGCCAGATTTCCCTTGGCAGAAACTCCCATGACTTTGGAAAGCAGAACTAGTTTTCCTCAGTGTTGGCAATTGCACCTTCTCACTGCAGTATCACCTCGCATCTCAAAGCCTTTCCCTTCATATGAACTGGGTGAGGGCAAAGTGTAATTAAAGATCTGGGTTTAGATGGAGAGATGACAATCCAAACTCCATCCTAGATGCTGAGGCTTCTAAGGAAGCAATGCTGGATTTGCATGACTGGTGTGAAGAGGTATTCAGTTTCGTCAGTGCAATGACCTGCTTTTGGGTCAGAGCTCCTTCAAATGTATTCCACCCCCTGTGCTTAAAAATGTAAAGGGACCCCCAACCATTAGGTCCAGTCATGGCCGACTCTGGGGTTGCGGCGCTCATCTTGCTTTACTGACCGAGGGAGCCGGCGTACAGCTTCTGGGTCATGTGGCCAGCAGGACTAAGCCGACCAAGCAACGTGAGCTCACCCTGTTCGAACCGATGACCTTCCGATCAGCAAGTCCTAGGCTCTGTGGTTTAACCCACAGCACCACCCGCATCCCTGCTGTTGGGTCAGAGCTCCTTCAAATGTATTCTACCCCCTGTGGTTAAACAAGGTGATTTCTGACACCTGCCATTTCTTGTAGCAGTGTGGCCCCGTATTATCTTTTCATTTAGAGTTTATGAATGAGTTAGAATATGTTAATAATGTCAGCGCACACCCTAGTACTTTATCTCTAATTCTCTCTTATCTTGCAATGAGAGAAAGCTTTGCTTGAGCCTGGTTTGGAGCGGCATTCTTGAGCAAATACACACACCGTTCAGGCATGTTGAAGAACAGCACTTGGTTTCTCTCTAAGCAAACGATCACCATCACCTTCCTCTCTAGGGGATGTGTTTAAAGTAGGGCTGCCATACGTCCGGGATTCAACAACTTTTGGGTCCAGATTTTCACTTTTTAAAACTATGGCAGCAAGTGGATGACAGGTGTGTGTGTAACAGGTATGTGTGTATTTTGCTTGTTTATGAAGCCAGACAAATTTAGTCCAGTGGACTTTCCATCCTGACCTAGTGGTATGTAGGCTGGTTTATTTATTTACATCACCTTTAAAATTACAGTGGTACCTCAGGTTACATACGCTTCAGGTTACATATGTTTCAGGTTACAGACTCCGCTAACCCAGAAATAGTGCTTCAGGTTAAGAACTTTGCTTCAGGATGAGAACAGAAATCGTGCTCCGGCAGCACGGCAGCAGCAGGAGGCCCCATTAGCTAAAGTGGTGCTTCAGGTTAAAAACAGTTTCAGGTTAAGAACAGACCTCTGGAATGAATTAAGTACTTAACCCGAGGTACCACTGTAGTGTTAAATGGCTGCCATTCTTTTATCCCCAACTTAATTCCCCAGTCACTGCCTTTTCCTTTTAACATCATCCTTTCAGTTTCGAATCCTCAGTAAAAGTATCTGGGTTCAGGCCCAGCTTTGGGACAGAAGTTGGCCCTTGAGGGAGGGCCCTGGGGCCTGCAACTTTGCTTCTTCGTTTGAGCTCTTAGTAGCTTTCAGTACCGTTGGCCGTGGAATCCTCCCTGGACCATCTCTGTGAGTTTGGGAGTTGATGGCACTGTGCTCGCAGCACTCCTCCCCACAAGGCCAGGTTCAGCAAATAGGCTTGGGGAGGAACAATACCCCAGCTCTTTTCATAACATCTGAATCAGGAGAGACTGTGACTGTTTTAAACCACTGCTCGGATGCAGCGGCAGGCTGAATGAAGGCCTGCAAACCGAGACTGAATCCTGATAAGACAGAGACTATTGGCAATGCCTACTATTACACCAACAGCACCTTTCCAGGACAGGGGTAGCTCAGCCATTGTGACCCATGTGTGGAGAACCTCATAGCTGGACTACTGTAACGCGCTTTATGTGGGACTTCCCTTGGAAACTGCATCTGATACAGAATGCTGTGGCCAGGTTGTTGAGTGGAACATCTGGACATTCAGCCTGTTACTCCTGAGCTGAGAGAACTGAACTCGCTGCCAGTCATCTTCCAGGCCACGTTTAAGGACATCATGTTAACATATACAGTGGTACCTTGGTTTTCAGACGCCTTAGTACTCAAACACCTTGGTTCTCAAACACCGAAAACCCAGAAGTAAGTGTTCCGGTTTTCGAAGGTTTTTTGGAAGCTGAATGTCCAATGCCGCTGTTGACTATTGTTTCCGGGGCACCTGCACCAATCAGAAGCTGTGCCTTGGTTTTCGAACATTTCGGAAGTCAAACGGACTTCCGGAACAGATTAAGTTTGGCGCTTTTGTTTTTGCTATTTATTTTGCAATTTTGTTTTTGAGGCTTTTTCGGTTAATTTGTTTTTGTGACTGTGTGGAACCCAGTTCAGCTACTGATTGATTGATTGATTGATTGATTGTGTGACTGCAGAAATGGATAAAAGCCCCCCATCCAAACAATGACTGTCATCAGTTCAGGTAAGAATTTATTTATTTATTTATTTTTATCATCTACAATATTGTCTTATTTATTTTATAGTATAGTACATTACTGATTTCATTTTATGGATCAATGGTCTTGTTAGATAATAAAATTCATGTCAAATTGCTGTTTTAAGGGTTGTTTTTAAAAGTCTGGAACGGATTAATCCATTTTGCATTACTTTCTATGGGAAAGCGCATCTTGGTTTTGGAACTCTTTGGTTTTGGAATGGACTTCCGTAACAGATTAAGTCTAAGAACCAAGGTACCACTGTAATCCCTAAACAATCAGCTTATTTGAAAGGCTGCCTTCTCCTGTGTAGACCTGTAAGATTATAGACCATCTGGGCGGATTCTATTTGTAGCAGATTCTATATGGAATGCCTTAGGGCCTTTTCTGCTGCTGCTCCTGTTCCATGAATTGCCCGTCCTTCTGTCATATGCAGGAGCAGCAACCATCACTTACACCAGACATCTTGCAAAGACTTTATTTTATTTTTTTTGCCCAGGCTTTCCATGACCCCTAATACTGGATGCCGTTTTACATGTTTGCTTTTGATCAAATGTTTTTATGTGGGTATGTCTTGCTGTTTTATTGGCTATAGGTTGTGGTTTTGTTCTTTGTTTTAATGACTTCAGTTGGTACTGTGTCGGTTGCTGTTTTTGTTTTTTACTCTACACAGCTGACATATTTTAAAAAATATTCTGTGGTTTGTAAATGCTTTTTAATAAACAGAAATGGGATTCCTGAAACAGAGCTCTCCATCTACAACGCAAACTGATATTCAAAGAAGCAGGAAATCCTTGAAGGAAGAATCGGAGAAGACAGAGAAGAGAGAAAGAGAAGGAAACAGAAATGCCTTTTGAGCCACATACTGTAAATCCTTTGTACAGTACTGCAAATATCAGTGCTGGTCATTGACTGTAGCAGTAAAGTTACAGTTTACTTCCTTGGCAACCTGGATATGTCAGTAGGTTTTATCTTCCCATTCACCTTTCACCTGCCTCCTTTAGAAACCACCACTGCTCTGCTCAGGCATTCTTAATGCTCCAAATACCAGGAAATTATCATAATTATCAAAACTTTGAAAGAAAAGGCCATTTCGGCACATATTCCTAGAACTAGATTAATACATTTCCCCACCTACCACCCCCATCGTTCTGCCCGGACACTGAAGTTGCAGGGAACCAGGCAGAGGGCCTTCTCGGTAGTGGCGCCCACTCTGTGGAACGCCTTCCCACCAGATGTCAAAGAAATAAACAACTGTCTGACTTTTAGAAGACATCTGAAGGGAGTTTAGGGAAGCTTTTAATATTTGATGAATTATTGTATTTTAATATTTTGCTGGAAGCCACCCAGAGTGGCTGGGGAAACCCAGCCAGATGGGCGGGGTATAAATAATAATAATAAAATTATTGTTACTATTACTATTATTATTATTATTATTACCACCCTTCCCATGATAAAACTGGACTATCTTGTCTCCAACATGCATCAGTAGAATCCTGATGTGGAATATGTTTGGTTAGACCCTAATGCCTTTTATGAATAACTTCCTGCTGCATCTGAAAGCTTAGGCCCAGCTGTGAAGTGTACCGTATCACAATTGTTTCTGAGAGTCTCATTTCACTTCCCATCACATAACAGAAATTTGTTCCGCTCTTGCCTGTAAACGGACTGGTTTTGAAAGAATACCAAGCCCTGTTGGCCCAAAGAGGAAGTGGGATGGAGGCGCATTTGCGCCAGAAATGGCAAGCCCTCTTCGAAAGCACCTTCAGCTCTCTGGGAAATCCAGCTGAAGGGGTGCTCTAACCACTGTGTGTGGCCAGGATGACCTTTGGTCTCGCCCTTGGAGTTACCATCTTGCCCTTAATCTGATCACTGGGTCAGCTGCAGTCAAAGCAGTGATGATCAGACAGGGTGAGAAAAGGAACTGGCGAACCAGTTATGACACCCAGAGAAGGTGTTTGCATGAAATCTTATCTGTAGCTATCCTTGAGCTTCAAAAAAAATATCCTGGGTAAGATTATGGGAGTTATAGGGAGAAAATGGATTTCACTTTCAGCTGCACAAGCTGCATCAGAGGCAAGAAGTGGCTTCTTTTTGTGGGTGACTCATAAGAATGAGGAAGGCCAAGGCCAGCTGAGTCTTATGTAACAGAACGTTTAGCAAACAAGCCTATAGCACTCAGGTAAAAGAGGTATTTCTCAAAGCCCGAGAACTGGGTTGCTGTTGATTCGCAAGTTAATCATCTCAAAGTCGTGTGGGTGGGCAGGGCTATGGACAAAGTCAATCTATGGAAATTCAGTGTGCCCTTCATAAGGCTGTCTGATTCGTGTGGCTGGAGCCTCGCTTCGAATTCAAGCCCAGTTTGACACGGTGCCTGAACAGCCAAGGTAGGAGGAAGATCCATAGTGTTAACGGAGGAATCTGAGGGCTCCCTTGCACAAAAAGACAAAGATGCCAACCAGGACAATTTGGAGCAAAACAACAGCCTGTAGGCTTGGCTTTTATTGAAAACTGTCATGACAGGACTCCCACCCACAACAAGATGAAGCAAGATGGAAGTCCCGAACAAAAGAAGACCCCAACTTTTATTAGCTACTAATCCCCCAAGCTACACCCCTAGAACTACATCACAACTACATCATGACTACATCATTGACACATCACAAAAAGGAGGGGTTGAGGGAGGGGTTGTGGAAGTAACCTGAGTATCTTGTCACCTGGCTGGTTCCTCCTTTTCCCCTCCCCATGAGTCATTTCCAGAGGACAAAGGGGAGTTGGCAGTTTCCTCCCCCCAGAGGGAAGATCTGTTCATTGTCCTTTGTTCCAGTCCGTGTTGAATCCACTCCCATATGCATGTCCGTTGTGTCCTTGATGGTCTTCTGTCTGGGACCATCAAGGTTGTCATGCCAAGTGGGCAGGGCTCCTGAGTACGTGTTGGTACGATTAAGGGATTATGGCCGTCCTGTATCAAACCATCCCCCTTTGATAGTCCTTCCTTCATGGAGCAAAATAAAAGTGGCCTGGTGTAAATCCGATGTACAGTTGATTTACTATGAATTTATAGCAGAAACTTCGCATATGTTGCGTGTGAGTGTGTGTCGTGTTTGTACAAACTGAATGATTGGGGGGGGGGGTTCCTGCAACAGTGGTAAGGTTCGAAGTCACGCTCTGAGAAACACTGAAGGAAGATTGAATGGTAGAAGAGCAAAATATGCTGAGACTATTGGTTGCGCTGCCGTACCTACAATGCTGTCATGAACGCAGGTCAAATCATTGTATGGCACCATTCGCAGGTTCAGTCTGTGACTTCTTCCTGGTTTTGTTTGTGGGTTTGTTCAGAGCAGAAGTTTTCAACCTTTTGGAGTCCACAGCTCCCTTGACCCATTGCATTCTTTCTGCGGCACCCCTGTGAGGCTCAGGAGCCCAGTTGTGTCACCCCTTGCCCGCAGAGTGGGCAGCCTCACACCCTTTTTCGAACACCCTCCCTTGTGGAGTGTTCCCTTAGCCTCCTCTCCCCTCTCCCCTTTCCCCTCTCTTTGGGAGTCCTCTGGGCAGCCGCCGCCACTGCAGATGGTCTCTGAGCTGCCCCCCACTTGCCCCAAAGAGAGGTATTGGAGCACTTTAATCCAGTTTAATTATGCAAATCCTAAATTTCTGGTGTGAGCTGGAATGCCTCCTCCAAGATACAGACAGTCTGGGGGCATCCCAATTCCACAGGCCTATTTAATTAAAGCATTAAAGCATTAATGATTCACTTCAACCAGGCAGTGGCCTGGAATCTAGGTATTCCTGAGGGATTATTAGATACTGAATTCTGTCTGTCTGTTTGTCTGTCTGTCTCTCTCGCTCACACACACACACACAGACACACCCCTCCTGAAATTATATCTCTATTCAGTTTACATCCCCGGTGTTTCAGGGACAAGTTCTTACTAGCTATGCTCCAAAGCTTTGGCAGGAATCTCTTCCATCCGAAGCACAGGACATGCAGAAATATGGAATTCTGTTTTCTGGTTTGAGGAGTGGAATTCAATTTCCACAGAGTTTAGTTAGAACATTATAAGTGTAGTAACGCAGACTGTGTAGGTAACTCTGGAAGATGGTAGAGGCAAACTTGGTTCTGAGCAGACAGTGGAATTCAGAGTGATTTGGGGGATGATGGAAGGAGGCGAAGGCTGGGACTCTGTGAAATTAGATATCTGGAGCAAGGTGCAAGATTCCCAGGTTCCAATTGTATATTATTGCTGTATATTAAGTCTAATTTAGCACATAGAAGGGAGGGGGAAATGGTTTAAGTATGAAGGCTTTGGGGAAGTAATGATGTTCGCTGGCCACTAGGATGTGCACTGCATTAACTTTAATTTCAGCAGGATCAAAAGAGGTGCGGCAATGATTCTTCCTTTTTCTGACTATTTGGGCAGGAAAAGTGGGGAGCACAAATTATTTGAGGAGAAGCTAAATTTGCACTAGCTACAATCCGGGACCAATCGCTTAAGGTCTCGTTCCATATCAGGGATGGCAGGATGCAAATAGCAGCCAGTCAATGCAAGTAGCCTTTGCAGCAGGACTGGACAACTATGTCCTTATGAAATACTGCATTTTTATGCATTTGTTCCCCCCAAAACCAGCTTTGATCTGAATTGAGGAAAACAGTGTTGCGTTATCAGCTTGCAATGTATCCAGAGCCTTAGAGAACTGTGTCTTGCCCAAGTCCAGCTGGCCAGTTTGTGGGTGACGTGAGGTCTAACCTCTTAGCTGCTGTTGTCACATTTTCTGTCTAGGGGAAATAAGCAGCCCCACCTCCTGCTGGGAATTGGGAAGTGGGGTCTGTGTCGTGGAATCTGACCCTACCAGAGAGAGACAGATTGTGGCCAAGTTGTCATGCAATGTTGCCTGAGTGTGCTCGCCTGTATTCCTAGAAAGAGAAGAGAAAGTGTCTCTGAGCACATCCTCCAGTGTTGCTAGGATAAAGAGAGAAAGGAGACGGCTGCTGTGTTTTGCACTTTGCACCTTTGCTCTTGCATGTCTCTCTGTGTGTACACTCAGCAAAGTGCCTCTTTATTTTTATTTCAATCTTGCTCTTGGCTTAGGATAGCCAACCCTTTTGTTGGCTCCTGCACCTTTAAGAACACCTTGGATGATGTGGAAGTAGAAGCAGACCTGCTGTAGACTTTCCAATTTTCCCAGGAGGGCAGGGGAAACTCTGAGGCAAACCTAGGGGGGAAGGGGGGGTGAGCCAGTGCTTGTGGTGATATTTCAGAGGTTTCCTGATTTGAAATCTGCTTTTAGGGTGGTCACTTTAAGACCTGCAAATGAACATGCATGCCTGGATAGCTCAGTCGGTTAGTTGCTGATAATGCCAGGGTTGCAGGTTCAATCCCTGTATGGGACAGCTGCATATTCCTGCATTGCAGGGGGTTGGATTTAGATGATCCTCAGAGTCACCAGTGACTCTATGATTCTGTGTACAGGATACAGTCTTCCTGGACAGTCTCTGCACCAGAGAATGAACGGACACAAATGTGGCATTTAGAAAAAGAGAAAATCCTGCAGGGTAGATTTTAATCTTCCTCGCCATTCAGTTGCAGGGAGTTTGTTTCTCTTTCATTCAGAACAGTGGCTTAGTAATATGAAACTATATTATGTCACCATGGGTTGCCTTTATTTGGTAATGTCATGGTTGTCATCTCGGAGCCGGTGCCTAGGAATGCAGGAAACTGCTTTATACTGAGTCAGAGCATTGGTCTGTCCAGCTCTGTGCAGACTCTGGGCTGACTTGCTGTCTCTCTCTGGGGTTTTGGACAGGGGTCTTTCCCACTTGGCCTTCTCTGGAGATGCTTGGCGTTGAACCAGGAAGCACCTGGAACTGAACCAGCAGGAAGCGCCTAGAAGTAGCAAAGTTGACGGATTTGATAAGACAAAAACCAAAAAATATAATCCAGAAACAATGGAAATGCTTAAATGAGTATTTATGTAGACAAGGATTAAATGTAAGGTATTGGTTGTGTTTAGAATAGATTTATGAGAGATTTAGAAAACTTATTGATTAGAATATTGTGTGAGATTGTGTGGGGAAAATACAGAATAACAGATACAGTCTTGCTTAAAATGTATATAGGAAGTGCAGTGTAAGTGATGGAAGTCAATCAATGAAATGTTATTATTATTTTCATATTGAGATATTTGTAGAATAAACTTGGGAGAAATTCTTCCAACTTTTCTTCTTCTTTTTTCTCTTTATTTTTTCTTTTTTTCTTTTCTCTCTCTTTTGTTCCTTTTTTCATGTATATGTGCTTATTTGAAACATATATGTATGTATGTATGTATGTATGTATGTATTTGCAATATTTTGCTTATATTTTGTAACAATTATGTTAAATAAACAATAAAATTATTTTAAGAAGAAGAAGAAGAAGGAAGCACCTGCATGCAAAGTGATGCTCCGCCACTGAGCCTAGGCCCTTCCCCAGAATGAGGGCTGGGAAAGCAGTATGAACAGGGCTCCAACTCCCGTCACCCCCAACCATTTGCTGTGCCATCCAGGACTGAAGGGATTTGTAACCTTGCAGCAACTGGAGGGACCACAGATTCCCTATCCCTTTAATAAAGCCTCGTGGTTAATTTCAGCTCTGTTGCCTCCATGCTCTTATGAAGCTAACTACAGGGTTAACGGAGTGCTCGCTTGGCTGCCTGAGATCCTGGGCAGAAGGTCAAATTTCTCCTGCAAGCACCTACACTCTGTTTGCACCAAGGAATTGGCTGACTGGGTCAGCAAGCTCTTTCTGCTGCGTTCCGTCTAGCCACGTGAAGCCTTCATTGAAGCTGCTCTTTCTCTTTGGCAATCACTCGTAGCCAAGTAAGATTGTTTCCATGAACACAGTCTTAACAGTGAGTCCGTAAGTGAGTGTGGAGGCCAATTCTGGATCCACACAGTGGGGACATAGGTTTCTGGATGGGAGTTGATCATGGTGAGGGTTTGCCAAGCGTGCCTTCCTCTTAGCACGTTTCTCCCTTTCGTCCTGAGTTCGAGCATCTTCAGAGCCCACGACACCTTTGGTCAAGGCTGTGCTCCAGCTGGAGTGTTCACATGCCAGTGTTTCCCAGTTGTCAGTGTTTATACTACATTGTTTTTAGATTTGCCTTGAGAGTATTTGAACCTCTTTTGTTGACTACCAGCATTACGCTTTCCATTTTTAAGTTCGGAATAGAGTACAGTGGTACCTCGGGTTACATACGCTTCAGGTTACAGATTCTGCTAACCCAGAAATAGTACCTCGGGTTAAGAACTTTGCTTCAGGATGAGAACAGAAATTGTGCTCCGGTGGCGCGGCGGAAGCAGGAGGCCCCATTAGCTAACGTGGTGCTTCAGGTTAAGAACAGTTTCAGGTTGAGAACGGACCTCCGGAACAAATTAAGTTCTTAACCAGGGGGACCACTGTACTTCCTTTGGAAGATGATAATCAGGCATCCGTACAACCTAACCAGTCCAACAAAGTTGATGTTGAAGAGTCATTGCTTCAACACTGGTGATCTTTGCTTCTTCCAGTACACTGATATTAGTTCGCCTGTCTTCCCAAGTGATGTCAAGGATGGACCAGCCTTCGAACCTGTTTTGAATGCATAAAAGCGGCTTTGCTACCAGTGACTGCACCTCTGAGTTCTTTGCCGCCAAGTCAGTGCAGGCTTCCATCAGGCTCCCACCTTGGTTGCCCTGGCTGATGACATTTGTCAAGAGAGAGAAGCGAGGGGTGTGTGACTGTGCGCCTTCTCAGCGACTTCCTGTACGTTTGGCCACAGTTATCCTCCTGGAGAGGCCCTGGGAGGTGGGGGTTAGGGGCCACCGTACTTCAGTGGTTCTGCTCCTACCTCCAGGTCCCGTTCATCACCATGGGAGCTTCCTTGTGGTGTTCCACAGGGGTCCATCATATCCCTCATGATGCTTAACCTCTCTCTGAAGCCTTTGGGAACTGTCGTTGGGAGATTTGGAGCAAAGGGTCACTGACACCCAGCTCTATCTCTCTCTGTTCCATATGAATTGGGAGAGGCTTCCACAGCGGCAAGAGTCTTGTTAGCACAAGGATGGAAGAATGAGGAAACCCCAATGAAAGAACAGTGGCAAGAAAAACTGACGAGCTACGCGGAACTGGCTAAATGGACATATAAGCTGCGTGACAAGGACAACCGTCACTTCAAGGAAGAATGGGAACTTTTTACCAATTACCTAAAAAGACAACAAAATGATCGGGACTCCTTGGTAGGTTTTGAATAAACATCTGCAAATTTATTAGTTGAACACATGATAGATAAGGCAAGGATATGTACAATTTTATAACATGCAGAGAACAATATGCACAAAGAAATCCGAGAGGGGAGCTGAGGGAAGTCCTTGGTGGTGGGGAGTGGGAGGGATGGGGGGAAGGGGGAAAACAATGTAATTGATTATTTGGATTGATAATTTGTTATGTTGAAATTGTTCAATAAAAATATTTTTTAAATATTTAATATTTTATTGTTGTTAGCCGCTCTGAGCCTGGCTTCGGCTGGGGAGGGTGGGATATAAATAAAATTTTATTTTTATTATTATTATTTTAAAAAATGAATTGGGAGAGGCAGTTGACTTGCTAGTTATAGAGTCCGGGAGATGGGAAGATGGCCTTTGTGGGAAGACCTTCTGCTGCCCTGGAGGGAGCAAGCCTGCAGCTTGGGTACATTAACTCTGACTGGCAGCCTTGGTGGTGAGGACTGTCTATTTCCAGCTACATCTGGTTTGCCAGCTTACAGCCCCATTTGAACACACATGGTTTGGCCACAGTATCCCACGCACCGGCTGGATTACCGCAATGTCTTCTGCGTGGGTCTGCCCCTGAAGACAGTTCAGAAGCTTCAGCTGGTCTAAATGCACTGGCCAGATCACCGGCTGGGGTTTTGGATGCATTAAAACAACTGTGCTGGCTGCCAGTTCATCTCTGGGCCCAGTTCAAGGCGCTCACATTATTTGTATTTGTTTAAAAAACAATTTTTAAAATTGGTCGTTGTTTTTTTAAATCAAAAGACTTAGGCCTCAACTATCTGGTGATGTGGGAGAATGCCTCCTTCCCTACAGGCTCTCTCAGGTCTTAAGATAGCAAAAGGGTGCCTTCTTGGTGAGCTCAGGGGCGTGTGTGGCTGGATGAGGGCATTTTCTCCAGCAGCCTCATCTAAGCTGTGAAATGACATCTCCAAAGAGGGGCGTTTGGCACCTCATCATCCTGGCCTTTGACACGGCTGATTGCATTTGGACCCACCCTGTTCTCTTGCAACTGCGATTTGTTTTGGTTCCTTAATCAATTTTTTATTAAAAGCTTTCGACATAAAATACAATAAAAGCCAAACTAATCTGGGGGGCGGGGCAGGTAAGCCCCGCCCTGCATAACTGATCGCAAGACAAAGCACACCCCCCCCCATTTGAACGGCAATGCTTGGGGGAGTTCCCCCCTCAAATATTTTATGGGGGGTGCAGGAGTGCCAGCTTGGTGCCATGGCCATGGGTGCCCGGGGGCGTGGGTGCCATGCAGGGTGCATGGCCCTGGCACTGAAATTTGTGGGTGCCCGACCCCTTCATGGGGAATTTTGTGGTTGCTCGGGCACACAGGTTCCCAGGGAGTTGGCACCTATGGGGGAGGACGAAGGGAGTTGGCTCTATAAACCGATACACCCCGACTACTAATAAATACGTATCTGTTTGTGGGAGGCAATGACAAACCTAGACAGCATCTTAAAAAGCAGAGACATCACCTTGCCGACAAAGGTCCGTATAGTTAAAGCTATGGTTTACCCAGTAGTGATGTACGGAAGTGAGAGCTGGACCATAAAGAAGGAGAATTGATGCTTTTGAATTATGGTGCTGGAGGAGACTCTTGAGAGTCCCATGGACTGCAAGAAGAACAAACCTATCCATTCTTAAGGAAATCAGCCCTGAATGCTCACTGGAAGGACAGATCCTGAAGCTGAGGCTTCAATACTTTGGCCACCTCATGAGAAGAGAAGACTCCCTGGAAAAGATCCTGATGTTGGGAAAGATGGAGGGCACAAGGAGAAGGGGACGACAGAGGACGAGATGGTTGGATAGTGTTCTCGAAGCGACCAGCATGAGTTGGACCAAACTGCGGGAGGCAGTGGAAGACAGGAGTGCCTGGCGAGCTCTGGTCCATGGGGTCACAAAGAGTCGGACACGACTAAACGACAACATTTGTCTGTCTGTGGGGGGGGGGGGGGAGCTTTGCCAAGTGGTCACACGCCGCTGAACCTGGTTAAGAGCGCTCTTTCTGGTTCGCTTAAACGAAAGCGCAATGCCAACCGAGCTCTACTCCGAGGAGACCCGTGGAAGTGAGTGAGCCTGAGCGAGCCCCGGGTCTCCGGACTGCCACAGGCAGGCGCCGACGAGATCCAACCCCTGCTAGGACCTGCGGGGATCCGCCTTCCCGGGGGCGGGGAGCCGCCAGGCGCAGCAGCTACAAAGGCAGCGGCCGCGATGGGGCTCCGAAGGCAGAGAAAGGGACCGGGAAGCGGCTGCGGGGGAGTCTCTGGCACCAGGTGAGGACCCCCGGGGAGAAGCGTGGGGAGGGGGCGCCTTCCCCAACACCCCCCACGCCCCACCGCCGTCCAGGCTTTGTACGCAACTTGCAAAGGGCAGGCGAGAGAGGAAGGAGCCCGTTGGAACTAAGTTCGGGTGCAGGTGGGGAAAAGGAGACGAGGGTGCCCCTGAGCACATGCAGAGTGCATTTGCCGTCGCTCTAGCTAGTGGGAGCGGGGCTTTCTTTTTTGACTAGCTGCTCCTTCCAAACTAGAGTCTTTGTCTCTCTCTATCTCTTTTTCTCGGGGTGTCTTAAAAGAGAGGATTTTTGGCCGGGGTGGTTTTGGTCCCTTCATCCCTAGCCCGGCTCCTGCAGCCTCCCTTCGTATCTCCTCCGCACGTTACTGCTCCCCTGGCAGATCGATATCTCCGCATCACCCGGAAGGTGCCAAGTCAGCCGGTTGTTATTCCGCCAGCTCGACATAACTCTGCGGAGGGCATGTGCGCCTCGTGCCCGCTGCAAACCGGGCTTACGTCGTCGGGACCTTTCTACAGAGTTGGCACCCTGCTCTCGGTGACTCTTTAAGCGCGACAAACCCGACAGGCCGAAGCTCAAAAGGTGTGGCTTTGCTCCCTCCCTCGTGCCTTTATATCACACCTCCCAGGAGCTCAAGGTCGAATGCAGGGCTCTCTTAAAAAAATAAAAATAAAATAAAATTCCACAACAACCCTGTGAGGTAGGCTAGGCTGAGCGGCGGTAACTGACCTGAGCTTCATTGACAGCTTGATGTGAATTGCGTTGGTTGTAGATTTGTTTTGCTTTATTAGTTGTTCTGCAATTAGTTGTTCTGCCAGTGCACTGGCACTGCCTGCAGGGCATACAGTGCAACAATGAGAGATATATAGCTGGGCGTTTGTGGTACAAAAAGCTATGGGGTGTCTTCAGGATGTTGCAAAATATGGACTGCTTGGTAGCGAAGCAACAGGACCGCCTCCAAACATTTGCAGGTGCAACTGAGCACTGAAAGCGGCATTGTGTACGACTGCCCAGGCAGCATCCTGAACCCAAATCATCGTGAATGCGTGATATAAAGGACACCTGGAAGAAGGGGTCCCTTTGCAAAGCGGAGCTTGCTGGAAACGTGTGCCTTCCTCTCAGGTATGTTTGGAGCTGCTTAGGATGCAAATAGGCTCAAAGTATTGTGGTCACTTAAGTATTGTGGGCTGCCTTGCATGTGAGCCCCAGAAAGCTCTGTGACTGACCATTGGCAGCTTGACGTGAATCGCTCTACGAAAAACGCTCGAATCAGTTCCATCTCTTCACATGTTCTGCGCACTGAGCCCTTTGAAGCTGGAGCTCAGTGTGCCTGGTTTCTCCTGCAAGGGAATTGTGGTTCAACAGCAGCAAAGGCAGACAGATAATTCTGTGTTCTCCTGTCAAGGGCAGAAGGTATGATATACTGGAACAGCCAGGATGCCTGGGTTCTTTGTGGTTGCTGTCTCTAACCCCACCCGCCACTCTAATCAGAGCACCTTTAGGTTGCAGGCGTTGCTCCCAAACATTCAGAGTGGTTTCATAGCAAGATTATTATTATTATTTTACTGAGCTCGTAAAGTGGAAAATATGTTTCGGGGATGGCAACTTCCTTCCAGTTGTGTGGTTTTCTGTGTGTGGAATGGTTGGCAGTGCAGGGTGAGGGAAATGCCATTCCTAGTTTGGGGAGGATTCCCTTGGAGGAAATGAGAGGCACTCCTTGAATTTCAGGTCGTCACTTTTATTGGTTACTGTGTTGGAGCCAGTAAGCCAGAGAAAGAACTGCAGGATGGTATTGTGAAGTCTGGAGTAAAATGCCTTGTCTTGCTGGAGCCGCTCTGTTCCGTGAACAGTTGCTTGCTTTGGAGCAATGGGATGAATCTAGGAGAAGTGGGGTTTCTTTTTTCACAGTGTCCCAGTTGCAGTGAGAGGGAAAACCGTACCTGTTGGGTTTCTGCCTGTTTTGCAGGGTTTTTTTTTTAATTAAAAAAAGCACAGGAATTTTACCACGAGAGAAAAGCTGGCAACTTTACACATCCTAAAAGATTACTGCAATGCGTTATACGTAGGGCTGCCTCAGAATACTGTTCAGAAGCTTCAGCTAGGTGCAGAATTCAGCAGCCAGGTTGCTCACTGGAGCAAGAGGGTTTGAGCATATTACACCGATCCTGGTCCAACTGCACTGGCTGCCAATTAGTTTCTGGGCCCAATTTAAAGTGCTGGTTTTGTCCTATACAGCCTTAAACGGCTCAGGACCACAATACCTCAAGAACCGCCTCTTTCCATATGAACCTACCCGGACCCTCAGATAGTCTTCTGAGGTCCTTCTTCGTATGCCTCCTCCTCGAGAGGTGCGGAGGGTGGCAACAGGAGAACGGGGCCTTCTCTGCAGTGGCTCCACATCTGTGGAATGCTGGCACCTTCATTAAACACCTTTAGGTGCCAGGCAAAAACGTTCCTTTTTAACCAGGCTTTTGGTTGATTTGATGGACATCCTATGCCCTTTTAAGATGTGTTGGGGAGGGGTTATTGGGTTGTTGTTTTTATTTGTTGATGTCTTTTGTGGTTTTAGATTTTGATTTTATCCTGTGAACCTGCAGGTATAGGGCAGTATATGATGATGATGGTAGTAGTGATGGAGCAACTTGTGGCAAGTGAGAGAGGAGGAGTGTTTGGAAGACACGCATTTGTTGCTTCACATGTTCAGAGATGGTCAGGTGGCCCCGAGAACAGGTTCTGGGACTACCGCAAACCCTGGCTCAAATGAAGTTGTTGGAGGAGGCTGTCTCATACTGAACCCTTGGTCTGATTGAGAGCTGGTGGTGTGCGGACTCCCTCTAGCAATTGCTGACTTTGACCCATGCCTCGTTTTCACTGAGGCTGGATCCTTTCTCCCTGACATACGAAATTTCTGGGTGCAGGGAATGGTGTGGAGAGGAGCATTGGGCTGTTGCCGATTTGGCTCAGTCATTAGAAGATTAGACTCTTGATCGCAGGGTGGTGTGTTTGAGCCCCACTTTGGGCAAAAGGGTCCTGCGTTGCGGGGGGTTGGACTAGATGACCCCCGTGGTCCCTTCCAACTTGACGACTCTAAATCTCAGCACCACCACCACCCTCCTGGCCTTAACACACACATTCAGCACCTGCAGTTTGAAGTGGAGCAGCAGAGATGAAGGTTTTCCCCTTCGGAGGAGAACTAGGCCTTTAAAAAAAATCTTTCCCCTGCTGCTTAACTGTGAAAAGATCCAGGAATCCCTGCTGGAGCTGTGAGTTGCCTGGAAAAGATGCCCTCGGAAGGGAAAAGCAGACTCTGCTTGTGCTCAGAGGCACTCTTGCTGCGGGGGACAGCTGTGACCCTGCATTCGGCCTACTGACTCTGTCTTAAATCTGACCCTTGTGGACTATAGCCTCTCACACTTTAAATTTCATGCCTGGGCCCCCAAATGCATAGATATAGATATAGATATAGATATAGATATAGATATAGATATAGCATGCAACCAGGTGCGTGGGAACTCCGTGTGATGTTGAAACTAGGGCCCAGGGCTAAATAGCCGCCTTTTCATGGCTGCCCTTTTTCCCATGGGTGTTACTGGCTTCCCAACCAGCACTTGTGGTCAAATGTGGTTATTAGGGCCGGGCAGATCTGTCGGTTTTGGTTTCTCTCGCTGTGTCTCACTTTCCCAATCTTTATATCCAGCTCTCTACCTCATGAAGAAACAAGTCCCTCATGAAAGTGGATCGGCGCTTTGGTTTGAATTCCTCCTAATATAACGGTACACATTGAATCACTCCCAAATAGAAACACTTTTGCAAAGCACGTTTCCCCTAATGTGTGCTGTTTGTGTGTGCTGTTTTCACTGAAATACGCTTTTTTAAAAAAAAAACAAAAACCGTTTAGTACCCGCCTTTTGTGCACATTACTCGACTGGAGAACCTCATTGCAAAGGGCGAATTTTGACGGCTGCGTGTGTTTTGGTTGGCACATTGTTTCGGAAAGTGTGAGTTTAAATGTGAACTGGATCTAATTTCTCCCCCATGCTTAGCGGTTACTCCATGCAAACTGTTTTTTCTTGTAACCAACTTGCACCCATTAGCCCCATTTTCTGCTGATTCCTTGGGCTAAAGTCTAAGCAATTTCCACCCTCCCTTTCCCACAGGTGGGCGGGGTTTGCGGCCGAGCAGGGCTCACCTGGGCAGGTGCCACTCACCTGCTTGGGCCGGCCTTTGACCCGCCCTCGGCCAGGGAGGACAACGGCCGGCCGGCCAGGGGTGGGCCTAAGGCCAAAAGAAAACAGGCTGACTCCGTTGTTGAAGCCTCTTTTGCTGTTCTTACTTTCAGGATCACCAACCTACCCTCCCTCAAATTAATAATTTCTTGCCTTCATAATTTCATCCTAGGCCAGCGGTCTTCAAGTTAATGATTATTTTCCTTACAGGCTAATATTTTGCATTCCACGTCAGCGGGCGCTGCTGCGGTCGTAAGATGGCTGCTGTATTCAGAATCGGGAAGGAATTTTCCTTGCATTGGCAGGTTTCACCTTCCCTGTAGCATTTTGTCACAACTTTGGCAGTTTTCGACCTTGGCAAGGTATCCTTTAGTCTAACATCAAGTTGTGGGGGGGATGCATCCATGCTCCCTCCCAATGCGGCGGCGCTTGCAGGGCCCGTTAAAGGTTAAAAACCGGGAGTCCCTGGCCCATGTAGGTCAAACTCCCGGGACGAGGTCGGTGGAAGGGCATGCTGTGTAAGTTTGCGCTTTACAGTCCCCTCTCACTGGACGTCATCTGCCTGCATATCCTCAGCCAGGCTGGCTGAGAGGGTTATTTGCCAAGGCCTGTGCCAAGTTTCCCGCTTCTGAAGCTCAATAAAGTTGTGGCCAATTTGAACCCATAATCTGGCCTCTTGTTTCATCATTTGGGGTAAAGGGGTAGGCACCACAGACAGGGTTTAGCGTGTGTGCCCGCAAATGCAGCAATAACCCTTTAGGGCTCTGCTGTTGCCAGTTTAAGTTCAGCTTTGCTTGCTGCTGGCGTGCCAGTTCTTCAGGAAAGGAGCTCTTCTTTGATCTGGAGAGGATTTCGCAGCCAGCTGCTCTTCCTATCGCTTGGTGGGGTCAAGGGCTTTGTGTGTGTGGATTTCCTTCCTGCCAAGGCCCCAGGGTGGGAATTGTGGAGCTGAGAGAGCTTCAGCTGGTGCCCAGTGCTGCCACAGATTCTGAATTGTGTTTCAAGCTGCATGCAGACCACACACTGAAAGCATGTCCCCGCCATGACTCCTGGGAACTATAGTTTAAGGGTGCTGGGAATTGTAGTTTTCTGAGAGGTAAACATCAGTTCCCATGGTTTTTTTAAAAGGGAGGGAATGTGCTTTAAATCTGCTGGGAAGTATAGCTCTAGGAAGGCTAAACTAAAGTTGCCAGGATACATTGGAGGCAGAAAAGGTGCTTTAAATTCATAGTGCATATGCAGCCTAATGCAGGAATGGGCAGAAGGTACATTAGGATCTACTCGTAAATCTTTGGGTGGTTTTTTTATTGGATCACCAAGGATTTCTGGTACGGTTCGAATCAGAAATAACATAGTTCCTCACACCCTGTCCTTAATGCTGGTGCAATTGTTTTACTTGTTTCTGTAGTCGTATAAACTGGTTTTTCTTGTTTTTAGTTTTTTTAATTAAATTGTTATATGCATTAGTACAAATTTAGATTACTGCAGAAATCTGATAAAAACAAGTTTGCCTCACGGTCTCTTATTTATACCACTTATGTAAATATTTATGTGACTTATGTAGCTTAAAGTTCATTTCCAGGTGAAGGAAATGCCAAAAACAATGTTTTATTAAAAGTCACTACTTACATGCAGTTTACAGACTTAAAAACAATTGCATCCACTTGACTGATTTCCATTCCTGACCACAGGCGAACATACAGACTGCAGCAATTTCCTCTTCCTTTTCCGTTCTTATCATAATTCTCAGCCTGTCAGCTAGATGCCTAGCCTAGTAGCACAAAGAAGGAGAGGGAGCTGATCCTTGTCTCCTTTTCTTTCTCCTATTCCAGGGGTGGCCAGCTCCCAAGAGACTGCGATCTACTCACAGAGCTAAAAACTGGCAGTGATCTATCCCCTTTTGGTTGGTTCAGGTCAAAGTTGTTGAGCTTTTTTAGGGGAGCCAAAGTTGCTGAGCTTCTTTGGGGGGAGGCAGTGATCTACCAGTGATCTACCACAGACGTCCAGCAATCTACTGGTAGATCACGATCTACCTGTTGGACATGCCTGTCCTATTCCTTCATCTCTTGTCTGTGGAGAAAACGATCCCTGGAAGACTCCACCAGCTGCGTTTGTGTTTATCTCTTTGGACTATGCTCAGTAAACTAGCTGTATTAGTCTTGACTGGGGTAGCCAACGCTGGTGGCCTCCCCGATATTATTGGACTACAACTCCCATCTGCGTTAGCCAGCATGACCGATGGTCAGGGTTGGTGGGAGTTGTAGTCCCACATCACACAGAGAGTGCCACGTTGGCTGTCCATAGGCTCCGTACACAATATTCATTCATTCTTTCATTGCATTTATATCCTGCTTTTTTCTCCAAGGAACCTAGGGTGGCTCACACAGTTAACACGCAGGGAGGGGCTCTATACTCAACCTGCTCCTTATGGGAGGTGGGGCCAGGCCAGCTAGGAAGGTGTGTGATATTTCCAGGGTCACAGAAATTGCTGCAGCCTCTTTTGCAACCTCATTGCCAGCCAGTCCCTTCCGCAAAATAATCTAGTAACTGAAGCAGGTTGTTCTCTTAGGGGCTAGTTCATCCTCTTTTGCATAACAGGAAGGAAGCCACTTATTATCTCAGCAAGGATGTGCTGACCTGGGCCTAGCATCCAAGATACGTGACTTCCTGTCATGCAAAGCAAGGAGGTAAATCTGGATGTAATGGGGGACAAAGATGGACTGGCATTTGATGGGGAGGAAAGATGGGCTGGCAACTCAAAATATGGGATGCCGATGACTTGGCACAGATGCCACAGGAAAGCTGCACACGTGAGGCCGTGCTGATCCCACAATAAACACCTGTCCCCCCCCCCAACCAACCCCCAATTTGTGCTTTCTTTCTCACGGGTTGTATGACTGGTTTATCCTTCCTGCGGCATGGAGAAGTCCGTGAAGGATGTAATTCGGCTAACGCAGCTTCTGTTTTAAATCAGCCTCCCACCCCTTTTGTTTCTAGGCAGTGTGCAGCCTTCCTGGATTAACGTTGGCTGGGGGACGTGTGACACTTCTCTCTCTCGTTTGTTGACACTTTGAACATCTGCATCCGAAAAAGGGCTCTGCGTCACTTAAAAAGTGGCATAAAGCATTTGGAAGATGCCTTGATGTGGGATCAGGCTATGAACCTCCCTTAGCTCAGTGCTGTCTGCTGGGGTTGCCCAAATTCCTTTAAAAACAAACCAAAAACCTAGGGTAGCTGAGGAACTGAAGGGTTTTGCTTTCCCCTCCCTCCATATCTGTGCAGTAAAGCTGAGGGGGAGGAGCCTGAGGCCTGTGAGGACCTCCAGGCTTCTGTATCTGGCCTGGGGGGCTCTCTCCAGGTCTCATGCAGGCCACCCCCCCCCCGTAGCAACACTGCTCACTTCCAGGCCACAGCCCTGCAAACGTAAAATCCATCTTTGTTGCCCACCCATTTTTGACTCTGGCTCTGTCTACCAACAGACAGTCAGAATAAAATCCGCCTGCCTGTTGTTGACATTTGTCTATCTCGAGAGACAGTGGAGTGCGCCTCCGGGGGTGAAGCCAAACTGCTGCATTAGTAGTAGGGCCTTTTCAGTACTGGCCCCGACTTGGTGGAATGCTCTGTCACAAGAGACTAGGGCCCTGCGGGACTTGACATCTTTCCGCAGGGCCTGCAAGACAGAGCTGTTCCGCCTGGCCTTTGGTTTGGACTCAGTCTGACCCTTATGTTTCCCTCCCCTTATGGCCTTGATTTATCGGCTACTTTTAAAATGAGGCTGCATTTTAAATTGCATTTTAACCTGTATTTTAAATTGGTTTTTTCTTTTCCTTTTCCTTTCCCCCCTATTATGTTTTTTACTGTGATTTTATTGGTGCTTTTCTCACTTCTGCAGCACTGGGATGTGGCAGGAACAGCATCTTCCTGGGAATTCTCCCTTTTATCCAACCTGCTGGGATTCTGCAGTGGCTTCTGTGCCTCCTCCACCGCTTGCCCTCCTCCTCTGCCCTCGTACAGAACATGCTGATCGCTCTCCCGAAGCTCTTGCAACCTTGAACACCCTCCTGCTGAGGTGGCACCGGTTCAAGGCAGAACAAAGCAATAAAGCAACTTGCAGCCTTGATCTTTTTACCTGGAGCAAAAGCCTCGGAAGGGCAACCTCCTCCTCCTCTTCTTCTGACTGCTTTATTGGTGGCCTGCAAAGTTGTTTGTTTATTTGCTAAGCAGGACTTTTAACTCTTGGCATCCCTGCCACTGGCTGAGCCCTTTGCACTGGCAGCATTTTTGACCTGGGTTCAGAATCTTGTTCTTTCCCCTTGCAGGTCTTTCTCCCTCTTGCCCTGTGTCAGCTGGAAATTCAGTAGGATGCTGAAAGCCATTCTCTGCCTCCTCCTGGAACACAGCATTTAAAAAAATATATGCTCCAGAGCTCAGATCTAGGACTAAACCACAGAAAACCAGGCAGCACCCTTCCTCTCTCTAAGCAAGCTCAGACAACCCTGAACCTTCTCCTTACTCTCTTTTAAACTGCAAAAGCCTCATTTCCTCCTAGGAATCTTTCTTCTGAATTCCCATCTAGAGCTTATAGGAACTGGGGGTCTGGGTCTCCCGCTGCCAAAACACTTGGGTTTCTGCTGCCTGGTGCAGAAAAGGCGTTGAGCTGAATCAACGCTTGCGTATTCTTAGTCTGCTGACTGCATAAGTAATAGCGACGCCTTTTCACAGCCAAGCTTCGTACACCTGACTTGAACAAGCGGAGGCAAGATTTGATGGGGTTACGTTGCCAAACTTGTGTTGCTGGTGTGTTTGCCCACAATACAAATAGCCTTGCTGAAACTCTTGGAAGCCGCTGTCTAATTATAGGCCATGAATCACCCGGTGTGTGTGATGTATTTCTTTTTAGAAGTCTATTTTCTGCCTTTCATTGTTTTGCCTCCAGTCTTCTGCTGCCTTTGAACGGCTCTGTGTACCGCAGCCAAAGTAAGTTGACTTTCGTGACTAATTAAAGGGTCCTGCGAGCCCAAAGAGCCCAGTCGTGGAAGAGCCGCTCCTGTCGGAGGTAGTGCAGTGGCCTCCAAATTGGATGGCTTCAAGAGAGGATCGGACTAGCCATATTAATTTGTATGCTGCTGAGGGGTTTACACAATTCAAAGTGTTGGTGCTGACCTTTGAAGCCCTAAACGGCCTCTGCCCAGTATACCTGAAGAAGCGTTTCCACCCCCATCATTCAGCCCAGACACTGAGGTCCTCCTCCAAGGGTCTTCTGCTGGTTCCCTCACTGTGAGAAGCAAAGTTACAGGGAACCAGGAAGAGGGCCTTCTCGGTAGTGGCACCCGCCCTGTGGAACGCCCTCCCACCAGATGTCAAGGAAATAAACAACTACCGGTATACTGACTTTTAGAAGACATCTGAAGGCAGCCCTGTTTAGGGAAGTTTTTAGCGTTTGATGTTTTATCAAGTTTTTAATATTCTGTTGGGAGCTGCCCAGAGTGGCTGGGGTATAAATAATAAATAATAATAATAATAATAATAATAATAATAATAATAATAATATATTACAAAACAAACAGACAAAGGAAAAACAATGCTGACATAAAAACTCTGCTCATATACTAAGCAAAAGAATGGAAGATCTCCCCGAGATCTCACAATGTCTGTGTCTCACACCTGTAGAAAGGACTCTGTGAATTGAAAACAGAGATGTTTTATGTTTCCTTAACTATAAACATCCTTTAATTAAAACTTTTATTTTTTTAATTGACAGATTCATAGACGCTGAGGCTATGAATGGCTTCTAGTGATGATGGCTAGGTTGTTCCTCCGGCCTCTTGAGGCAGTATTCCTCTGAAAACCAGCTGTTGGGAATCACAAGGGCAGAAAGAGTGCTGGAGGTACGCAGGGCGGTATATAATGAAACAGTTCTGCTAGTGCACAGATTTCCATTTGTGCAACAGAACTTGCACTGCAGAACTTCCCCTCTCTCTCCACGCAGCCTCCAAATCTGCTCTGGAGGGTCGGGGGGAAGACCCAGAACAGATTTAGGCAGCACATGGGGAGAAGGAAGGGAAGTTCTGTTGCACAGCCAAAAGTCAGTGTGCGAACAGAACTACTTTGGGGGACACTGCCCTCAGACCAGGGCCAGCACAAGACATTTTGGCACCTGAAGCGAACCACAAAATGCTGCCCATCCCCCATTGGTCAGGGAAGAAGGGGTGAGGGAAGGTCTACAATAGGGGGCTAAAGATCTGCATCAGGAACAAGGGTGGGAGGAGACAAGCAGCACCTTCTATTCACCAAGAGGTCTCTGTAAGGGGTGGTGTGGAGGATACCAAAGAGGCGGCAGATCTGGCCTCCAAGGAGCTTGCTGCAGATGTTGCTGCCATTGTGTTGGTGGCGGCAGCAGGTGATGCATTCCTCGGCGCCTGGATTTGCTGACCCTGTGGATCCTGCTGCCCAAGGCAGACACCTCACCTTGCCTCATGGCTGGGCCTGCCTGCCTCAGGCTCTGCTTGTGGGCTGTCCGTAGGCATCTGATTGGCCACTGTAAGAACAGAGCCCTGGCCTAGACGGGCCTTGAGTCTTCTCCAGTAGGACTCTTCTTGCATTCTTTCCTGGTGCAACTCTGTTGTCCAACTCTGTTCTCTGGTCACGGATCCTTCCAGTCGGCCAATGATAGCTCAGGGGCAGAACAGAGGATTTGCATCAGAAGGCCGCAGGTTCAAATCTCCTTAAAGCAGCAAACGGCCAGGGTTTGCTGCTCTTCACAAGCTGCAACATCCTCTAGGCAACCCTCTAGGATACAGAATCATAGATACATTAAAGGCAGTCTTCTCAAAGGGCAAGTTACTCTTGAATGCTCTCAAGACGGACTTTTGTCAAGCGTAGGCACCAAGCGTGCTTCTGGTTTCAATTATGAAAGAAGCAATCAGTCAGAAATGTGGGAAACATGACAGCAGAATGTAGGGCTAGGTCCATCTGATGATGGTTATGGCAGGGATAAGAGCGTCTGGGCAGAGATGGATCTTTCCAAGTGCCAGTAAGCATTTTGGGTGGTCTTGGCAGCACACCCACTACCTGTGGATTGTGGCGCTGCCACCTTTTCCAGAGTCTGACATGGATAAAGCTTTTCTCAGCATGAAGGAGGGGGGCGGGCTATGTTTGGGCTTTCTCATTATTTAACAGTTCCCTTACTCAATAGTTATTGTTGCCTATTCCACCAGCTTCCTTCAGCTGTCCTGCTTGGCTTCCTCCTTGGACCTTTTCTCACCCAACCTTTCAACTGCCACTCTTTGTGCTGCACGTCTGTGGAAGGTTCTCATCCCAGCCAAACTCGCGTTAGCCTCTTCCTTTGGCAAAACTGGACCGCGGGCATTCCGTGCCTCGTTGCTCTCTGAGCTGCTGGTTCCAAGTTTTCCTGTTGGCCAGGCAAGCTGACAATATTTCATTTGTTCTGCAGATCTGGACTGTGTACATTCTGTGCCTCGTTGCTCTCTGACCTGCTGGCTTGTTGCTGAGGTCACATCTTATCAGCCAGTCTGTGTCCTGTGACCATTGGGCCAATCCTTTTGTGATGTCCCTCAGCGCCAGCCCTTCTGTTGCCTCCTCCTCCTCTTCCTCCACTTTATATCGTATCTCTTTCCCACCCACCATTATCTTTCCAAATTATGCCAAAAATCCATCCGTTCCCTTACCTCCTATCAAGAGACAGCTAACTCATTCCTCCTTCCTTGTGTCTTTTCTCGTCCCTTGACTACTTTGGTCACATGATATTTTCTCTGAGCACACCTGCATGTCTCTGGGTCAATGGTGTCATTATTTTTTATTATTTTTTTGGGGGGGGGGGACTCAGCTCAGCCCTCCAGGAAAAAAAGAAGAATGCTCAGCTGTTATGAGAGGAGGGTGCACTTATGAATGAACAGCTGTGTAGAAACATGAAAGGAAAGGAGATAAGAACCTATTCTGCGCAGGTTGCCTGCTCTTTCAGGGCTCTTAATTGGTTAATGGAACTGGATTGCAGAAGTTCTGGCGTTGGCGGTGACCTCAGGATTGGGTTACAGCAATGCACTCTGGGTGCAGCTACCCTTGCGCTTGATAAGGAAGCTGCAGTTATGGAAGAATGCTGAGAGAGACACGATCACTGGCAGGAGTGGGACTCAGTCAGCTGTATGACTCCTTTGTGTAGAAATCGACACTAGTTGCCCATTGGCTAATGGGCAAAGTTCAAGGAGTTATCATTAGTTTATAATGCCCTTAACACAGAGGTTTTCAACCTTTTTGAGTCCATGACTCGGCTCCCTTGACCAACTACGTTCTTTTTGCGGCACCCCTGTGGGGCTCAGGAGCCCAGTTATGTCAGTTATATGGTGTAAACCACCGAGCCTCTTGGGCTTGCCAGTCGGAAGGTCAGCAGTTCAAAATTCAAAATATATCTTCAAAAGTACTGCAATATAAAAGAATGTTAGAAAGAGGTTGGAAAAAGAATACTAGGTCGTTCTGGTAGATATGATATAATGGACTAAGCAAAAATGAGTTGATGAAATTGATGAATTAGAGGAGGTTTAATCACATTACTTTAATTTTAAAATACGTAAATGAAAATAAGGTTAGAAGGATTTGCTGGAAACACGATCTGAACTAGAATACAAAACTGGGAGGTGAGAGGAGGTCATGGAAATAAGTAAAGGGAAAAGGCTATGTAAAGGTTTAATCTGTTTTTGTTTTATTTTAACTCAATGTATTTTTATATTTTTTGTTAAGTCTTCATTTTTATTGTATCTTATTGTTCTTTTTTACTTGTTTATTTCTTACTTTGTTATGGTTAAAGATTTCTTTGTATTTTGTACGGTTTTTCTTTTTCTTTTTTGTAACTTTAAATCTGGAATAAATATTATTAAAAAAAAAAAAAGGAAGGTCAGCAGTTCGAATCCCTGTGACGGAGTGAGCTCCCATTGCTCTGTCCCAGCTCCTGCCAACCTAGCAGTTCAAAAGCATACCAGTGGACGTAGATAAATAGGTACCGTTGTGGTGGGAAGGTAAACAGTGTTTCCGTGCGCTCTGGTTTCCGTCACGGTGTCCCGTTGTGCCAGAAGTGGTTTAGTTATGCTGGCCACATGACCTGAAAAGCTGTCTGTGGACAAATGCCGGCTCCCTCAGCCTGAAAGCGAGATGAGCGCCACCCCCCATAGTTGCCTTTGACTGGACTTAACCGTCCAGGGGTCCTTTACCTTTTACCCCTTGCCAGCATGCCTCTCACCCTTTTTCAAACACCCTTCCTTGTGGAGTGTCTCCTCAGCCTCCTCTCCCCTCTCCTTGGGAGTCCTCTAGGCAGCCACACATGCCGCCTCTGGTCTCTGAGCCCTGCCCACCTGCCCCAAAGATTGGTGCCTCCTCACACTGCCCCACAGGGGCCTGGGAAGCACCCCCTGGCCAGCCACAGAGGCACAATTCGCCTGTGGAGCTTGTAGCCAGGGCTACTGCAATAAACAACTGTGCAAGTCTTTGGGAGGCAGACACATGAGAGGGCATCAGAGGCCAGTGTTGCCTGCGGCACCATCATTCAAAGCACCCCAGGGTGCCACGGCACACAGGTTGAAAACAACTGCCTTTACACCTTGAGACCAGTTTGCCTGCAGGCCTGCCTTACCCCATAATGTGTCCGTTTGACCTTTTCCCTTCACAGAACTGGCAGTGTTGCAGCCGTTGCTTCTTAATACTCGTTCTGCATCTGTTAGTAATCAGTCTTTTAGTGTGGCAGCTCCTCCACCTTGGAACTCCCTGCCTCTTGACACCAAGCAGGTCCCTTTGCTGTACTCTTTGCTGTGGGACCTGCTTAAAACATTTCTGTTTAAGCGCGCTTGTACAAAAAGCTGCTGTTGACATTCTTTAGAATGTCTTAATTTTTAACTCTTTTTTAAATGAGGGTTTGAATGTTTTAATGTTTTGCAAACCACTTAAGCACTTTCTTACAACCAAGCAATGTATACATTTTGTAAATAAAAACTTCGTATTTTTAGGGTCCATCTAGCTCATTATTGCCTGACTTGTCAGTGGGTCTCTCTTGCCCGACCTGAAGATGCTGGGAATTGAAACTAGAATCTTCCGCCTGTGAAGGACGAGTTGCTCAGATGGATCGCCTTTGCCATTGTTTTGATGCCGTGGGCGTTCAAACTTTGAATGCCTTCGGAGAAAGCCTTTCTCCATTAGCCTTCACCTCTGCCACAGAATTCTTGCACGTTCTAAGGCACACACAGAATACCTGCGGCACATGACAGAATACCCCTTTTCTTTTGGCCATATCTGCCACTTCTCTGATAATCCCTGATAAGCTTCTGAAAAAGCCCATGAGTTTTCTCCAAGACATGCTTTGAAAACCTCAGCTTTTTAATGGACAGGTTACTGAACAACAAAATGCACTGAAATTTAATTGGGATGGTCTCCGCTTTAGATATATCTTAGTGAACTGCACAAGTTGTAGCCGTTTTCAAAGATACCGTGTGAATTTGCGTAATAGGACAAAGCACTTATTCTAAAGGAGCGGCTGGCGGGGGGGAGCATACTTTGGTTGTATTCAGCTAAGTGCCATTCATGAGTAACCTACTGGAATAAATGGGCATATGTTAGTTATGCGTATCAATTTCAATGCGTCTGTTCTGAGTCGAACAACTTCGGATACACCCGTTTGCATTTTGTAAGGCGGTGCACACAGAGGCATAATCTCAGAAATGGTATTCCCTGTTCTCTCTCTCTCTCTCTCTCTCTCACACACACACACACACACACACAGATACACGGAAATGTTTTTTTTCTGACGGAATATTGCTATTTGCAGTTTGCAGAAGTTGGAAGGTGAGAACCCGTCTGTGGTCTGGTCTTCCAGAAGTTGTTGGACTTCCAACTCCCATCAGTCCCAGCCAGCAGTACCAGTAGTCAAGGAAGATGGGAACTGTAGTTCAACAGCACCTGGCCACATCCTTGTCTCAAGCGCTCCATACATCAACATAAAAGCTAATCTGTTCACCGTTCAGTTGAGAGATCCTTATATGCCGTCTGTTTTCAATTGCTTGATCAGTGAATTGGGACAGCAGTTTCAAGGTTGCATTTCTGAGATTACCTGAGAATTAGCAGGACTAACTTGAGTGCTGCATAGTTTTTATGTCTGATGTTTTATTATGTTTTTATACCTGTTGGAAGCCGCCCAGAGTGGCTGGGGCAACTCAGCCAAATGGGCAGGGAACAAATAATAATAACAATCATAATAGCCACAAGAATCCAAGTCCATCACCAATGTCCTTCGCTTTCTGAGCCTTTTTGAGCTCCTTCAGAAAATGCTGTAACTTTTAGAGGAAGAAACAGTTCCCTGTTTTCTTTTCCCCGTTTCCAGTACTGTATAGACTTCTAAATATGTCAGGCATGTGGAAGGTTAGAAGGAGAAGAAAAGGGAATTTATTTGAGCAGCAGATGAGGATTGGTCATGATTATGTGGTTTGTTTTTTTCCTATAGAGAAGCGTTATCTGTCATTTTTATTTCTGTACTTAGTGACAGCTTTGTTCGGGTGCTTTATAGAGATAGCAGAAAGCCAGAAAGACAGGTGTCTGCCCTGGAGCAAATGTGGGCCATGCAGAGTGTGGATTGGAGAAAGAGATAAGAGGTTTAAAGATAATCAAGCAAAGTAGGGGAGGAAATCCTCTTAAGTATTTATATGTGAACCTGCAATCCTGTGTGTATTTACATGGAAATAAGAATCTCTGTTCAATGGGATCTACTCTCAAAGTCCGTGTACACAGCATTGCATTACTTGCAGGGGATGAGAATGTGGAGGCTGATGCAGAGAATGGCAACATGTGCAAATGGCTTTAGATACCTATTAAGTCCATAAATTACCATATAGCAGGCACCCCCAAACTTGGCCCTCCAGATGTTTTGGGACTACAATCCCCATCATCCCTGACCACTGGTCCTGTTAGCTAGGGATGATGGGAGCTGCAGTCCCAAAACATCTGGAGGGCCGAGTTTGGGGATGCCTGCCATATAGCATATATTCAACACAAAAAACAGAGACTACCGTATTTTTCGCTCCATAAGATGTACCTAGTTTTTAGAGGGGGAATGCAAGAAAAAAAATATTCTTTAAAGGGAGCGCTGAGCAGAGCCTGTATGCATCCCAGTCTCTGCTCAGCGCTCCCTTTCACAAGCCACGTGGAGCGTGTTTGTGGCTCTTGGGGGCTTTTCCCTGAGGAGGGAGAAGGGGCTGCCCTCTGTCCCTTCCCCCACCTCCCGCAAAAGCTAGCAAGAGCCGCGCTCCCTTGTGGAGCGTGTGTGCAGTTCTTGGGGTCTTTTCCCTCCTGCCTCCTGCCTGCATTCGCTCCATAAGAAGCACACACATTTCCCCTTACTTTTTAGGAGGGAAAAAGTGTGTCTTATGGAGCGAAAAATACGGTATTTGTTGTTGACAAAGGACAGTTGGACATATAAAGGGCCCCATTACCTTCAGTAGCTTAGGGCCTCATCAAACCTAAATCTGGCCTTGACTATGGCAATTACATACTGCTGGACTAATGAATGTATCCTAGTGGGAACAGAGCACAGGTATAATAAGCATTAATGCAACTGCTGGAGTCTCCCATTATTATTTTTTTCTGACTGCAAAGGACCAGCACAGAGATGGGCAAAGCATCAGATGGATAAACGCAAAGGCCGCTAGGCCAACACCTTCGGTTATGTCTTAGGTGGAAGTGGGATTACTTCCCCCAGCAATTTAAAAAATCATAATCTGCATCTGTGCACACAAATGAGCATAGGAAATGTTGCAAATATCTTTCTCCTTTAGTCTTTGCTGTGCGTTCCCTCTTCTCCTTTTTGTGTGGCTATAGTGGGCCCACTGCTTCTTCCTGAGATGTGCACAGAGTTGTACAGTTGTGATGTTGGCAAATTCCTGATCTCCTTTACCTTACTAGTATCAGACTGCTAGCCTGGTTCCCTTTGCAATGTGCCTTAACTGAAGAAGAGGTGTGTTAACAGGGAAAGCGAGGGTTTGGTGTTTGAGGGCCATGTCTCCCTTGTTTTGAGCATGATTTGAAGGAACTGAGAGAGGTGGGGGGGAAGGAATCCAGGTGTTCTGCAAAGGAGTCATTTTTCTGGTATGTTTGGAACAGTTCATAGCAATCAGGGGTGGGGTGGGATTGGAGGATAGAATACTGTTTATATATTTAAAAATGAAATGGAATAGACACAATACATTACTGTACAGTAGTTTATCCTTCTTAATGATGCTCTAACACAAATGAAACATAGTGGCATTTTATAAAAATGAATATGATGGGTGGAGTGCTCAAATTTTATAATTATTGCCAAAATTTAAACCTAAAATGAGAGGGAGAGGGTCAGGCTGGAAGCCACAGCTGGTGACCCCGGGATCTCCACCCTTCCTTGTTTGCAGACCTAAGTGGTGTGAACGCCCCTAGTTTCTGATCCAAAGCTGGACGCAACTGGTGTGAGATAATCTGTTTGTTCAGATGCATCCTTCATTCCACTGTTTTCTTCATTTATCATCATTTGGTAGCTGATGTGCAATGTGTTGGTGTACATACAGTTTATGATTTGAGACCTGGGCCAAAGAAGTGTCACTAAGCTGTTGTCCATTTGTCATGGCAAGAATTGAGAAACTCCCTAACAGCGGCAGAGGATTCTCGTAAATAGAAGGGCAGCTGAAAAGATTCCGGGATCCTATAGTGCATATGGTGCAATTTATGCAGGTTTCTGGAAGGTGGGGCTGCGGGGGGAGGGGGCTTCTAAGGAATTTGGGGAGTGATAGTGAGAAAGGATTCAGTTTATACATTACTGAAGTGGACAACTTCACCAGAACATCAGTATCTTTTGAAATATCAATACTGTACTTAAATTTCATCCAGCTCTACAATTTTATGAGTCTATGTTTAAGGAAATAGAGTCATCCGTTACCCTATATAAATATGATTTAAAAAACTTCAGAAAGATGTGCTGTTCTGTGCAAAGTGATCTCTTATAGTGGAGACATAGCAGGGTGGCAAAGGCTGGCAAAGAGACCCATCCAAAATGCTTCCAAGATTGAGGAACCAGAGACGTCACAATTTCTGAGGTAGCAGAAAGGGAGGCAAACGTTCACGCTACAGGTGGTGGATTTGCTTTTGAAAGTCTCCCTGCTAGTGGGGAAAATAAAATCAAGTAACTATAAGCTCCTGAGAGGGAGTCCAGCCCTATTCCCTATATTTGCTAGTTTTTCTTTTACGATTTCCTACCCTCTCCCCGCATTTTAAAAAAATGGCATCTCCACCTGAGTTTGGAAGTAGCACAATCCATTCCGGTAAATGTACAGACAAGGCCTCAAATCTCTATGGCAACGGGGCTGGCCTTTTCGAGGTGCCCAAATACCCATTGTCTTTCTGTTAATTGGTAACTCTGGCTCTCCCGCTGAGGCGCTGAGAATGTTTGACCAAGCAGGGGACGGCATGAGGAAAGAGGCAGCCATTGACATGCCACCTCCTCTGGCTGAAGCCAGGATGCCTCTGGGTTCCAGCTGCTTTGGGATCGCAAGTGGGGAGAGGGGGCTGTTGCTCTCGGGCCCCCCTTGCCAAGCCTCCCACAGGCATCAGGCTGGCCTGGGTGAGACCAGGATGCTGGACCAGGCAGGGCCAGCCCACCCATGAGGCAAGGTCCGGCGACTGCCTCAGGTGGCAAGATCCACAGGGGCAGCAGATCCAGCCCACGAGAAAGGCATTGCCCGTGGCTGCCGCTTCCTTGGCAGCCTCCATCCCAATGCTACCTCTGCTGCAGCTGCTTGGTGAATAGGGGCTGCCCTCTGGGGTCCCCTGGGCTCTGCCCCTGCCTGGCATAATTCAGAGCTGGCCCTGATCCTTCCTCCACATTGGTCTTTGATTCCTTTTTTTTAAATATACCTTTTATTTTTTACATATCAGTTCCAACAGTCTTACAACACAACTTCTCATCTTATACAATATTTTAGACTTCCGTCAACACCCCTGATGATTTTCCGTTCTTTATCACTTATTCTTCATTTCTTAATTTCTGTATTACATTTAATTGTCCTTAACTAATAATTCTCTTCATAGTCTTTCTTGCAGTATTTCAAATAATCCACCTTACAAAACTTCTTGCAGTCCTACTAGTGTAATCTGTTCATCACAATTACTTTTCAAATAGTTCATATATTTACTCCAGTCTTCTAAGAATCTCTGATCCCGCAGGTTTCTAATCCTTCCTGTTAATTTATCTAATTCAATGGTGTTTGATTCTTACGTGAACCTTCGGGTAAAGTTCCCGATGTAGATCTTCATTGTCTCCTTGTTCCTGATGTAGATCTTCACTGCCCGCTTTTTCCTTGGCCTGAGGAGGACCAAGAGCCGTTTTTCGGTTTGCCTCAGCTGCTGAAATATCTCAGGCTGGATCTTTGGCTCTTCTTACATTGATGTGCTTCTGTGTCGCCCAGGGCATTTCCTCCAAGTTGCAGATGTGCGAACCCACAGGCCCCGAATCACTGTCGACCTCTGTTCTGTTCTGCACCCGCCGACCCCCCATGTTCAAAGTTTAGCTCAAAACATGGGCAGTTAAATATTTGAAGAGCAATTCAGAGTCTCCAAAGGGGTCCGTAGCAAAACCTGTATAGCTAGAACAAGGGCAGAACATGTTTGCTCAATGGGTTACCAGTTTACGTGGGCCGCTGCGACTGAAGTAAGCCGCTCACTTTCTTGGAACATGAGCAGGCAGATGCAGCCTATTAATCTCTCGTGTGCTATTACATTCATTATATCGTTGCTGCATTAACTATGTTGTAAACTGAGCTGTGGCCTTTTGATAAAGAGTGGCATATCCCAAATAAATCTACTGCTGCCAACCCACAGATTTGGCTTAGGGGCAGAAGATGTTTAGAGCACACGAAAAAATGTGGCTGGGCCCAGCTACAGTGGCAAAGTAGGGAGTCACAAAAAATCTAGAGGTGACAGACAGATGGATAGATACAGGTTGAATTGATCTACTTTCCCCTCCTCTAACGTGCATTTAGAGGTGGGGAATAAATATTATAAACCATTGGTGGCATTGCCCATGGATACAGGGGTAGGGCTTGCGTACTAATGACTAAGGTGGAGCGAAATGATGTAACAGCCGACTTAACAGAAATGAAACAAATAAGTGTTCCCGTGAATTGCTTGTTGACAGAAATGTCCCATTGTTCTGCAGTTCACAAGAAGGCACAACATGTGCGTAAGGGAACATAGGCTTTCTGCTGAAAATCTATTATTAAATAGTGGTGATGCACGGGTGATTTGTTTTCCACCTGGGTGTGAAGAGGAGAGATTATATTATCTATTTGGATTGATTATAGAGACAACTCTACAGAGCTCTGAGTAATGCGCCTGAATGCCAGTTTCTGGAAACAACAGAAGAGGAAAGTATCCCTTGGTTCATGTCCTGCTTGGTGATTTCCCACAGACATTTGGCTGATCCCTGAAAGAACAGGCTGCTGGTCCAGATAGGTCATTGGCCTAGAGAGCATTGTGACTAAGCAGTGTATAAACCTTTCAAAATGAGCAAAATAAAGATGCAACTGTCTCTTCAGGAATAAAAACCAGCCCAAGAACCAAGAGGACTCTTTGCGTTACGACCATTGTATCAATATTGGCTTCTGAAAGGGGCCTTGTATAGGACTTGGCATCTATTAGACAATACACCAGTGTGTGATATCAGGCCTGTAGTTGCTTTTCACGAGAATTAAAAATGTAAAAGTTTAGTTACTACATAGAAATGCCTTGGTAAAAATTATTGCAAGAGCTGTCTAAGTGGAGACCCAACGGCGTTTTCGCAGTTTCTGAAGGTTTAACTAAAAGGTATTTGCAAATCCTGTGGACCGTAGCCAATATGAATTTCACCACAGGCCGCTCTAATCAAATGATATATGTTTCATCCCTGCCAGAAATTAAATGGATGGCTGCAGCACACTCTACGTGGGCCTGCCTTTCCAAGAGTGTTTGGAAATTTTCAGGTGTTTTGAAATGCAGCTGTTGGCCTCATAAGTGTGGCTCGCTGAGAGGAAAGAAGAACTCGCTCCAATATTGTTCCCAATGTCATTGGTTTCCAGTTAATTTTATTCAGAAGGCTTATAGGCTGCTCTCCAGCAACCTCAATAAAGAATGGTGCTTTAAAAAAGCAGAAATTGCAAAATTCGAAATTTAATACATGGCGCGCCACAAGGTGCAAAAGCTCTCATCATATCACTGTAGAAATACAACTGAAATGACCACATCTTGCAGCTTCTCCCCACCTGGGGGAAGGGCTGTAGCTCAGTGGTTGAGCATCCACTTTTGTGCCCAGAAGGTCCTGGGTTCAATTCACGGCATCCCCACGTAGGACTGGGAGGCATTTCCTGGCTGAAATGCTGTAGAGCCACTTCTTGTCAGTATAGATGGTCTCTATCAGTGTAAGACGGTGAGGTGTGCTCCAGCAGAGCCAATGGGTCAGGGATGATGGGAATTGTGGTTGAAACCATTGGGGCAGGGGCACCAGGCTAGGGAAGGCTGACATATTGCTCCCCTGTTTATCCTTGCCAGAACTCCTCCCCATGAATCCCGGAAGGCCATTTTGTCCAAGCCACGCTCATTTGCCCTTTATCTGTTGCCCTATCTATCACCACTACAGGCAGCATCTGAGCTTAGGAACTTCCTGCCTCTCGATTTCAGACAGGCGTCTTAATTGTACTCTTTCAGATGCCTGCTTATAGCATTTTTGCTTAAGCCAGCCTATTCAAACGTGTAGGTGCTGATGTGTTTTGATCTCTTTTACTGTTACACACACACACACACACACACACACACATACACACATATCATAAGCATATGTACAAACACATGCTTTCATTTATTTTAAAATGTTTTTAACTGTGATATATTTCTCGTAAACCACTTAAGAGGGGTTTTTTTTAACTACAATCCAGCGCTATATAAATTTTGTTAAATATATGATGTTGGATGCAGGACCTAAAGGGAGTTCGTAGATGCCCCTGCAAAGTCCTGTGCAGTGCTTTGCCAGCACCAACAACCAAACAGGCCTGAGATTCCCTGCTGCTTCTCTAGTTAACTGCTTCTCTCTTGCTCAGTGGCTACCTCACTAGCTCAGGGGTAGCCAACTTAGCATCTTCCAGATGTTTTTGGAGGACAACGCCCATCATTCCTTGACCATAGGCCACACTGGCTGGAGCTAGTAGTCTAACCACATCTGGAGTGAGAGCACTTTAGCTTCCTTTGATCTTGCTCTTTATACATACAGTGGTACCTTGGGTTAAGAACTTAATTTGTTCTGGAGGTCCGTTCTTAACCTGAAACTGTTCTTAACCTGAAGCACCACTTTATCTAATGGGGCCTCCCGCTGCCGCCGTGCCGCCACCGCACAATTTCTGTTCTCATCCTGAAGCAAAGTTCTTAACCCAAGGTATTACTTCCAGGTTAGCGGAGTCTGTAACCTGGAAGTGTCTGTAACTTGAACCTGAAGCGTCTGTAACTTGAGGTACCACTGTACAGTGGTACCTCGGGTTAAGAACTTAATTTGTTCTGGAGGTCTGGTCTTAACCTTAAACTGTTCTTAACCTGAGGTACCACTTTAGCTAATGGGGCCTCCTGCTGCTGCCGCGCCGCCGGAGCACGATTTCTGTTCTCATCCTGAAGCAAAGTTCTTAAACCGAGGTGTTATGTACTGAAGTTCTCACCCTGGGCCAGCAGGGGGATACTGTAGATAGTTATGCAAATAAGGGATTGAAAGTGACGTTCAGTGATTGGATAGTTTTAGAAAATTGTTACAGTTACGTTGTACTGGAGCTCTATATAAGCAGGCTGACTGAACCCTTCAGTTCAGTTCTGTTCTGGCCTGTGAATAAACAAGAGCTGTTTGAAGAATCGCTGTGTCGTCTGATATGTTCACCCACAACTTAACACGAGGTACTACATCCAGGTTAGTGGAGTCTGTAACCTGAAGCGTATGTAATCCGAGGTACCACTGTATTTGGAATTGTAGACTGGACGTGTGGAAGGGGGGGAGCAGGACTGTGTCCTCTGCACCTGCCCCTCTGACGGCTGTGTGCTGACCATCTGCTTCCAGGCATATTCGGTCATGGCATGAAAACCCTGACCGTGCAGGAAATGAGTGGTATTTTTCTGACGGCAACATGACATTTGTTTCCTTTCCTTCTCATTTCCTTTTGGCTGCCATTTATAGGGGACTCCATTAGTGCTTACCCTCACACGTCAATTCTGAGGATAATTGCTCTTCTACATATGGTAGATCAGAAGGCGATTCAAGTTTGCAGCATGCTAGCTGCTGAATGAATAAGCAGGCGACTGTCTTCTTTCGTCAGATTTTGCTACAAAGGGTTTCCTCCCGGTATTTGCGTCTTTTGATTTTGCCCAGGTACGGTCTTTCAACAGGTTTGATGCTCACACTAATAATTGCCTTCAAAGCGTTCTGCAAACCGCAGAGTTATTTATTTATTTTAATGGATTTTAATTACGTTGTGCAGTTTTGTGATAATTTATTGCTTTAGAAATGCATTTGTATTGGCCAGTTCCTTAACTCTTTCGCCTAATTGTTTTGAATTTAGTTGGGGAATATGGGCTTCATTGACTCTTGATTAATCTTTTCTAAATACGTTTGCAGCAGGAGCACATAATATCAGAAATGTAGCAGCACAAACAGCTTTAGAGTTTTTAAAATAAATTGCTAAGAAGTGGTGTTGGCATGTTCTGTAGATTCCCCTGTTGAGGACAACGCAAAGTACTGTTAGAGATTTTGGGCTAAACCCTAGAAATTAATAAATGCTAGGATTTGGGGTTCTTTGTGATATGCAGGGAGAATACATACTGCCTGAGAGGATTCCTGGGCTGCCTTATGCAAACCAGTCTTGCTGGCATGAGGGAAGAGCAAGTGTTACAATAGAGAGACGTTGAGGGTAGTCAACAACTCCTTGTCCCAGGTAGGACCAGAGACTGGAGATTTGGGAGGTTGCCAGGGTAACTGCTCTGAAGGCGGGCAAGAGGCTTCTGGGAAGAAGAAAGGGAGAGATCCATCTTGGGGAGGGTGAAGGAAGGACTGCCTGCGATGCTCTGGGCCATGCTGTAAGATCTGGACCCCCTCCAAGCAGACCGAGGGTGTAAATAATAATAATACTAATAATAATAATAATAATAATAATAATTATTATTTATTTATTTATACCCCGCCCATCTGGCTGGGTTTCCCCAGCCACTCTGGGTGGCTTCCAATAAAACACTAAAATACAATAACCTATTAAACATTAAAAGCTTCCCTAAACAGGCGAATAAACCCTATTTCTTAAAGCATGACGGTCTCCACCGTGTCTTCTATTCTCCAAAGGGACACAGATCCTGTGTTGGTGCCTGAGATCCCATGCACTCTTGCCACAGCTTGGCAGAGAGAGGGGCAGGTGCTGGGCTTTTGCAACAGTACGTTGGGAATGAGTTCTAAAATTCCCTGGCCTTTCAGTATTCTGAGAATGGCCATTGCTATTTTGTTCGGCATCTAGGGTGTCTGTAGACTGTTGGTGTGGGTTTTTTTGTTTTTTGGTGAGAGGGATTACAGTGCATTCCTGGAGATTTAGGGTTAGCAATAAAAGTGGATTGAAGCACTGTGATGTCCAAGGACAGCAAAAACCCGCATTTTAAAAAGGAAACAGACTTTTATCAGTTAGGAAAGTGTCAGGGAAATTCATTGAAAAGTGTAGAGTGAATACAGTGGTACCTCTGGTTAAGAACTTAATTCGTTCTGGAGGTCCGTTCTTAACTTGAAACTGTTCTTAACCTGAGGTACCACTTTAGCTAATGGGGCCTCCTGCTGCCGCCTCACAATTTCTGTTCTCATCCTGAAGCAAAGTTCTTAACCTGAGGTACTATTTCTGGGTTAGCGGAGTCTGTAACCTGAAGCGTCTGTAACCTGAAGCGTCTGTAACCCGAGGTACCACTGTAAATGAAGGGAAGACGTATTAAACATCATGTAGGCAAATCAAGATAAATGCCCTCTGTGCAATTTTCCTGCAAAGAGATTGCAGCGAATGCTTTATAAAGATTGGGCATAATCTAGCCGTCGAAGCATATACCACGTCTAGCAGTTGTGGCTTCCTCCAAAGGTTCTTGGGAGCTGTAGTTTTTAAGGGTGTGGAGAGTTGTTATAAGAGCTACAGTTCCCAGCACCCTTAACAAACTGCAATTCACAGAATTCTTTGGGGGAAGCCATGTGACTCAAAATCTGGATGATGCTGAATAAACAAGAGCAAATTTTGAATTTGCCTCAGGCAGCAAAAACTCTTGGACCTGCCTTTACGACGGGTGTGATGAGCAGTCTTGAAACCCCTGTATCCCTTGCTATTGAAACTGTCACATTGAGCGTATTTCAGTTGAGCTGTGCGGAATGGTTGTACGCCCACCCCAACTCCCTGAGCAGTGGTAATTTGTAAGGAACGCGCTTACTTGGGTTTTGTGTTTCTTTGTACGAAAAATATCAATGAAGACTTAATGTCATCTTGCAATACTCAGTACAGCCATATCTTGGTTCGCAAACGCCTTGCAAGTCAAATGTTTTGGCTCCCGAATGCCACTAACCCGGAAGTGAGTGTTCCAGTTTGTGGACGTTCTTTGGAACCCGAACATCTGACGCGGCTTCCGTGGCTTCCGATTGGCTGCAGGAAGCTTCTGCAGCCAATCGGAAGCCACGCCTTGGTTTCCGAACATTTTGGAAGTCGAACTGACTTCTGGAACAGATTCCGTTTGACTTCCAAGCTACCACTGTATAGATGAATCTGTATACGTGTTTGTGTTTTGTGTATGCATGCACACAAACGACCCATTAGCAGAGACAAGCAAGAGACACTCCTACTAGGGAGCGGATCCACTACCCCACATTAGATCCTCAAGGAGGAAGGTGCTCCTTTTCCAAGCCTGCCAAATGCTTTTACTGGAGGAAAGTGGGATGTTTCACCTTTCCCACCCTAACATTTCTGAGAAATCTGTGAATCAAAACTAGCCTTCCCGCAATTGGCCTCAACAAAGAAGCAGTGAATGGTCATCGTGGGCCATTAAAAAAAACCACCCACCCACCCTATCAATGTTCTTTTGTGAGATCTCAGACTTTGATCTGCCTTCTCTTTTTAAAGGAAAGCCACTGTGTGATAGAGCTGGTTCTTGGACAGCAAAGCTGCAACAATGCTCTGCTTTTGTGCCGCTTTTCTGAATGAATTTGGCCTTGTTTCCTAGGGGGAAACTTGCAGCAGTCTTGATTTCTGCATCTTTGGCTTGTCGGACTGACTAAGCCTCTGTTCATTTTGAGGGGTGCCTTCTGGAGAGGGCAGCGGGTGGGTCTAAGCTCTCCCCCAACCTGCATATAAGAATGTGACTCATGCAGGTTCCTATATTCACTAGTATGTATGACAACAAGAGACGGTTTTAAACAATTAAAAGGGGCTTGGCATGCAGACCAAAGGCCTGTGTCCCAGGGCTTAAAAAAGGAGAGTGACTCTTTGACTTGTCTGGCGGTGTTTCTATATAAAGTCTGAGTGTATAAAAGGCAGCAAATTGAAACGCTTTTAAAATATGCTGCTTTTAAAGGCAGTGCCAAGCGCAGGCCTCTGAACCTTGTGATTCTCCTTCCATGCTGCACACGCCTTTCCTCTCTCTGCCCCCCCACCCCATGCACACACTAAAATCTGGAATAATTTGCAAATGGGGAATTGCTACATTTTCCATTGGGGGTGGGGGGTAAGGTAATGGCTTTTGTTTAGACCCCTGTTTCACTTGACGGGCAGTATTACAGTTGCAGCATCCCGCGCATGAAACAGACTTTCGATTGTGCAAATGGGACTTCTTCCCTTCTCCCCCTGTGTGTCCCCAAAATCTCCTCTGGAAGGTTGAGGGACCCTCTGGAGCAGATTGTGGGGAGGTGTGGGGTGGCGGGGCAGGGGGAGAAGAGGGAACAGGCTATTACATCTGCCGGTGGGACTCTGAACCTAGCCCATTATAAATCCAACTGATCTTTCTCTTTGAGAGAGTGGTTAGAAATTACAAGCAGGTTTTATTCTAAAGCGTTTACTTATCTGCTGGAAGCAGACTTGGAAAGGAGGCTAATGCAGCAATGTCATCTTATCACAGATTTCCTAGTAATTTGCTGTTTGGGGTTGTGAGAAGCTTAATCTGGCTACGCAAGTGTGGCGGCTTTGAGCTGATCTCTCTCTATCTTGCACCTCCCACAGCCAAAGCAAGTTCACTCAAGTCTCACTCCATGACATTGTCTGCTCTTATCACCACTCATTAGGAACGTGACTAGGACCCAGGAATGCTGAATGCCAGGTTCTGTCCACCCCACCCACAAAAAATCATGATTGCATTTTTTTATTTTATTTGGTTTGGTTTTGGTTTTTTGGGCCTTTATGCAGCTATTAACTGAGACCCCATCCACACAGTACTTTTAAAACACCCATTGCTCGGTCCCTGCTCCTGCCAACCTAGCAGTTCGAAAGCACGTCAAAGAGCAAGTAGATAAATAGGTACCGCTCCGGTGGGAAGGTAAATGGCGTTTCTGTGTGCTGGTCTGGTTCGCCAGAAGTGGCTTAGTCATGCTGGCCACATGACCTGGAAGCTGTACGCTGGCTGCCTCAGCCAATAAAGCGAGATGAGCGCCACAACCCCAGAGTCGGTCACGACTGGCCCTAATGGTCAGGGGTCCCTTTACCTTTACTTATAGCAGTCATGGCTCCCTCCTCCCCAAGAATCCTGGGAACTTAATTCCCCTCCTCCAAGCTACAATTCCCAGCACCCTTAAAAACTTCAGTTCCCAAGATTCTTTCAGGGGGAAGCCGTGACCGTTAAAGCGTTATAAGAAGGACTTTAAAATGTACTGTGCGGGTTGTGGCCTCGTGCTGGGAATTTAATATGGGAATATTAGTTTGCACATGCACTATACATTTAAAGCTGTATCATGCTACTTTAAACAGCTGTGGCCAAAGAGTTATGGAAGCTGGAGTTTGTTAAGGGAGCTGAGAGTGGCTAGTTAGCAGATCCCTATTCCCCTCACACAACTAAATTCCAGAGTTCCCCCGGGGAAGAGGGATTGCTTGTTAAAGCGCTCTGAGAAACTCGATTTAGAAGGCATCAAACCAGGTGTGACTGGCTGCTTCGGGGGTGTCTCTCAGGCATGTTGAAACAGAAACAGGACACCTTTCCAAATGGTCCATTTGACAGGTGCTGAGATTAATAGGGGACATCTGTAGAAACTCCAGAAGCCCTGCAGCTGATCACTGTCGTATGGAGGAGGGGGAAGACCCCCCCCAAATGGAGAGAGCTTGTGCTTATTTCTTCCCTTCCCCTCCAGCATTCCCCGAGTGAGAGATTCCTTAAACCGCTTCCCTTTGGCGTTTTGCAGAACCCTCCTCTTGCTTATCTGTGATAGATCACCGGGGCAACCGTTTTCCAGACCGATAATTGTGCATCTTGCAGTATAGGGGAAACAACTGGCCTGCTTCACAGTTCAAGCTGAAGTTGAGACGTGCTAAAGCAGAACCGCTGTAAATACCCTGGATTAGGGACAGGGAACCTTTTTCCAACTGAGGGCTGCATTCTTCCTTCTAGACACCTTCCAAGGGCCACATCTGGTGGCCGGCAGGGCTGGAGGAAAGGAAACTTTACCCTTTTACCTAATTTCCTCACTCCCTCTTGCCCCCCCTCATCCTCCATCAAGAGAAGCAAGAGTCATTGTCAGAGTTCAGGGAGGCAGGCCAGCCAGGTGAAAACCCTCAGGGATGTTGCAAAGCAGGCCAGGGAGGGAGTGTGGCCTCTGGAGAGTCCCGAGGGCCAGAAAGTGAGGTGCTGAGGGCCGCATTGAGGTTCTCCACCCTGTCTTGGGGCCAGGGCCGTCTTAAGCATATCCGGCGCCGTGGTTGAAAGATCCCTCCAACGCCACGCCCCCTTTCCCAGAGTTGTCGACCTTTCCCCAAGCCTCTGTGGGGATCGCTCTCCTCCTGCGGAGGCTTGGGAAGCAAGCTGCACGCCCGCCAGCCATATGGTTGGCGGGGCACAGCTGGTGGGCATTTAGGGAAAGGGGAGGCCGCCGGCAAAGCTGCGCAGCTCCCCCACTCGCTGAGGCGCCCCTGAGAGGCCAGCGCCCTGGCGCAATGTGCCAGTAAGCCCAATAGGAAAGACTGTTCTGCTTGGGGCCTCTGAACAGGTTTTTTTTGTGTGCCACTGTGGCCGATGGTCTCATGCCCCTCTGTTCTTCAGTCTCCTGCAGGTGCCTCAGTGCATTTGGAAAGGCGCTTCTGTTCTGTTTAGCCACTTGGAGGCAGTCCCTAAAAACTGCTCTGCAAACGTCTGCCTTCCTTCTAAGGATCCTGTGCCTACCAATGTCTCCTCTGTCGCTTTTATTTTTGTGTGCTGTCTCTTCTTTCCTTCTCTCCTGCATGTAAGCCTCACTCGACTGACCGTAAGCCTGAGGGCAGTGGGGCCTGTCTCTTTTTTTGCTTTCTGTGTGAAGCCAGGGATGTCAGAAGGCAGCGGCTTCCATCCCAACCTGTCTTTGTCACAACCTCACTTTTTCCATCCTGCCGAAGTTTGGTTTCTGGCAAATCCTGCATCCTTCATCTTGCTGCCTCTCTGTTTAATGTAACTTAGGTAATTATGTGAGTTATGAATCTGAAGCAATTAATGGTGCAGTTATTTCCACGCCGCTCATTTCAGTGTAAGCAAAATGTCAAAACAATAATTGTGTCCCCCCCCCCCCAAGTATTTAATTGCATATTGGCTGCGGACTTTAAAAAAACAATGTGAGCAAATACTGATTGTGTCAGTCGGATTGATTTCCGCTCCAGACCTGGGACGAAAACGTGGGCAGCAGCAATTTCTTCTTCCCTTTCCATTTGCGATGAAATTCTTTGACGTCCCTGTGTGAAGTACCTAGTCCTATTAAGCATTCTAGAAATAGTAGTATCTGAACCATTGCTGGGGAATCTTAGCTTACAGCTTCTGTTCGCTCGTCCCTTCCAGAACTCTACAGTTCTTTTGTTCCTCTAGACTGAAAGCTCATTTTATCCTTTACTCCCTACTCACAGGACAAATGGGGTCATCAAGCAAAAACCAGATCTACCTTGTGACAGGTGGCTGCGGTTTTCTGGGGAAAAATCTGGTCCAGATGCTTCTGAAGGAGGAGCCTGGCCTTGCAGAAGTGCGCGTCTTTGACTTGCACCTCGATGAAAGCATGCGACACCTGGATAGAGGTAAGATGCCCATTCTCCTGGGTCACTCTTTCCTGTTCCTGCAGAGGTGTGGGTGTGGATTCCACTTCCCCGAGGGTCTTGCACAGAATGGGCAAATACATTTTGAGAGCGTCTCCAAAAATCTCTCCAGAGAAATGCCCAACTGGCCGTGTTAAAGGCTATAGGGGAGGATGTCGGGGCGTATCCCCCAACATTTCTCCAATGAAAATAGGGGCATCCTATTCCATAACAGAAAGGGATGCGGGTGGTGCTGTGATCTAAACCACTGAGCCTCTTGGGCTTGCCGATCAGAAGGCCGGCGGTTCAAATCCCCGTGACGGGGTGAGCTTCCATTGCTCGGTACCAGCTCCTGCCAACCTAGCAGTTCAAAAGCACATCAAGTACCACTCCGGCGGGAAGGTAAACGGTGTTTCCATGTGTTGCTCTGGCTTCACCAGAAGTGGCTTAGTCATGCTGGCCACTTGACCCGGAAAACTGTCTGCGGAAGCGGACAAATGCCGGCTCTCTCGGCCTGTAAAGCGAGATGAGCGCCGCAACCCCAGAGTCATTCACGACTGGACTTAAATGTCAGGGGTCCCTTTACCTATTCCATAACAACAACAACAACAACAACAGCAACAACAACAGCAGCAACAGCAACAACAACAACAACAACAACAACAACAACGTTATTTATACCATGCCCATCTGATTGGGTTGCCCCAGTCACTCTGGGTGGTTTCCAAATTATATAAAAACACTAAAAAAACTTCTCTATGCAGGACTGCCTTCAGATGACTTCTAAAGGTATAGTTACTTATCTCCTTGGCTTGGGGTGTGGTTGCCTAATGCCACACCTTCCAACATTTCTCCGATGAAAATAGGGACAGCCTAAGGAAAAACGGGATCAAATCAGAAGCCAGGATGGGTTCTGTAAATCCCGGACTGTCCCTGGAAAACAGGGACGCTTGGAGGGTCTGCCAGTGAGGTCATCCATATCTTGGCATCCCTCAATGCTCACTGCTCCCAAATGCTGGAGAACCCCCAGGTTCCACTGCCCCTGGTATGGCCTGCAATAATATCATTATGATATCAGCATAGCTGCCTCTTGTGTTTTCTTTACTTACCCCACTTGCATTACTGCTGGTGGGAGGTAATAAGTTCACCACCACTGCCAGTATTTCTAGGAAATTTACATTCACAGAATTAAAGTGGATTAAAGAGCCCTGGTGCAACAAGTCCACTTTTTTACAATTAAAAACATTTACCTTCTCGTGGTTAAGAAAGCGATGGGGAAAGTCGCTAAGAAGCGTGGGATAAATTATTGGTTAGTGGGAAGGCTTGTAACCACCGCACAAAGAAATTAGGATAAAATCTGACTGTCGTATAACCTCCCCACAAACAAATCAGAACGAATGCTCGGTAAAGACTGGACTTGGATACTTGAGATATATATGGTCCCGCCGTATACCTGTGGCTGCAACTTGTTTAGAACTGTTTTCAGTGTTGAATTTTAAAATTGCTGTAACTTGCCCTGGTACATTATGGTGAAGGTCGGTTAACAACAATGACAGCACCTGCTGTATAAGCTCTGTGCAATTAAATATAGATGAATGCTGGAATAAAGTCCTCTGAAGGTGCCCTAAAGGTGAGGTATGAAAGGGACCCATGACGTGTTAGAGCTGGTGTGAACTGAAACTGGCACCATCCCATGCCCCTGCTGTGCTTGCTGGGGCTGATGGGATTTGTAGTTCATCAACATCTGGAGCACCAAAGGTTCTCCACATCTGCTAGCGTGTGGCGGGGACTAAAAAGCTAACTTTCTAAAAAGCCCAACTGTGTTTCTGAAAATCGGTGGAGTTTTGAAACAGTTATCTTCTTTAGAAGTCCTTGGCTTCTAAGGCAGGTTTCCCAGTTGAGCCCCAGCTTAACATTTATTTCCCTGGTTATATAAACAGGAGGCTGAAATATTTTCCATCTTGGCAACCTTTGTCCACCTGAGAGAGTTTCACAGAAATCAGCCCATGTAGCGCTAAGTTTTATTCATTTTTCTTGGACGGTAACCCTCCCCCCCGCCCTGGTGTCTAAAAGGACTCATATGTTTCAAGGTCTGAAGGTGTGTGACCTTTAAAAACACATTTTCCCCTCCAAGTAAAAAATGAGCAGTCTCCACAAGAATGTTGGAACTTAGCAGCTAGAAACCCTAGGAATGTGGATGGCAGCCAACAGCACAATAAGTCTGTCTCTTTTTTTTCAGTCCTTGGCATCTAATTCACATGTTGCAGAGCAGTCTTATGTTTGGTTGCTTGGCAATCAAATCCTAGTGTTCAATGAGCCTTACTCATGAGTAAGGATGGCCTGGTGAAACATGGGACCAATGCACCTTTAATTGTTGTTGTTGTTTTACACAGCTGTTAAAGGTCTGCTTTTGCATCTCTCTACCCAAGCAAGTGTGTTCTAAAAGGTTGCAGCTCCATCTGTGAATGTTTTTACACCTTGGTGTTACAGTACTGGGTTAACTGCAGCTGAGTTTGGGAGGGTGCAGAACACAAACATAGATGGCGGGGGGGGGGGCGGAGGAGAGAGAAGAAGAATTGCTCATCTTTACTCGATTAAAAAAAAATTATGTCCCGCCTTTCAAATTTAAAAGTTTAAAAGTTAGCTTACAAAAAAAGAATAGAAAAGAAAAGAAAAGAAAAGAAAAGAAAAGAAAAGAAAAGAAGAATCTTTGGTTAAAAACAAATAGCCTTTGTAAGATAGAGCTAAACATAAAGCAGCCTTAATTGAAACTATCCTGGGAATCTGAATGAAGGTATTGATTGATTGATGACAATTTGTATACATTGTTTAAATTCAAAACAAAAACTCTTTACAACTTTAAAACAAAGCCTTTTACAACTTAGGCTAAATGCAACTAGATAAAATGCCAGAAATTTATACATTCCATAAAACACAATCAACAACTAAACAGAGCATCTTTTTTTTTAGTATCAAACATTACATGCGAAAACACAAGGAAAATTCATTGAAAACATAGCAGGTCTACTAAACAAAATATCCTCCAAGCATCAGGAAAGTGAAATACTATGCATGAAAACCAACTAAAAAGTATAAATTCCACCCTTTTAAAGGGTTGGTGTATCGCTCCCTAAAATAGGGACCCTTGACTCTCCTCATGGTGCTGGACTGCAGCTCCCATCTTCCCCGACCATTGGGCATGCTGGCTCAGGCTGCTGGGAGTTGGGAGTCCCCAACGACACGAAGAGGGCTAACTTTTCCCTGTTGTAATAAGTTAAAGCAACCAGTTTGGAAATAAAGAAAGGTCCTGAGTCAGGAAGCTGCATCTTTTGTACCCCTCTGGAAATCCTTTTGTGGGTGCAAGCAATTGTCACGTAAGGAAGGGAAAGTTCCTGAGAGCAAAATGGAGGCGATGCTCTGAGATGCTACAACTTGCGGGTAACAGCATCCAGCCCGTGAGTAGTTCTCTCCCTGGAACAACCGGCCAGGAAGCCAGCCAACATGTGGCGAGAAAATGTGCCTGTGCGGTTCTCGGGGAGGAAGCTTTGGAGGGCAGGATAGGGCCACCATAACACTCTGTTCCCTCACGTTGATTCAACTGGTACAGGCCCATTTTCCTCATGTGTGGTGCGCAGCTCGCTGTTGACCTTCAAAGCTGTTCCCTGCAAGATGCAGAGGGTGTGGTGGCGATGGTTTATTCCCAGGAAAGCCACCCTCCCAACCCCCCAAAAATGAGGGGTTTTGTTGGCAGGGTTCAAGAAGACCACACCCACACATGGAAGTGTTTTTTTCCGAGCATGGACCTCCATGCGAGAGCGTGCTCCCAATCCCGTTGTTGGGCTGTGCAGCGAATGGTACAGAGCCAGCCTTGGCTGTGGAGGAGCAGATGATCCAAACGCCGTCCACTCCAGCTGGTTGCAATTCACTCTCTTTGCCTCGTGCCTGGCCCGTGTCCTTTGGCGGAACTCGCGTGCGCTGCCAAAATCTCTTTGCAAATAGCACTCAGTAGCAAGCAGCAGGGCAAAAACAGGAATCTGAGAAACAAGAATTGAGAAGCGGGAGAGGGGGTGGGGTGAGGTGGAGGGAAGGAAGGGCTTGCCTGGGGATTTTTCCCCGAGAGAAGCCCAGTAGCAACCTCGGCCTCATATCCTTCTGGGTCCAAGGTCTCTTCTGTGTTGGTTTCAGTCCAGCGTAAACAAGGCCTGACCTTGAAAGCACATCTGATTTGATTTGAGGAAGCAACGAGACAATGAACTTTCACCGGTTTCTAGCGGCAAGGATGCAGTTTGACCAAGGGAAGGAGGTGTTTTGGGGAGAAGAAAAGAGGCTAGCTTCAGAGCCAAGGGCATGTTTTGCCAATAGTTAATACAAGCAAAATGTCCCTCCTGATGAGGTGTGGGCAGTGGGAGGCAACACCAAAAGTTGGTGAAGTTGCATGGTCTTGCTTCTCTGCTTTGGCAGGCTCATTGTGGCAGGGAGTCCCAACACCTCCCTGGTGGTGAGCCCCATCTGCCTTCTTCCAAGCAGGTTGCTGCTTATTATACCTGTAAAAAGTGGTCTTGCTAATGTGAAGGGGATGGGGGGGGGGGGCGGAATTGTCTAAGGCCATTCGCAAGGCCTCTGCAGGGAGAAAATGTGAGTTTCCGTGGATGTCAACAAAGCTAGAGGTCGTTTATGGTACGTGAAAGTGATAGGAATAAAGAGGAGACTTCTGTGAACATGTGCAAGTGTTTATTTCCCTTTCCCGCTAAGGCCCCATCTGCACTATTCATTTCAAAGCAGTGTCATCCCACTTTAAACAGTTGTGGCTTCCCCCAAACAATCTTGGGAACTGTAGTTTGTTAAGGGGGCTGATAGTTGTTTGGAGGCCCACAGTTACAGTTCTTTTGAATTCCTTGACAAAAGGGGTTAATTGTTAAGCCGCTCTGGGAATTGTCACTCTCTGAGGGGAACTCTTCGGCACCCTGAACAAACTACAACTCTCAGCGCTACAGTTCCCAGGGTTCTTTGTTGGGAAGCCATGACTATTTACAGTGTCATGATGCTACCTTGAATGTGTAGTGCAGCTGGGGCCTAAGAGATGCTTCATGTGCCACATTTTTCTCTTTATCGGAAAGAAAAAAGCTAGGGTGTATTTGATATATGCTGTGGATTAGCAACTGGGAATCCTTGGGCCAAATCTGGCCTTCTGCCAATTTAGAGGGGAAAGGGCTAGAAAGAAAGTGGTACCTTGCAAGAATATTAATTCGCAAGCAGCTAATTTAAGTAATAGGGGCTGAGGCATTTCCCATTGCCAGGTACTACTCCTCGCTCCAGTCTTTGTGACCAGGACTGAGTGAGGAGGGAGTGAACCAGTGCCACAACTTTTGCTTTGCTCAAGAAGCCAGTGCGGAACATGGATATTTGTTCCTGCAATGAAACAAATGCTTCACTGTGTGTGGAATTGTCTTGGTATATAGGAGATGTTTCGTCCCATGAGGAGCCAATGCCCAACATCCTGGGGGCCAGGAAATACCCTGAGAAGCGGCTTTGATGCTGCTAATGCAAAGCAGGCTTCGGCCTGGTGGTTGCCAGGATGGGCGACAGCTTAGGAGCTCAGCTGGAGCCACTCGGAGTGCTTTCTCCTCCTAAAAATAAAATAAGAATAAAAAGAGTTGGGTATAAATAAATAACTGGGAAGGGTGAGAATATGACTCTAGTCCCTTCCCGGATGCCTCCTGGTGACCTCTCCTTGGTAATGGCTCTTTCAAGTTCCAGAGAATTGAGTTTCCAGCACCACATTTAGAAGGGAAAATGATTTTGACAGCCAGCTAAGTGACAGGCGGCCAGAAAGCATCTGGGCAGGAAGAAGCGGAGAAGCGGGAAATTGCCTCCTGTCAAGGCCTCACATGACGTAAAGGGAGGCAGACAGGAGTGAACTGCAAGGCCCCAAGGTCCCTGGGTGAGTGGGCAAGCAGGTTGATGGAGACAGGAAGGGCGACGGGTGCCCTGGCCATTCATTCCTGGCAGGTGTTTCGCAGCAGATGCCATCATGGCAGGATTTCCTGAGAGGGTTTCCTGCCTATGAAATGCAGGAGAGAAAGAGAGGGAGGCACTTGGTGAACTTGGTGTAACCCATTAGATCCCGTTCCTTCCTGTTCTCCCTGCCTGCCACGTCTCTCAGACCTGTTGCAAGGCTTCAAAAATTATCACGGATAAAACCAGCTGCCCAGGAAAGAACACCAAAGTTCGCTTTCCATCCCGTGGTGGTTAGCCTGAGAAGCAAGTGGGTCTTGAAGGTGACAATAGCCATAATAGCTGTTGCATTTAAGATATAATGTCACCGCACATGGCATACACCGCAAGTGTCTTGGCAAAACCAGGACATCCCATTTTTTTCTTGCAAGAGAACGGTGGCTGCCCTCTAACTGGAACAGCTTTTCCAGAAAGATGAGTTGGCTCATGTACAGCATCAGATTTCTTTGTGAAACTGTTCTCATCTGTCTTCTTATATTCATTTATTTTTTAAATTGTTCTACACCGCTAGGATATTTGCTAATGTTTGGTGGTCTGTCAATTTTCCAAATAGAATTCTTGTCTGGTATGCCCTCTAAGCTTTCTGTGACAAGCCCCATCCATATGTCCCTTCAGTGTGACCAAGGCTGTCCTTGTGGCATTTTAAAAAACTGCTCCTAAAACTAGACAAAAGAAAAGTGGTTGTGAGAGGGGCCGATGGCTCAAACAACACTGTTTCTTGTTCCAAGGAAAACTTGACAAAACAACATTAAGCCCAGGATGTTTTTGTAATCTCTTGTCACGTTTGCTTATATGATGACCTTGCTGTGCTGAAACAAAGGGAGAGGCAGAAGTGTTTCAAACAATACCTTATTATCTTAGTGCTAATCCAATTGTGGGGCCGATTGGCTAACAGCTGTGACATCAAGAACACCTCCCCCTCCCCCTATATATATATTTTAAAACCTCCCTTCTTTTTATTTTAAATGTATAAGGCCGCACGTATTATGCAATGCTTTTTGTGTGTGAAAGCAAAAGTAAAGAATGCCTGAGGTGTGCAAGGAAGGTAGTTTGGTGGCTAACTTAACTTTTGGATCCTTAAGAAGGCATAACTCTGATGCAAATTGTAAAGCCAGCAAGAAGTTGATCTTATGCCATGCTTGACTTTGACTTCCTGTTGAAATGTTGAAGATTTTCTTCACTCAATAGGTGGGCACAGTAAGTAAAGAAGTGGAATATGCCCCACGTTATGGGGCAGCTAAATATGGGCCTTGGGGGTGTTGTTTCTAGAACGTTTACCCTTCTGGGTGTCCAAGTGCAGAGGAGACCTTTTGAGCTGAGGGTGGGTCTGCAATTTCTTGCATTTTCTCTTCTCCGCGTTATTCTCTCTAGGAAACGTGGGGCAGCAGAGAATGGTGCCAAGTGGTGACAGTGTGGTTTCTAACCCACCCCCCAGCCTTGCCTGGACAAAAGACAGTGCTATTTCTAGGAAGGGGTGGGGAGAAATTAGATTCAGCTTGCACTTAAAGGCAAAACTGCTTAATTCACACTTTCTAAAACAATGTGCAAACCGAAGCACAGCCACCGCTTGAAATTCACACATCTCCGAATTTTGCAGTGCAGTTTTCCAGCCAAGTAATGTGTACAAATATGTAGATGTTAAGGTACACATATATTAATCAGAAAGACATGCAAAATGCATTATGTTAGGGGAAGTTGCTTTACAAAGATGTGTATATTATTCCATACCAAAGGGGTATATTAGGAGGCTTTAGTTGTCTGTCTCGGGAGACAATGGAGGAGTGCGTCTTGGGGGCTGAGAAGATAGCAATAAAAACACTGTTTAGTTTTCATGAGGACTTAAATAATAAATATGTCCACAAACCAATGTGGGAATGTGGAGAGCTACGGTAAGCACCAAGATGTGGAAAATGAGAAAGAGAAACAGAAATTAACTCATCCGCCTAACCCTCTTTCTGGGATGAGGCATTTAATTATATAACCAGGTATTTGGCTTTGTTGTTTCTCAACAGCCTGCCGTAGAAGTGTGTGGTGCTTATCACTCATAAGGAAGATTCTCCTAAGTTGTTTCGACTCATTCAGTATTCAGGAATGCCTCGGTATTGCCACAGGGCGGAAGTGGGAAGGTTTGCCATCAGCACACAACTGAATCCCCTCCTGAATTCAGTGATGCAAATCAAAATAGAAATTTGCCCAAAGGCAAATTGCTGAAACACATCGCTGTTTCCAAGCTCCGGTTTTGCATCCAACGATATGCTTTGCGTGTGTAGAAGATCCAGGTTCGGTCCCTGTAGCCTCTAGGCAGCCCACGATGTTTCTATCTGGGGCGTGCATAAGGACAGCTATGGCTCTCAATGATTTTCCAATCGTTCGTATGGGCAGGGCTAGGAGCACAAAGTTCTGCAGGGTCCCTGATGCCACCTTGCTTCTCCTCCCTCTGTTGGGGGCAGGGAGGATGATGAGAAGGGGAGAGACGTGGACCTGTTTGTGTTTAGTATGTTCTTTCCTAATGAAGAAACCAAGGTAGACTTGATTACATGGGTTTTTTTGGTTGATGGATTTGTCCCCGGTTCCCTGCTACCGCCTTTTCTCTCTGACCCAGGTAGCAACCAAAAGTCCCAACTCACCTCTCTCTCTCTCTCTCTCTTCTCGTTCTCAAAAACGAAGTGACTCTGATCCAGGGCGACATCAGCAACCTGGAGGATGTGAAGGCAGCCATGAAAGGAGCCCACCTGGTCATCCACACTGCCAGCCTGGTGGATGTTTGGGGCAGAGTCTCACCTGAAAAGATCACTGCGGTCAACGTTCAAGGTAGGAATTGAAAGACTACCCATTCAGCCTCTTTCCTCCGTGGTCCAGAGGAAGTCACCCTGCACATTACAGGACCAAGGAGAGCACCACAACGGCCTGGTTCACACATAATGCTAAGCCATGGTTTCTTTCACAAATCATGAGTTAACCGTGAGTTTGTCAAACAAACCATGGCTTGTTTCTCCAACATTTGTTTTGTTCTTGTCTTGTGGAGTTTAGTGAGTGTCCAGGGTGACTTCAACAAACCATGGCTAAGGGAATGGTGCTGGGTTTCCATATAACGCCAGGCTGTAGTTATAGCAAAACAAGCCATGGTTTCAGATTGTGGTTTGTTGGCAACAAGGAAACCATAGGTAAGCTTCTGGCAGGGTTTCCACATAATAATAAGCCATGCTGTAATAAACAGTCTCATAAACCATGGTTTAGTGTTATGAGGCAAGCAAGATGGGCAAAGCTACTTGTCAGAAAGGTGGCTGGGGAGGTTGCTCAAGCCAGTGAACCAGGCCACGTTCCAGAGGAAGGCCTTCATTTCCAAACCAAGAGGTGCTGGGGCCAAGCATACCACAATGTATTGTCATCCAGCCTTGACCTGACATGGCAGGGCTCTTCTTACCCTCTTACGTTACCAAGGAAAGGTCTGGATTTTTAAGAATCGCTTGATGGGAAGTGCTAATATTTCAGCCTGTCTTTCTAGAAGATAAAAGCCAAATATTTTGAAGGGAGCAACGCCAGCTTTTGCCAAGTTAATAAATCTGTTTTTCAGGAGGCTGGCGGGGGTGGTTGAAGACTGTTCTGTGAAAAACGTAATAAGAATTGCTAAATAAAATTGCAATGGAAAGGAAAATATTACAACTGGGAAATTAGCCTTGCTGTATACAGAAGGAAAACAGAAAGATTTCTCTGAAACAGTGCTGTTAAGCCTTTCCAAGAACTAGCTGGCTAATTCCTCTAAAGTAGGCTTGGGAGACCCTGTGGCTCTCCAGCAGTTGCTGGACTCCAACTCCCATCAGCCTCAGCTAGCCTGGCCAATAGACAGGAATGCTGGTAGTTGGAGTCCAGCAATACATGCCAGGCTTGCAGGTTCCCCAGCCTTGCCCTAAAGCAGGGTTTCCCAAATGTGGGTCTTCAGCTGTTTTTGGACTACAACTCCCATCATCCCTAGCTAGCAGGACCAGTGGTCAAGGATGAGTGTTTCCAGGTTCAGGAAGCCACTATCTCATGTGGGTCTCCTGCCCCACATCCCGGAGGCTGAAGAACAGGCTCTGGTTACTTAAGGGGAGAGGCAGTTTCCCTCTGCGTATGCTCAGATACCCTCTTACCATTATTGCAGCTTCATCTTTTTTCAGAGGCTGAGCCCTGGCGCCACAGGCAGGGGATCAAGCCTAGCTGGGAAGCATGGCCTGTGAGGTTAAATCCTGTGTTGGCTATGCACACCCATTCCCAACAGGGAACATGGGCATGTAGCCAAGGCAGCAGGATTATACTCCCCGCTTGTCAGGGGGGTTAAATCCTTCTGGGAGCAAGATTTAATCCTCACCCATCAGCTGCTCATCAGGCGTTAAATCCTGGAATGAGGAAGGGGTTCACATGGAAATCCCTGCTAAAACCAAGGTTCCCCTCCACACCCCCCCACCTTGGTCTGACTTGATAGAAGGCAGAATCCCATGTCCTTCCCTCTCATCTCTGCGGCAACTGGGTGGTACATGAGCAGGTCAGCGCCTGAGCTGAGATGCTCCTTCCATTTCCCCCCCTTTGGCTTTACATCAGATGCTCCTGGCTGAGGGCGTCTGGAAAGGAAACAACAGGAATGGATTGCCACGTTTTTTAAAGCACCATCACTCATCCTTTCCTTCTGGCAGCCTAAGAGGAAAAGCTGTGTCCTGTCCTGTCAGACCTTCCTATTCCACCAAACTTTAATAGCTGGTTCTGACTCCATGGCCCAAAAGTGGTTCCATTTGGGGTGGAGTGTTTGTTTGTTTGTTTGTTTCTTTGGGAAAGGGCTTTGAGGTTTTTGGGGGAAACTCCCTGTCGGTTACTGATGTAAAACCGACCAAGGCAGAGATGAGTCAGGAACAAGGATAATAACGTCCATGTGTGGGCATTCCTTTTAATTTATGAACGTCCGCTGCATTTGCCAGGGAGTAAAGAGGCCGGCAGGGAGGGCCTGTGAGGTCTGGGATGAAATTCCTGCCAGTACATGAGATGCAAAGGCCCAAGTATCTATGTATTTCAACATTTTCTCTCACGGGCTAAAACAGGTGCTTGTTATTGCACAACAGAAAGTGGGCTGATCCGCTTGCACAACTGTCAGGTATTCTGGAAGAGGATGGGTTGAGAACAGGGTTGGGGCTGGGTTGGTCTTCTTTTCCAGATGATTTGTTGTATTTCTCTTCCCCGCCGCCTTCTTTTATCTGTACAACAACCCTCTGAAGTAGATCGGACTGGGACAGGCTGGCTTCATGCCACACATAAGGCCAAGCCAGACTGTGGCTTAGCGAGAGTGAGCTAGTGTTAAGGTACAGTGCTACCTCGGTTTACGAATAATGAACGAATTCCTATGCCCCACAAATAACCCAGAGATGCATTTTAAATAAAAGGACTCATTCTACTCATGTAAAAACACGCTGATTCCCGGACTGTCTGCGGGCCGGATTTAGAAGGCGATTGGGCCGGCTCCGGCTCCCGGGCCTTAGTTTGCCTCCCCATGTTCTAGTGGTCAGGGATGATGGGAACTGGAAGGGACCATGTTCTCTGCCCCTGGGTTATGTGGGCACCATGGGGTTCTTTGGCTGGCCGAGAGGTGTGGCTTATGTGTCTTCTCTCGCTCTCTCTCCTTTCTCCTCTTCTGTTTTCCATTGTTTCGGCACAGGAACTCAGAACGTCATTGAAGCATGTGTGACACAAGGAACTCAATATCTGATTTACACCAGCAGCATGGAAGTGGTGGGGCCCAACGCGAGGGGCGACCCCTTCTTCAGGTACGGGCCTCACCTGGGGCTTCCGGCATCTCTGCCCCGGCTGCCTGTGCTCCAGCGTGTATTGCTGGGCTTCCTTCCCCTTCCACGGCACAGACCTGTCTCCTTCTCAGTCTGTGATTAAGGGCAGGCGAGTTCTTCCTCTAACTTCATTTTTCCTTTAGAAAGCCCACCCATCTTTCAGAACTATAGGTGGTTCTCTCCCCCTGCCCCTTTTTAACCTTGCAACACCCCTGTGAGGTAGGCTAGGCTGAGCCAGTGGGAACTGCAGCCATCCTGTCATTGGGAGGCACTTTTGATAAAGCGATGTGCCTAAAGCGCTTGTGTTCTCTCTCATACACATATACACCCAGAGCCCTGATATCCACAGCAGGGAGTTCCCTCTGGCTTTGGTCCAGGCCAGCAGTGGTTCCTCCCCTGTGCAAGGGCTTCCCCCGTGCCCTCCCTAGCAACATCACAACAACACATGTGCACAGCAACGGTAACCCTGGAGATGGGCAATGGAGATATATTATATATAACAGCGCTCCCTCCATGGCAATATTTTGTTCCTGTTTCTAACACTGTGCATGCACCATGCATTTAAAGAAACTTCCCCTGCCGAAGGATCCTGGGAACTGTAGTCTGTTAATGGTGCAGGGGATTGTAGCTCTGTGAAGGGAAAACCACAGTTCCCAGGATTCTTTGAAAGAAGCTTGGATGGCTTTAAGAGAGGATCAGACTCAGTGGCTCTCAATGGCTATGTCCTGCCTCCACAGCTGGAGGAAGTTCACCTCCGAATGCTAGTTTCTGGGAATCGCAAGAGGGGAGAGCACGGTGTTGTGCTTGGGTGCTGCTTTCAGGCTTCCCATAGGCTGGCCATGGTGGGAAGAGGATGCTGGAGTGACCCAGCAGGGCTGTCCTTCCATTCTTAAGCCTTGCGCAGTTCCTTGAATGTGCTTTAAATGTACGGTGTGTGGATGCAGCCTAAATTGCCACTTCCACTAAAGCAGGAGATTGGCAGTTTCTTGTCTGCAAACATTAAATCGCCTCCTTTGTCTGTAAACACAAAACGTCTCGGTGCTGAATATTTTGGCCCGGGGCAAGGAAAGAAAATGGAGAAACTCAGACAGCTGTCTGGTATGTGTGTGTGTAAGGAATGGGACATTAAGCACCCATAATCCATCCTTCTCCTCGAAGAGTGCTGAAAACATGCATGGATTCCAAGTTCCCAACCTTTAGAGGCCCATTTGCAAATCTTAAAATGTATCATAGGCACCAGAGAATGCTGGCTTTACAGAGGAAAAACTGGCAATGCCTGAAACTGCCCCTGCCCCTACAAATCAAACAGATGAAACACACCCACCCACCAAAACAACAACACACACAGACAGAAAAGCAGGAAATGCCTGCAACTGAGCAATTCCTAAAAGCCAAACTCATTTTAAAAAACAACATTAACTAGGGAGGAATCATAGAATTGTAGAGTTGGAAGGGACCTAGAGGGTCATCTAGTCCAACCCCCTGCAGAGCAAAGGGCACCAATTTGGGGGACCCCCAGGTTACACAATAGCACCTCCCTTGGATTCTCCCACCCCTACCAGTCAAAAGGAAGCTTGTGATGTCCATGCGCTGCAATAAAAAGATGCCTCCCTGGAATGATATGATGGAATTCTGGGGTGGGTGGTCTTTGTAGGGGGTAGGATTTTGCTGTTGTTGAGGAAGTGAGGGAATAATCAAGTAATAAGTTTCAGCTTGCAATAGGAACTGGGAAATGCTGCAGCTTTAATGCACATTTATTAAAAGGTATAAATAAATGCACATTAAAGTTGCAGCGTTTCCCACTGTGCTTTTGCAACGCTGGGAGAAACAATACTCTTGCTTCTACCTGTCTCTTTTTAGATGCAGGCACCTTGCCCTGCACTTGACAGTGGCCTCTGTACCATCATAGCACAGTGCATTGGAGTTAATTGAACAAAACTGAAGTATATTGAGGTACATTATTTTGTAGCAGAGACGGAAAAGGATGGGTCTGGCAGGTGGGGCTTCTGGGCTCTCTTTCTCTATGTTGAAGTATTGGGTTCTGATTCCCTGTGGCATGTTCCTCTTCTTTGCAGGGGAAACGAAGACACCAAATATGAGGTTGTTCACACCGAGCCTTACCCGGTTAGCAAAGCCAAGGCTGAGCGGTTGGTCATCGAAGCCAATGGACGAGCGGTGAGTCAGGCTCCCCTTCAGCCCACGTTTCGAATGGAACAAAGAACCTTAAAAGGACTAACAGATTTATTAGGACATAAATGTTCAAGAGCCAAAACCCACTTCCCCAGATCCGTGGCATGAACCCTTCGCCTCTGTCGGCCAACTAAGAACAATTTATGCATATACAGTGGTACCTCGGTTTATGTACTTAATCCGTTCCTGAAGTCCGTTCTTAAACCAAATCCATACTTAAATCGAGGCGTGCTTTCCCTAATGAGGCCTCCCACTGCCGGTGCCCTTCCACTGTTTGGCTTCCGTTCGTAGATCGAGGTAAAGTTCACAAACTGGAACACTACTTCCGGTTTTGTGGAGTTCATAAACAGGACTGTTCGTAAACTGAGGTACCACTGTAATGATGTAGGCTGCTGTCAATTGAAGTTTATGTGCCCCAATAACTCAATTAGTCTCTTACAAGAGTTTTGTGGCCTCTTAAAAGTGCAGCAAGATGTCCCCTCTGCAGTGTATTTACGACACTCTTAAAACCCACCCTTTCTCTCTACCCTCTAATGAGCTTGAGTGCACATAGCATTTCCTTATCTTTCTGATAATCCTGTGTGGTAGTGTTATTTAGTCATTCTCGTTTTGATTTGTATACGACTGTGACCATTCCTGCTGCATTCACCCTGGTTCACTTGCAGGGTGTTTACTTCTTGTTAGTCATTTGCTTGGGACGTGGGTGGCGCTGTGGGTTAAACCACTGAGCCTAGGGCTTGCCGATCAGAAGGTCGGCGGTTCGAATCCCCACGACGGGGTGAGCTCCTGTTGCTTGGTCCCTGCTCCTGCCAACCTAGCAGTTCGAAAGCACATCAAAGTGCAAGTAGATAAATAGGCACCGCTCCGTCAGGAAGGTAAATGGCGTTTCTGTGCGCTGCTCTGGTTCGCCAGAAGCGGCTTAGTCATGCTGGCCAATAAAGCGAGATGAGCGCCGCAACCCCAGAGTCGGTCACGACTGGACCTAATGGTCCGGGGTCCCTTTACCTTTTACCTAGTCATTCGCTCACTCTGCACCTTCCAAACTGCTTAAAAAGTCAAGTTTCTTTTTTCCAGAGTGGGTTTGTTGCAGCTAGGGGAGACAGAGCCCTTTGATCCCCATACCTCAACTTGAATCCCTCCAGCAAAATGCTTGACCCCCCGGAGGCTCCTCTACCCCACATGCGTCACAGTGGGGGTGGGGGGTGGGAAGGGAGCCAGGTCCTTGGTGGCAGGGGAAGCTAACGGGTTTTCTCCACCTCCTCTTCTGTGCCACCAGGTGGAAGGAGGGAAGCAGCTGGTCACTTGCGCTCTCCGGCCAACTGGCATCTATGGGGAGCACCACCCACTGATGAAACAGTTTTACGAGAAAGGGCTGAGCACCAAAAAGTGTCTTATCCGAGCCGTCCCAGCCTCCACTGAGCACGGCAGGGTCTATGTTGGTAAGTCTCGCATGCACGCTGTGCGCCATTCTTGAACTCCGATGTCACCATGAACTTTAGATGCCTTTGCACGCACTCCCTCTGGTCCTTTATAGCCAAAGCCCCAGAGAAGCAAGATGGTGTTGCTGCTTTTTATCAAAACAAATAATCTTTCCCTCCTGGAATGCTTTGCTTCTTTACCCATGACTAAAGCAAATCAAGAACACCAGAGCCTGTGTATTAATGTTTAGCAGTCGGACCTCTTGAATTCTTTTTCCAAGAGCAACAGATAAACTACAATGGGGATTTGTAAATTAATTTGTGTAAGCATTTGAAGGGCAACGTGGCCGTTCCTGGGCCTGCTTTTTATTAGTTTGCTAACCTCTGCTAGAGGGCGATTGGCTCCCAAGGAGAAAATGTGTTTAAAAAAGTGGTTTTCTTGAAAGAAGATCCCTTTGATCTCCTGTAACTTAAATTATGAATTTATTTTTATTTCCTCCTTACAAGGAAGGCTGAGCTAAGCCCTTGGCAAATGCACAAGCAAAGACTTGCGTGCTTACGGACTGGATGCTCAGTCAGACCAAAGCACTCTGAGTCAGTGACCTGATGACATTCACCTCTCTTATTGTTTATATTCCTATCTGTAGGATCTCTCTCTCTCTCGCCCATTGCATAGGCTGCTTTAGCGATCCTATTTCTCTTTCCCAAGTGTTTCTCCTCTCTTCCTCCCCCTGCCAACCCTTTTGCAGGCAACGTGTCTTGGATGCATCTGCTGGTGGCCCGGAAGATCCAGGAGTCTCCCTCGACCGTTTCAGGCCAGGTTTATTTCTGCTATGACGACTCGCCTTACAAGAGCTACGAGGACTTCAACATGGAGTTTCTGGGCTCCTGCGGCTTCCGCATGCTGGGCTCCCGGCCGCTGCTGCCTTCCTTCCTCCTGCGGTTCATGGCGCTGTTCAACGCCTTCCTGCAGTGGCTGCTGAAGCCCCTGTGCAACTACACGCCCATCCTCAACCCCTACACTCTGACTGTCGTAAGGACCACCTTCACAGTGCAGACCAGCAAGGCCAAGGAGCACTTTGGCTACCAGCCCCTCTACAGCTGGGAGGAGAGCCGGGCCCGCACTGTGAAATGGCTCCAGGAGATCGATGCCCAGAGGGATGCTGGGAAATGAGACACGGGCCGTGTGTGCGGGGGAAAGGGACAGGGGAGCCAGGATAGAGAGGGACTCCCCCCTCGCTCCCCAAAAGCAGCCTAGCCCTGGGTTTTGCTTCCACTGGAGCATCCGAGTACATTTTCCCACACTCTTGCCGAAGCTGTGTTTATGATACCCAGTGCCGTCAAGAGTAATTTCATCTCGGTAGACTCTGGATTACACTATTGGTTTAATCCTTGTAATTACTATTATTTATTTGTCACTTGCAAAGCACTTAAAAGGATGACCGGGAGAGGGTGGAAAGAGGAACTGATCTGCGGGGAACCTACTCCAGGATTTGGCAGCAACCACTTTCAGTGAGAGTGTGCCAGTTCTACCGAAATCTGTTTTGAATGTTGGTTAAGCATATAGTTTTACTTCGGGGTCTCCTGTAAGAGCTGTGTGCTCCACTGGTGGCTGTCATCCGTCAAGGCCGGTAGGGGGTTAAGCAGGAGGCTAACATTAGAGGGCGCCAGAGGCAATGGCAGGCAGAGCTAAGGAATGCTAGATTGGTCCTTATCTTCCTACCTGGTGAATTTTACAAGGGCAGCCCTGAGACTAAGGAGAAAGAGGATCCTGCCGGCTCAGTGCCACCTTCTGGGCTGGTTAAAAGAAGGCAAGTTGGTGGGGCAGGGCTTCACTTTTGCCCTAATGAACCTGCCTCCCCTGGCGTGCCTTTGCAACGGAGCCTCCAATCTAAGTCTTAGAATGACTTCTACGATCCAGATCTTGCAGACTCCCTCTCTGATGGCAGTCCTCCTCTTCCAGAGCCACTTTCCTTCGTTCTTATTGCATTCCCTTGGCAGTCTTTATTTTCAGTGTGCTACAAATGAACAGCACAGTGGGTCGGGGAGGGCTGTGTGCAATTTCATGCTGCATCATTCCTTTCCTGTAGCAATGTGAATCCCTCTGAAGGATCCTCAATCCATTCCGCATCGCTGCGATCCCATTCCATTTTTTTCTTCCTACCTCAATTGCCACTACACCGCCCGTGCAGTCGGGATCCAGATCCATGTTTTGATTTTTATCTAGCCTGTCGTCTCAGTGTAGGACTTCACTTAGCATGACATATGATGCCATGATTTTTTTCCACTGCCACTTTTTGCAGGGCTTGTGCACTATGAATATGACTGGAGAATCATGGCGGATTTTTCTTTTAAAAAAACAACACACTACTACAGTGGGTGGGTGGAGCCCAGATGCCCCTGCCTACAGTCTGATTAGTAAGGGACAGAGCTAACAGCCTCCCTGATTCTGACTCTTTGCCATGTGGTTTTACTCCCCCCCTTTGAGATTTGACCCAGTGAAAGAGGCTCATTTTCCTGAAACATCCTGTCAAATGCAGGAACTTGGCAACCTCACAGGATTGACAGCATTGAATAAAAGTGACAAAGGCACACAAGACACTGTTGCTGGGCTGGACAAGGTGCAGGAAAGCCCACTGACAAAATCCTTAACAGGGAAGGCGAAAGTGTTTTGGACATGTTTAAGTTTTGATGATTTGAAGGTTGGGGGTGAATAGGAATTGGTGAGGGGGAGGGGTGAGTCTGTTCAGTTTGCACTTCCATGCAGAGCTTAATTCTTAGTTTCTGAACCACGATGCAAACTGAAACACCGCTTTCCTTTAAAATTTGCACGTTTCTGAATTTTGCGATGCAGTTCTCATAGTGTGCACAAAAATGAATATTTAGTGTAGACGAGGCACAAAACGATATTGCACTGACGGAAATAGCTTGCAGAAAGGCATGTATTAGTAGCGGGGGACTCCCACAAATTGATTTAGAAATGGGGCATCCTGAAGGTTTTAAAAAAGAGAAACTGAGATTGGTGGAGCCAGCCATCCCTAGGGCTGATAGAGGCAGATAAAATGATTTGTGACATGGAGGAAGCCAATCGAAATAGGTGTTTCTCCCTCTTTCGCAGTTCAGAAATTGGCTGGAGACTGAAGAGGAAGCTGTTTACCACACAGTGACTTAATTAATTGATGGAGTTGACTGCTCTGTCAGTAAATGTGACGCCTACTCAGTTTATATCCCACCCTTCCTCCCGAGGGAGCTCAGGGCGCCAAATCAATAAAAATATAATTGAAAACTTTCTAAAACCAGCTAAAAACAAGCACATTCCCTCAGCCAGTTATCTCAGGGGTTATCGTTCAGCCATCAAACGCCCGGGGAAACAAGGAAGGCTTTAAAAATCACTGGCTTAAGCTGGTTTTTTAGAAGGGACAAGGCAAATAGATGGCAGATAGGGCCGCTGGTCACAGGGGTTGGAACTGGGATGTCCCTGGCTGGCAGAGATTGCTCCTGCCTTGACGCCCTGCCCATCGGCTCCTCAGAGCAATCATTTCTGGACTAGACGGACCTTTTTGTCGTATCCGTTAGCACGACCACCTGCCTTCCCCCTGTAAGAGCTTTGCTGGCGCTGAACCTGGGCACGGTGAGGATGCCAGCCTGCTGCTCCTGCTGGTGAAACCAAGTAATAATGTAGAATGTATTCCTTCATTGAAGTCTTAATTATTATAAATAAATACGTTGAATTCTGACAATGAGTTTGGCTCCTATTTTCCCTCCTGTCGTGTCTGTGGGGAGCCTTGGCAAGGCCATGCAGAGATTGGTCGTAGAAATGGTAGAATGAGAATTCTGAAGTCCGTAGGAGCGCTCCCTCCCTTAAAATCTCTTCCTCTAACTAACAGTGCTATAAATGGCGTGTTTATGAACAAGGTAGGAATTGTAGGCATGTGAAAGTTTTCAGATCGCCTGGCAGATAAGACTCACGGCTTGTGAGCAGAGGTGAATAATATTAAGGTTAGAAAATCCACGGGGCACGGCTTATACGCCTTTAAAAACAAACAAGCCATGTTTGCAGAGTCTAAACTCCAACCCCCAGCAGCCCCAGACACCATGGGCAGTGGCCAGGCATGATGGGAATTGAGGTTCATGTTGGCCACCCCTGGTATAAACGGATTGCACCACTCCCTGTGTTTGCGAATACCTTGGATGGATGCGAGAAGCTTCTTGTTGCATTTTGATACCTCCCAAGTTCTGTGAAGAGAGAGGTGTCAAGGGAAAACATCAAAAGCTGGTACTTCTCCAAGCAAGGCGTACATGTGAATGCCTTTTGCGTTCAACCCAGGTTTCCCAGAGGATAAAGTTAGCTAAGTGAGACTGAAGGGAATGTCGATAGTGCTGGTGAAAATGATGCAGTCAGAGATGGGATCTGCCTAGCTTCTGCAGCTCCTTTTGGAGGGGTTAATGTCTGATGAATAGCCAACCATCAGTATGTCTCTTACCACAGACATTTCCACAGCATGTGATTTATATCAATAAGCAAGTTACATTGTCTTTAGCGGTATTCCGCCCTGTTCATTTCAGTCGGAAGGAAAAACACTGCAAACCCGGGGTGGAGAAGGAATCAGCTGCATAATCATTTGCGGAGTGGAAGCAGTGACGCCGACGAATACTGATCATCTCTGCTGGATTGATTTGCATTTTGGACATGGGACCGAATAAGTGCACATCAGAAACTTTGGCTCGTGTTTCTGTTTTGGTCAGAATTCTCCATCTCTAATGGCAGGCACCCATAGACACAGTCCTACAGGCAAGCTGAGAGCTAATGGAGGATATTTATTTAAAATAATAATTGCTGTACTAGTCCATTACATGTTAAAATTCAAGCCCTGGACTTTTGTGTATTCTGCAATTCCCTGAGAGCACAGAAAAGTGAAAGAACATGCAAAGCTAGCTCCTTGAGAATCTGATTTATTTATTTTTTTAAAGAGCATGTTTCTGTCCCTCACCAATTGCAAAGACTTTGCTTGAAATTGTGTGGATGATGGCTGTAAATTCTTGGGTGCTAGAGGTGGCTGAACAGGGCTCCAGAGGATGCTGGGAATGGGGCTCCCAAGCGCTGTGTAGCTCATTGACGAGGAAAGAGAAAATATTGCAAAATAAGAGAGAGTGCAAGTACGATTTATGCGGCTTGTAAAACTGGCTGTGCTATTTGACCCTGATGTGACTTTTCATGAGGAGAACCCACGGCCCTGTTTCACTATAAAAAGAATCAGTAAGGCCTTATATCAGTGGGACTTGCTCCCAGGTTACTGGCTATGGGGTGGTGACCTTACACACAGTAGCTTTGTCCATAGTCCCTGGTGTCTGGAGTGATGCCTTACTGATGCAAACGGGGGGATTTGGGGACATTTGTAGGGAGACAAGCAGAGGAGGACCATTTGCTGCCATGAGATGTAAAGGCCGTAAGTGGGGGAAAGAAAGAAAGTCATCTGAAGTCATGGAGGTTCAGGTGTTGCAGTGGCTGGTAGTTTGTGGGGTGCCTAGGAACCATTATATGGAATCTGATAAAACTGACCTAGAAGAACTTGAAAAGGGCCATAGCTCTCATTGTCATGGAGACATAGTACAAGGCATCCAGCAACCAGGATTTTTACTTTTTGGTACCTGATACACGCCCCCTCCAACCCCCAATGCCTGACTGCCGGAGCCTTCTTACAGGACTACTGATCCCTACAGACACTGCTGACTTAACTCCAGAATAAAAAGGCCTAGAGCCTTGAAAACAAGTAAGGAAAGCTAGCTTTGCATCTGAGAGTTTTCAGGATAAGGTGCTCATCTTGATCTGATGCATGTTCACTTTCTTTGAAATGAGTGGGACTGGATGCACACATTTCTGAGGCATTTGCTGGTAGCTGGGATTTCTTAGCATCTGCCCGCCCCCCTTTCCTCCTCTTAGAGATACATGCGACAAATGAGAATGGGGGGAAGCTTTCGAAGTGGGGTTCATCTCTCTCACACAGGGTAGCTGCTCCGGTCAGTCACCAATTCCTCAAAGAAGAAGCAAATCTTTGTCAACAGTCTTCGAGCCCAGTGACTGGGAGGTATGGGGGTGACCTCTGCCTCCCTCCTTCGCCCCAAGAGGGATATGGAATGGAGCGTTTGGAAACCAAAATTGCAAATGAAGCAGAA